CATTTTCTTTGGTGTATCAGTCCACATGGCCTGCCTTGGCTATCCCAGAGTGAAAATGTTTTGGGCTAGAAAAACCAAAGTACCAGTCATTAGCAAGAAGATGACAAGGAAGAAGATGACAAGGGACAGGTTCTACAAGCTAAGAAGGTCACTTAAGATTGTCAGTGACCTGGATGTGAGTGAAGAGACAAAGAAGTCAGACATTCTTTGGAGAGTCAGACCATTGTTTAACCATGTGAGGCAAGGTTGTCTCAGCCTTCCAAGGTGTGATAAAGTGTGCATTGATGAGCAAATCATCCCATTCACAGGCTGTTGCCCAGTCAGGCAGTATGTGCCAGGAAAGCCAAACCCTACCTGCCTGAAGGTCTTTGTGCTTGCCTCTCCAAATGGTCTCATCCTTGATTTTGAGGTTTATCGTGGCAAGAACACATTCAGGGGGCCAAAGACTGGGAGTTGGAGCTGCAGTAGTTTTGCGAATGGTCGCGTCTGTTCCTCGAGGAACTTGTGTGTTCTTTGATCGATACTTCACAACAATCGATCTCATGGACGCTTTGCTGTCAAAGGGTCTTCCAGCAACTGGAACTATTATGAAGAACAGAATCCCAAAGACATGCCAGCTACCAGCAGATAAACAGCTGAGAAAGGAAGGGAGAGGGGCTTCAGTGGTGTTGGTCAGGAGGGAGCCAGAGCTGGCACTGATGAAATGGTTTGATAATAAACCAGTTCTGATTGCCTCCACTGTCTATGGCAGAGATCCAGAGGATATCTGTAGCAGATAGTCCAACAAAGACAAACATCATGTCCCAGTGCGACGGCCAGCAGTAATCAGAGAATATAATGACAACATGGGTGGCGTAGACCTTTGTGACAGAATGCTGAGCTTCTACCGAATGTCAACCAGGACGAAGAGGTGGACATCACGTGTGATGACGCGTTTCTTTGATGTTGGCATCACAAATGCTTGGATTAAGTACAGGTCTGACAGTATAGCGCTGAATCGACCAGCTAAAAACACAGAGCAGTACTTGGACTTCAAACTGCATCTGGCTGAAGAGCTGATGGATAGTCCAGCATTTCATGACAGCAGTGAAGACAGTGAGGAAGAGTATCAGCCACCAACCAAAACAAGGATGCCACAACCAGAGCCATCTGTACGCAGACTATGAGCTAGACACATGGACATAAAGCATGCGGAAAGATGCAGGAACAAGGGCTTATAGTCTTATAGTTTACTGTTGAACTAAATACACGTATTTTTGCTGTTGCAAGCAACAAACAAAAGAAGGATTTTACAGAATTGAATCTGTTTTTATCAAATGTCAAAGTTCTTAGGTAAATATCACTTTCAAGACATAATCTTTCTTTATTTCTTTATTTCTTAAGCTTGTTCTATTTTCCCATGAAAATCGTCCTGTTGTCCTCCACAGTGGACATGCCATAAAATTAATATTAAAAATATATTTAAAAAAATTAAAATTGTAATGTGTTTTTTTAGGTCCAAATACATGGGAAATCACACAAAAAAAGAAATTGGAAAACATTTTTTTTCTTCGGTTCTCAGGAGGATATTCTATCTGCCAATGTTGTGTTTTTGGATGTATTTAAGTTCTTAGGCTTTTCTTTGTTGCCCTCTGGTGTTGGTCTCCTTTTCCCTAGCTCTTTTCTAGAAGCCTCTATTCTCACCTGCTCCCAATCCGCTTGTTAGTCCTGCCTTTGTTCAGTCAACCATAAATACCCTCCCTGTGCAGTTCCTTAGTGCTGGTTCCTCGTCTCTCCTCGTCTTTTCCTGGCTCCTCGTGCTTGTTTTCCCTGATGTCTCCATGATTCTGCTTAGTTTAACATTTTAAGTTGGATTTTTTTGGTTTCCTGCTTCTGTTAACTGTGATTATTCAAATAAAACTGCAAGAACTCACCTCTGCCTCCCTTCCTCTGTATTGGGGTCCTCAAACCTCAACCAGACATTGACAGTTATTTTATCTGAGTTCTGTTTTTCTAACCTCTGTCGGGAGGAGAATTCCTGCCTCAAGTGGAGGAATTAACGAGTGAGAGGAGAATGGAGCAGGAAATGAAAAGATGGATCGGTGTGGCTGCTGCTTTAATGAGGACACTGCACTGGTCTGCTGTGGTGAAAAGGCAGCGTAGCGAAAAAGCACAGCTCTGGATTTAGCAGTCGTCTACGTTCCTACCCTCACCTGGATGAAGACTCAAAGAAAGAGATCTTGAATACAAGCGGCTTGAAATGAGCGTTCCCTACAGGGTGGCTGGGCTCTCCCTAGGAGATGAGGAGCTCTGTAGAGCGACTTCTTTTCCAATTCAAGAGAAGTCAGCTGAGGTGTCGAAAATCTTTTTAAGATGCTCCTTGACATGCCCATTGGGAGGTGTCTCCAGGACACGCTGGTATGGAGACACTTTCCTCCAGCATTTCTTTCACTATAGTTAAAGATAGACTCTGTATAAGCACCTTGAAGCTTTCTCTCTCCAGTTCTTCTTTCTGAAAAGAGATCACTCTGGACAAACTCTTTCAATAACACTTCATAACTTATATGTATTGAATAACCATGAGACATGACAACAGATTTAGGTAGAAATCCTAATCTTAATCAGATCAGAAAAGTTGCTTAGAGTTACAGAAGGCAGCTGCACACCCCCAGGCTTACCTCTCAGGAAGCGGCCATGATTAACAGTTAAAGAGGCATTTTATACATCTCTAGTATGCCACATCATCACATCATTACATCATACACGTTAGCAGATGATTAGACATCCATAGCTCCAGCCTTATCAAAATAACACTTTGTGCTTAGCTGAAGGACACCTCTCTCATTCCATTTCCAAATCTTTGCCACGTGCAGAATGATTATAACTGTATATCCGGACAGACAAACTGTCTTATTTAGATAAACAATTGTGGGTTAGTTCTAACATGCAACATGCAGCTAAATATTAAGGTGTTATAAACTCACCTCATCAATTATTCTAACACTATGCTGGAGGGATTATGTATCTCTGCGGGACTGGGAGTGTTGGTCTTCCCTCAGCATAGCTGTAGAAGGTCTCTGGGGAGAAGGAAATCCAGGAGTCTCTGCTAAGACTGCTGCCCTCGGTAAGTGGTATTTAGAGTGGCTAACAGGTTCAAGAACACAGAACACGGCTAAAAAAGGCCACACTGAGCCAAAGGCACTGCAGACGAAATGGAAAATGCAAACAAACATTCAGACAAAGTGCAAAACAAAAATGCTACAGCAATATAACACAGAGTGATTCAAACTACAAAATGATTACACAAAAAAATTTACATGCTGAAAAAAGAGCAAAACAAAAATTGCTGCAATCTTAAAAAAATGGACAAGAGAAATATTAAAAAAGGCTACAGGTACCAAAAACAAAACAAAACAAAAAAACTCACCTAAAAAAAACTAAAAAAGTATCCCAGAAAAAGCTTAGTTAGCCCCCAAGTCAGGTAGGAGGAGTCCCTAAAAGTTTGCTGCTGTTCTTAGTGTAGCGTATGTTTTATCCCCAACAGAGAGCTGCAGGTCCTTAAATAATAAGAACCCCCTGAAAAACAACAGTATTAAACTGCAGGGATGGTTTACATTAATAGTGTTTTTTGTCCATGTTCTAAATATGAAGCTGGAAATTGAATGAGTACAACTTTCTTAAAATAAGTGTATTTACCCTCGATTTGAGTAGGAAAATCAGATGATCTGCCAATGGATTGAGAACTTTGTCCCTTAAAATAAGATAATTAGATATTATGCGCTTAAAATAAGAGACTACAGAAGTGTTTTCTTATTTTAAATGCAAATTTACTTATTCCATTGGTAAAGTGTCTCACCTGCTTATTTCAAGGAAAATGAACTTGTTTTAGGAAAAGGAATGACTTATATAGATAAAACAAATTTGCAGTGTAAAAGAAAAAATGATTTATTCACATTTTATAGTTTAAGAAAAGCATGTATGTCATGAACTAATACATATGAGATGTATTGATGAAATAAAAATGATCTGTTCTTTTTTCCTGAGGTAAACTGCTGTCATTTTTCATTTAATACCTCCTGAGTTACTTGCTTTAATGTTATAAGCTGCTGCTGCTGCTAATGGCTTGCTATATATACTCCTATCTTGCATTGCAGAGTGGTTGTTAAATGTAGGCCATGCTGGGGGAGAGAAAGTTAAATTTGAATAAACCCCAAAATCAAATTTCCAATTCATTTATTTCAGGTGAAACTCTTTTTTTCCAGAAAAGCATAACATTACACTAAACATCACATAAAAATAGAGGGAACAACAATTAAAAAAAATATATGTCGGGTATGCTTTTTTGATTTTTATTTTTCTGTGTGTTTTGGAAATTCATATAAAACATTTGAAAAATAATTGAACGCTTATACATTATAGATATGTATGTGTATTCATGCAAATGCATTTTTATCTTAAATCTTACCAAGACCCCACATATGTATTTAATGATAAAAACCTACATTGATAGCGTGCATTGAGCTAAATATCTTTATGTTTTGATAATGATGTTTCAGATTTAAGAATGGTTTTTAATTGGTTATATGTTTAATTTTAGTTTCTGATAAACTAACTGAGGGAGAATTAATTTAGTCAACAAATTATTAAACCTCAATTAAATAAACTCTAGAAATATAATACTTTGTCTTTGATCAATCAACTATTAGATATTCTATCATTTTAGCCATTACTTCCAGGCTTTTAAAGACCTTTATGAAACACCCACAGTTAGACTGGCAGGAGGCAACAATAAAACAAGTGGGTTGTAATGGCGACAGCGTTCATAATGCTGCTCTCACGTTGCCTTGGTTCCATTCTAATCAAATTCTATCTGTTGCATCATCTTCTTTGGTAACAGTTGGCTGAAGTCACAAGTTCAGAGCTAAATCTTGCTTGTTGACAGCAAGCTGTAAAGTCACATTATCTCTCATGCTAAACTAATAGATGTCCTCCACCTGTCTTTTATATTTAGTTTGGCTTTTTGTAACTCATTTGTTGCCGTAAACAGCTGTCAGCAGAATAAAAGCAAAGCCAGATACATAGCAGGCAATGAATGTCTCCTCGGTTGTAAGTTAATTATCTGTCACGCATCACCACGGTAGTGGGATGGCTCATTTAAGTGTGGACTTTACTGCTAAGAATAAAGGACAACCACCCGGGTCCCACAAGCCTGCAAAAAGCTCTTGAGATGATGCTTGTTTCTTTCGTTCTGCTTTGTACCATCATAGGTAAGTTCTTCTAAATAGCCAATTCCATTATGGGCTATTGATTGTCTTTATTGCAAATAGACAGTGTATGCTTTTAATCAACAATTTTCAAAGATTTGTTTTGCATCAAACAAGAGTTTAGCCTCACATACATCCACTTATATATGTGACAAAAGTTTAGTTTAGGAGCTACATCAGGCTTGTACATACTTGTTGAATCTTTAAGTATATATAGCTCTATTGGTGTTATTGCTGACTTCAACCTATGTGCATGTTATACTTAAATCATCTTCAGAACCAAGTAAGCCTTTTGGTTCAGATGTGAAACATGACAATTCAAATTCTTTTTTATCTAAAGCACTAAGGGTGCTCCTGATGAATGGAAATAAATATCAGTGCTCAGTGGAAAGGCCACTCTTATAGTAATCATCTATACAGATGTTTTTTATTAGATTCTAGGTACCACAAGTTAATTCTTCTGCACTACAAATTATGGAAAACATTTATTCAGTGGAAAATTTTGATCAAATACAAAATGACTATATTTCTGTTTGTAACTGTTTTTTCTTTAGATGGGGTTTCCTGTGAAGTGTGCAGTTATCAGGATGTTCTGGATTACCTGAACTTGACGGCAGACAACTCTGTTTTTAAACTGACCCGACCCGTTCTGGACCACACACACGTCACAGTGGTGAAGTCGGACATCATCCTCTATGCAATTCTGTCGGTGGTATGGGCTTCTTTACATATATAACTCATCATTAGGGATGTCCTGATCAATATATTCTAGTGATCCAAATCATTTATATGTTATATGCTGATAGGGAGAACTCAAAATCAGTCACTTGTACATCCTTCACTAAGTAACAATCATTGAAAAGGTCTGTTAAACATTTTAAACAGTGCAAGATATGCACCCAAAACCTATTTGATTTTAAATCGTTCTCTAGAAAATGTCGCCAGATAATTAAATTAAATCAGATTTTCTGAAATTGTTTGTGTTCCTATTCTTAGGTTGAGAAAACACAAACCTTTGTACCTTTCGTCTGGGTATCAGTGGTGAGTTTTAAGAAATTTTCTTTCATACCTCGACAAACATTGATGATAACAGCAAGTATAACTTTTTATTCCTTTGTTGGTTGATTTCAGTTACTTAATTCATTTAATTCACTTTTATTGCAGCAATGGCAAGATGAGCGAATCTCTTGGGACCCATCTCAGTTTTGTGGAATCACTGAGATTTCAGTGCCTAAAGACATGCTCTGGAAACCTGACCTTTTCATCTATGAAATGTAAGCCTTCAGCATATAGACACCCACATTTTTCATCTCAATATCAGAAAAGACGTAATTGTGATATATTCAAGCATCTGTGGGAAAAGTATTGCTTCTGCATAATAATATGCATCTACTATAGGAATTGAAACATTCACCATGCAAATTGAAATACAAAAAAAATCATGACTGATTCTGCGCACTGTTTTCTAGTCCACGAAAGGAAAATGTTCTTATATGTTCCTATAATAAGGTGTATAATAATGTGTTGCTGTTTTAATGACAAACTTTGTTTTACGGTTAATAAAAAAAATAACAGAACATTTTATTTCAGTATCAAAATTACGGTTCAATGCAGGAGCAGCCACATTAGTTTGGATGTTGTTGTGAGACATATCCAAAGCTGAAACCCACTGGAATACAAGAATTAGACGAAGTCAAATCCTAATTCACTTTTAGAAAACACCAGAGCATGGAGTTATATTTATTCATTTTGTAATGAGCTAAAGTTAGTTTGATCATTTTTATAATGAATTATCTTTAGAATTTATATAGAAAACAAAATACCGTACCATAAAAAGTTAAACATATAGATGTTACTGGTTAAGAGCACTCCAAGGGCCTGATCTTTGAAGACTCAAAATAATAAAAGTACATTTTTTTTTATAGCATATGCAATAAGTGGACATATTCTGGGGATGAACAAAGATCTATACAAATTGTAAGGCATACAAACTGTCTTGGTTCCACCCATAAAACTGAGCGGATTGAATGTTCACAGGCAGTTGTGTTTTGTCATAAAAGAAAGATGAGGTTGTAAGCCACGTAGTTAGATGTAATACTGTATGATAACAAATGTTTGAAAAACAGTAATTATAATCCTAAATAATATTTATAGAGCATTTTCCATAGGTTTTTGAACAATGAAATATAAAACACAAGAAAGCTGTCTTTGTCTGTTAATTGCTTTGCACATTGTATTTGTTTACATTTGCATGGTTTGGTCATTAGAGTATGATCTGCATATTCATTTTACACGTTCTTCAAACATGCACTTATTTTAGGACATAGCTTCTGAAGATCAGATTCCAAATGTTTCACTTCTATATATTTGACATATCTAAAGAAGCAGTATTGGATCAGTGTTTTATTTTATTTTTTACTTAATGCCACACGGGGTAACTTTTGACCAATGTATTAATCTAATTCAAGATATATTGAATGATTACTGAGGTTATTATGTACCACTTGCCACACACTGATGCTCGGTGAGGGCTGCTCTCCTCAAAATCTCAGCTTTATAACTGGAGATGGTCGGAACATCTCTGAATAGGTCTTGTGATCTTGAGTGGCATTTTACGGCAGTCTAAGCTGCCCTTAAACACAAGAGTTAACTAAGCTAACGGTTGCATTTAGCCATTAAAACAGACATTTTTGGTTCTCTGATGTAGGATTAAATTCGAGAGGTGTGAATGTTACCTTGTCTTTACAAGTCAGTTTTAACTTCAACTTTACTTTTATTGTCCACTGAATGAAATTGTGTTTGCAGGAGGGTAAAAACAATGGTTAAAAAAAAAAAGGGTAATAAAACATGAAAAGACGAGAACTCACATGATAGGCACACAGACATTAACCCTCCTACTGGTCACTACATGAGCCTAATCCACCACTCGGCACACCTGCTCATCTCCACCCTGCCTGCTATTATATCTCACTGTTTCCACCTGTCTCCACTTTCTTATAAACCTCGTTTGGATCAGTTCCCAGTGCCAGATCGTCTCAGGCTAACCACTGAGTACTTTCAAGCATTACTGATACTGTCTGCCTATCTGTTACTTGACCTGATTCTGCCTCTATCATCGAGCCAGCCTGATCCCTTATCTGATTCTGTCTGCCCACCCGGAAAACCTAGCCGACCTGCCTCTGGACCCCTGCACCTGTTCTGCCTTGGAATGTCTGGCTGTGAGCCCGACCCCCACTCTCTCAGTGAGTTACCGAACCTGCCTAACCCCTTTGCATCTCTGAACCTACTAGTTATCAGACCTTGGATCGGACCTTGACCTGCATTCTGGATTGCCCCTTTGTACTGCCCTTTGGACCTCATTCCCTGGACGTCATATTGTCACTGTAGCACACCAGTCAGGGTCCCCAAAGAAACGTCTGCCGCTCAACGGCCCTGCTCCCTCAAGCCCCGTCCGCAATCGGACGTCCGGCCCGGACCTGAACTCATCACAGAGCCAATCCCCAGTTCTGAACAGGGCCTGCCTATCCCCTTAAGTAAAATCCAGTGCATTCCACTGACCTGTCTGTGTTGAATCTTGAGTCCTATATCATGAGCAGCATTTAGCAACTCAGTCATCAGGACTCAGCCTGCAGGTCAAGTAACTCCATGGCTACTCAATCTACTGGTTCAGATTGGTTTGCTATTAGGTTCCAAAAAGAGCAAGACTGATTGATTTTGCCACAGTGTGATGTTGACAGCAGCCTGCGGGCCCGGGGATACTAAATCTGGAGGTTACTGGTCAAGTACAACAGGTAAACTGTACACAGTGTTCCTTTTAAATTCTCAAATTCTGATGTCTTTATGCAGCACATGGATTTCTTTGCATACTATGTGCTGTAATTTATGGAAAGATTCATAAACAGAGTAAATTTAAGATTCAATAAAAACTATATTTCATATAGAGTCAGCTATGGTGATTCTGCAGCTATGATGATAAACTACAATTTAATAATTTCTGTTACTGGATTTGCAGATGTAATCAACTTTATTGTGTACTCACTTTTATTAAAGTACACAGAACCATTTTATAGTACATTTAGTACAACACTAAAGCAAACAAAATTAGTCCAGCATCTGTTCAACGGAGTTGAATTAACAGAATCAACAGAGAGCTGTACTCAACGTAATTTATTTTTGTGTATGCTTGTGTGTACAAAATGACAAAATAAAATCTGTCTAAGTCTAAGTTCAATGTAAGCATGAAACATGTTGAAAGACATTAAAAAGTGTGTCTCTACCTTTATGTTTTTTCAGGATACAGAAGGATGAGTCTCCTCCAAACCCATACATGATTGTAAATCATAATGGTACCATCTTTTATGATGAGGACATGCGGGTAGTTAGCACTTGCAAGATGGACGTCCACAAGTTTCCTTTTGATACTCAAGAGTGCAGCATGTCCATCGGTTCTGCAATATACTGCGGTGGGTATTATATGTGGTGGGTAACATAATGGCGCTATTTGTAGCTCAGCCTGCTCCCTAATTCTTAAAGCCGTTAATATTTATTGAAAAATAAAACATTTAGAATTTGGCAAAACATACTCATGGTTAACATATAGGGGTGTAAATAATAATCGTTTTGTATCGATGCATCGATCCAAAAGCCGACAATCCGATGCATCGACACGTCCGCAAGATAATCGATTAATGTTTTTTTTTTTTTCCCTCCGGTCTATTTTTATCAATTTTCTCCTGGGCGTAACTCTCCTCCCTCCCTGCGGTGCCGCTAAACTTATTTTGCCCTCCTACCGCGCTTCCTGGTTATACTCTTACAGCAGTTTGTTGCAGCAAGCTTCACACAGACATTTTTAAATTATGCTCAATATTGCAGCGTGGTCTGAGCTACACGCTGTGGGTCTAGATACGGCCGAGGCGGCGAGGAAGTGGGGGCGAGTTTAGTCCGACGACGGAGGGACAATGGGGCAAAAAGAGCGGAGATTCAGCTGGAAAAAGGCTCCCAGCGTTCTCGCGCACCTCGCTCTTCTAGCGGGTCAAACTTCACGAGTTGTTTTCCGCAATTTCGGTCATAAAAACAAAACAAGCCGCCCTCCTGTCTGGTGCACTGTTTGCGGTCAGCTACAATCTGGAAGAGGAGCAGCGGAGCGTCTCTCAAGGGGTCGGTGACGTCAACACTCTGGAGCCTTCTTCCATTATATTCTCCCTAAAATACCCGTTCTTCTTAGAAAATTAAAAATACTACCAAAAACTACATCCCCAGATGACCTTTGAAACAATTCCCTTATATCTAGTTTACTTTTATTCCTGTCTAACTCTCTACACAACATCTCTCTTTCCTGAGTATATTTATTAAATTCTAAAAAAATATGTTGGACAGTTTCTTTGGAGCCGAGGTATTGCATTGAACTCATTACACTGATATTGTGCAGTATTTTTACAGTATTTTTTGATGCAGCTTTTCTACTTCTGTTATTTGCTGTTGTTTCTAAAGAAAATGCATAACGATATTACAGCTTTCATTGATTTATTTCAAACTTGAAACTTTGTTTAGCCTGTAAGGTGTAAAAAAATAATAATAATAATAATAAAAAAAAAATTAATCGAATCGTGGTGTATTCTTAAGTATCGAAAATAATCGAATCGTTGGGTCAGGAAATCGATACTGAATCGAATCGCCATGATGGATGTGATTTACACCCCTATTAACATATATGAAAGGATACAGTAGGAGTGTATTGGTACCAAATGGAGGAGTGAACTTGCACTTAATTGACAGCCATAAATTACACAAACTATCTAAACATATTAAAAAAGATCTGGCTGGTGTGACATTTTTGTTGAGACTTCTAACTCACATGCAGAAATAACTCTCAGGAGAAAAATCACATCCTGAATACAGAGTAATGAAATGTGCAACATAGACTTATGTCTATGCAATGGCTACAGAAGCAATTAGGGATCTTGAAGATGATTTTCTGAATTAAAAATCCCGCTTACTTGAGATCTTGGAGATGGAAATGGCCGCCAGGGGAAGGTTTTGCAGGGTTGTTCAGAGACTTGATCTGTGATTCTTCCACAGAGGACAGATGGAGTTTGAGATAGGTGCTGCTATAATGTTGGGGTAGACAAGATGTGCAACAGAAAGAGTTGTATCCAGAGTTTATCAGCAGAAAGCAATGAGGAAAAGGTTAATGGCCTGTACTTAAAAAGGGCTTTTCAGGAGTCTTGACCAAAAGCGCTGTATACTACATTTAGTCATTCACCCATTCACTCACACACATACACTGATAGTGGCAAGCTACATTAGCTGAGAATTAGAACTGTTCTAAGCAACAGTTCTTTTGTCTGACCAAGAAATGTGTTAAAATGTATTTTTTGCTGTACTAGACTTGGTGGAAGCAGAAAGGTAAATTGCACTAATCAAAGATTTGAAACCTAATTTTTCTATAACTTTGAAGTTTTGCACCCTGACCCGAGCAGAAGGTATATAGCTTAGCATTGCTGATGATGATAAAACGGGCTGTTTATGAGAATGTAGATGTCTTCCCCCTGAAACCTGAACACTGGTGGACAGGAGCCTGACAGAGGGAGGGAGCTAAACGGAGGAGTTACAGTTTGGTTGGAAGGCAGACACTTGCAGAGATGAGTTAAATGAAAGTCTTGGATGGTATTTGATGCTGAGGAGGCTTTGAGAGCAGAGATTGGGGAGATAGATCCGAAAGAGGTGGTATTCTGGAAATGCATTAAGGCTTGGCAGAGTCTTCCAGATTGAAAACATGCCTAGGCCAATCTGAGATAGGAGGTTGGAGCAAAGGAGAAGGGCTTCCTCTGTGCTTGTTGATTTTCCAAAGGAGGGAGCAACTGGTTGTGGCCGAGGAGGAGGAAGGAATTGAGAAGCAAAGCCACATGGAAGAAGGCTCGGAAGCTGAACAGAAATTAAACAGTGGCAAAGCAATGCCCCCTTAACATGGAGAGATGAGGGATGGGGGCATTCTAACATTCTGGCACTTCTCAGTGTAAAGGAAATAGAACAGCTGAAGGAAGCATAAACTTGGCACGGCTGTTCAGGTCAGAATTCGACATGTTGAGTGAATGAAGTTTGCATTTTGGTTGAATGGCAGACACATTGACCGTGTTCAGGAAGCTTATAAAGGAGAGTCGGGGATGCTACTGGCTGCTGAGGAGGCTTGGAGAGCAGAATAAGATTGGCAAAGGTAGATTTGGAAGATGTGGCAGTTGGGATATTCAGGTACTGCTTGGCAGAGTCTGCAAGATTGAAAAATGAATCTAGGCTCTATTTATAGTGATTTCTTCATATCACCCCAGTATTTTAGGTTTGTTTTATTCTGGATTACTGGAAATCTACATGTACAATAACATTCTCAAGGTTACAGGACAGAGTTAATCATAGAGACACACCCTGAATAAAAATCTTTAAGGGATATCTAATTTACTCCTATGCAAGATGATGAAGAGCAGTGACGATATAATAATACGGAGAAGAGTAAAACTCTGATTATTTTTAATTTCTTAAATTGTTAAAAATGTTTATTACTTTAATGTTTAAAAAACATAATTTTGGGACCCTAGCCAGAGCCACTGTACTACTTGTTAGCATGGCCGCGGGAAGTGGGGGGTGCTGCAGCATCACCTAGTGGTGAGAGGGCGATAAAAAAAAACATTAAGATACTGTTTGCACAGTTTATAAATTTCTTATGAATATTTTTGGCAAATGATTTTCACCTTTTCATATTTTAATATTACGTGTATTTGGATTTTAATTTAATAATTTTGACGCCTAATCAACACAACTTAATGTAAGTTACGTTCTCATGGCAACGTCAAGCAAGCCAGGGCATGGTATCCCGCTCGCAACAGCATACTAGTAAATTTACATAGTCTAATGACAAAAACGAGGAGGAAATATGACACACCCCCACGCACTTTCATATCTACTCATGCAGTATTCAGATTCATGCAGTTTAATGTAACCATAGTATTTTAGAGTGTTATTTTGATCTTGTGTTGTGTACAGTAATGGATGTGGAGAACTGTTAGATAATGTATAAATAGTATAATAATATAATTATTTCTTTGTTGTTCACGTATAAGGATTTTGGAGCTAATAGTAACGCTAATAGTGTCATGTGACATAAACACAGCTGACCAAATCTACGTTGTTATAGTGTTATTGTGAAGTTTAATTAGTAGCGCATATACTGACCTGTCTGTGTGTTACAGACTGGTTGAGTGCACTGAAGTGTATATGAAAATAAAGTAGCGAATCTCAATCTATTTACTTTTTTTTTATTGTATTTTAAATAGGCTTATAGGCTCATAGGTCTTTAGTCCAAAAACATTTCTAGAGCACTCCCTGTTCAAGAGTACTTCCAGCGGCCTTGCTTGTTAGTGTTTGAAACAATTCAGTTTTTAAATGGAATAAAAATCTATATAAAATTACAGCTTTTGAGACCATTTCTGCAGTTTTTCTTCCACATTAAAGCTTTCACTTGTATTGACTGAGAGGCAATTTAGCAAATGTAACCCTTCTTTCATATTTTTCTCTCCCAACAGTAAAAGAAATGCGGATTTTTCCATTCTCAAATTCTTCTCGAGCCACGCAATTTTCCCGAGAGGTAATGAGGACTCAGGGAGAGTGGGAGTTTCTGCAAATGTCTGTTGAAAGCTCCAACCTCAGCTTGAACGATAGACATTGGGAGCTGCTGACCTACACGGTACACAACACAAAACATCTGACAAACTATAAAAGAGAGAGAGTTGTAGCTTTTGGAAGCTTTTAATATGATCGACAGGTTGTTGATCACCCAAATAGAAGCCTTGAACACACCTGCTATATGCATACTTCCTAAGATGCTTTGTAGTCTTTAAACATATATAGTCTGGTTGAACACTGATCTAAATCCCCATATTTTTAAACCAGGCATGTTGGTTTTTCTTATCCAGGTTTAGGTAAGGGAAACACAAGTAACAATAAGTACTTGTTCATAATAAAGTAAAATAAAAAAGTATTCTTTACACATCTGGGGTCTCATTTATAAAGCTTACATACCAACAAAAAGAGGCCTGAAACTTGTGAATGCCAACTTCTAATCAAATGTTGTGATCAATAAAAAAAACAAACTTAGAGTGAAATTTTATTTATCTGTAGGATGTGCGCAGATTTTGGAGAGAATGAAATTGGCAACATTGATGATGGGGAACTGCCTAAATTCAAAATCAAAGTATGCACAATATTTCTGTTTCAATGTGAGCCATACTGCTGATCAATGCATTAATGTAACAAGGTGTGAGGAATTCCCACTGATTACGGTAAACATTTAAACATTGTCGATGCTTAATGGTTCACAATGCACTGTAAAAACGAAAAAGTTAGTTCAACTCAAAATTTCAAGGCAACCGGCTGCACAGAATTTTTGAGTTGAAAGCATCAACTTAATTTTTTAAGTTTTGTAGAACTACACTTATTAAGTTGTGTCAGCTAAGTTTTTCAAGTTCTGCCAACTAAGTTTTTTTAATTCAAGTTACTGGAACTTTCAAGTCTGTAAAAACTTATTATTTTAAGTTCAGATTATCTGTAAAAAGTTATTTTAAATTCAGATTACCATCCCCTGTAATAACTTACATTTTTGAGTTTGAATCCCCCCCATTAAATCATCCACTGACAGTAAACCATCCATCCATTTTCTAAGGACAATTTAGAGAAGCCAATCAACCTAACAGTCATGTTTTTGGACTGTGGGAGGAAGCTGGAGTACCAAGAGAGAACCCACACATGCTCAGGGAGAATATGCAAATTCCGTGCAGAAAGACCCCGGGCCAGGAATCGAACCCAGAACCTTCTTGCTGCAGGGTAGCAGTACTACCCACTGCGCCGAGCAGCCCTGACTTTAAACCAGTTAAATTTTGCATGTTTATTTGAACCACTTTGGCAAAAACAGGTTTACAATTCCACAATGTAAACAAGTAATCTTATGCTTAAAGCAAATCAGGTTTCAGCAGATATTCTTTTACTTTCCAACTCCTGTTAAAACCTTACAAATAATGCAATATTGCCAGAGATGACAGGAAACCAGTGCCTTAGTCTTCTCTTGGACGAGTCCTCAGGGAAAGTTACCACCAGCAGAGTGACCAAATGGCTGAACCAAACTTTAGAAGGGAGCTCCTGGGAAAATCCATGGAAACCCTGTAGCAGCCGGTTGCCATGACAAATTTGAAATGAGCATGTGCAGATAAGTTGACCTCGCTCGGACTGGGTGTCAACTACAACTTCTAAGTAAACTCAACTTAATTTATAGAATAAGATGAACTTTTGATCAGAAACTTATGAAAGTGAGTTCAACTGGCTCACAAAAGACAGTTCAAGTTCCAACTGGCAATTTTATTGTCAGTGAATGCAAAAATCTTAGTAAGGTGAACAATTTTGAGTTGTCGTTTTTACAGTGTGGATGCTTTAACTATGCTTGACTATAATTTAGAAAAGAGGGTGGGAAGACGTTTTCAGGGATCACCAACACTGAAAAAAGTAACCCAACCGCTTTTGGCATTTACTTAATCATATTTAGTCACTTTAAGACAATTGTTTTATATCCTACCCTGTAACATGAAAAAAATGTGTTAAAGTAACTAAAGTAACTGAATAAAGCATTATTTTTTCAGTGAATAATATTTGTACCATGAGCAGATTAGAGCCCTGCTCTTGAGTCCAGTGTTGGAGAGACTGACTCAATGGACCCACACATTATCTTATAATCACTGGTTTTGAAAAAAAAAAAAAAAAACAGTGCACATTAAGGCATTCATCAAAAAGTTAATTAACCAGAGCTGACAAAGACAACTAGACAACATCTCTGCAGTTGCCATGGAAGCCATTAAATAACATTCATCAGTTGGCTCATTTAGATACATTCATGCAATGCTTTCTATGGATCATTTATGGTTGAATGCAGGCGTAAAGAGGGCTAAACATGACATGAGGAGTGGCGAGACTGGTGACCTAATGGTTAGTTCACAGAGCTTGGAATCCAGAGGTTTTGAGTTCAAGCCCCACTCCCACAGACTGGAGTGGGGCTTCCCTTCCCTTCTCTTCTCTTCTACGCCTGTATAGGAGCGTGGAGGACCTAATCTATTCAGCCAGTCTCCTTTAAAGACAGACCTTCAGACACTTAGTCTGGGCGTACACTGTGCGATTTTTTGCCCTTTTGGGGCGATTTTCCAGTCGTGCGAGAATTTTCCGAACAGGCCAACTTTCAGCCTGATCGTGCATTGTGTAGTGTACAGGGGGTAACCAGCCTCCCATGACCACCTCCCGATCAGGAATCATGACGTCTGGCAAATCGCTCAGTGGGCATGCGCAAAGAAGGACTCTTTTTTTTCTCTTCCTCTCAGATGTAAACACAGAAGTATGGCGGGAGTGCAAATAAAATGGTGTTCTTTCCGTAAAATTAACAGACCTTAGTAGCTACATTTGCTAAGCCAGGTCTTTGTCCAAATACGTCGTTGCGTTTTCTTTTCAGGGATTTCAGCACAAAATTGCACAAATTGCCGAGGCAGCACGTTTCACTCTAGTGAGCTTCATATTCCTCTTCTACTCGTTTGGCAGCTGAGTCCGACATGTTTCTTAGACGTGCAGTGTGAGCAGGTAGATCGCATCAGAGTGTCAGGCTGAACATGCATCGTGAGCTGTAGCTGCGTGCAACTATTGAAAAAAATCGCACAGTGTATCCCCGGCTTTAGATGGGTATGGGGTATTGCAGTCTAACAAAAGATGCCAAATGACCCCCATTCCAAATGGGTGGACCCCTTCGTCTGTTCCAATTTGCATGTTTTCAACACAAAAACAAGGCTTAGTTTGTGCTACTGTATAAAACCTTGAACTTAACACTATTCCTGACATTTTGAATTGAAAAAGCTTCCTGGATGGGAAGCAAAACGTCTTCAAACTTGGAAACCAAGTCCAGGGCCTTGTTTTTAACTTTTTTTTTGGAATCCCACAGAGTGCTACTCTGGCTCCGTAAGCAAAGAGCCTTAACCCCACACTGCTCCCTGGAGGCCACACAATGGCAGCCCACTGCTCCTCAAGGGGATTGGTTAAATGCAGAGAGTTAATTTTGTCGCTATGTACTTGTGACAGTATTATGACAATAAAAAGCAGAAAAAAAAATTAGATATAGCATTGTGTGCAAAATTTCAGATACAGCTGTGATATATAAAGGAAAATTACTTGGTTTGTGTGTAAAAAGGATTTCAATAAATAAATTTTTTGGCACTCCTTTTTTGCCTGTTTGGCATACTCTTTTATCATAGCTCCTACACAATGTTTTACAAATGATACCCTGGTGCTTGTTGAGCATATATGCATGAAACTACTTTGGGAAAGAACCAAAGAAGCCGTGATTATGAAAATGCAAAGATGTTTTTTTTCAAGAAAAAAGTTATAAAAAATTAAACTCATTCACACCAAAGAATAACAGTAAACCTTTTTTAGGATTGTTTGTTGTACAAGAACTAAATCCAGATATCCTATTGTGCCATTTGTTTTTTTAAAACTCCTCAGTTAACAAATTTCAAACTTTTCTTTCTCTGAATTTTGTCCTTTTCTTATCCCTTGCTAATCTCTTTCCACAGGTCAGCATAAAGAGGAGACCATTACTTCATGTTATCAATTTTCTGTTGCCCATCCTGTTTTTCCTTATTCTGGATCTTGCCTCTTTCTTCATCGCTGATCATCGAGGGGAAAAACTGGGCTTCAAAGTAACAGTGCTGCTGGCCATCTCTGTGCTCCTCCTTATCCTTAATGACATTCTGCCCTCAATGTCCAACAAGACTCCACTGATAGGTATAAAACCTAAAGGGATTTAATTTGACTTGAGACACTGAAAAAGAAAAATCTAATTAACTAATCTTTTGCTTCCCTTAGCCACCTACTGCATTGTGATTTTTGCTTTGATGCTGCTTAGTCTGCTGGAGACTATCTTGGTAACTTATCTAATTGAAAACGATACTAAGGATGAACTAAACCTGTGGGACAAGAAGGAAGACCAGCACCTCAAAACAAAGAATCATAGCAGAGGTAAGATGCACTTCACTTTAGATAAGAGTATCTTTTGATTTTTATTTATTTCCATATATTTTTGCTCTGTATTTGTGATAAATTGTGTTGTTTGTTAGCTTAATATATATCCATAAAAAGGAATCACTTGTGCACATCATTTTTCAGGACAAAAGGCCCCTGCTTACTTGCATGATTTAAAAAAATAATTCTTATGCATGCTCATTTTTATACCAAATATGTTGTGATCTCAGACAAGGTTAAAAGAAATGGTTGTCCCTGCATCTGCCGAGTCTGTGAGAGTGAGAAGCAGCATGAGCTCCTTCCTGTTAATGAGGAGGTAAAGTATTATGTTCATACCTTTGCAGAGATGTTTAGACCTTACTTCCCAGACTGTAATTAGATACAACAGAGCCAGTTTAATGGAAAACTCTAAGTTTTCTAAACCTGAAATCAGGGAAACTCTGAGTTTTCCGTTTCACAAAGAGAGTTTTCTCAACCTCTGTTTCAGTCACCGTAGTAGCTTTCTCCCCAGAGCTAATCTAGTCGGGATCAGGTTTTGTTCAATAAACTCAGTGTGTCCTCTGTTTCTGCTCTCCTTAAAGACAATCCAGTTGTTTAATTTCCTGAGGTAGATTCATTTTTGAAATAGTTCTGTGCGTACAGTTAAAATGCAGTTGATTTTGGTTTGTTTAATGAGCAAGTTGTGGATCTTTTTTTTTATAGTTCATGAAGAACTAATGAAATTATTTTCAGATTACACATAAATAGATACACACATAATTAATTCCATAAAATTAATTACTGCAGGTTTAGGATTAGGACTCATTCAATGATAACAACCTACTGAGCCTACTGGTACAATCTGATGCCATTCTATGGAAGTGATAATCACTAATAACAGCCATTTATTGGGATGATAACATGTAAAGCAGCTGCAGACACTTAGTATTTATTGTGCGATGGAAAACATAATAGAAGGAATCCAACTAAAAATGTAACACAGACCAGAACCACGGAGACATCAGGGGAAAACACGCACAAGGAGCCGGGGAGAGACGAGGTGAGCAGAGAACAGCGACGACAGGATCAGCAACAACAAGTAACCAACCAGAAGTGACAGCAGAGGGAGAGTATACAGTATGTAGCTGACTGAGACAATGGCAGGGCTAACGAGCTGACAAGGAGCAGGTGTGAGGAGACAACGAGAGAGCCAAGGGGAAAGGAACACACACAAGAGGGCAAAAGAGGAAAAGAACAGAAAAACCTGAGAACTAAGATAAATCTAGAAACTACAACAAAATAGAAATTAAACCAATGAACCTGGAAACATGTAGCAAAGTAAAGGATAACAGAACCAAAACCATGACAGTTAGAACAATGTTTTTATTCTTCATCTTCACCTGCTGACAGCTGCTGACCCAAAACAGATACATTGATCCACTACAATTCAAGAAATATCATTGTTTTCCCTGTAATGTTATCATAGTTACAACGGGCTATGGCAGGCCATTTTGATATGTGTTAGTTTTACTGAATATGTAGTCCTGATATCTGAAAAGAATATATATAAAGAAATATATTTCAGATATGATAAATACATATTCAATCAAGCTGATTAACGTCAAAACAGCCACTTAAAATGTCTAGATATATATATACAACTTAAGTCTTACTAGTATAATTTAGTTTGTTTACTTTCTGAAATTCAGTTTCTGCAGCAAAAATGTATTTTAGAAAATCTGCTATTATATTTCAGAGTAGTAATGGGATCTTGACCAGGAAAAATCTGTTTTTGTGATCAACAAATGGAACAACAGAGAGGAGAGTGCTTTTAATAAATGTAAAAAAGGCTTGCCATTTGGACGTGCGCATTAAGTTAAGCACCAATCTTTGCCCTCGCCAACTTCCTCTCCTTTGCAGCTGTAGCGCTGTTTCTCTGTATTTAAAACAAATTTTACATTTCTTTCTTTCATTTCTGCATTTGAATCTCTAGTTCCAGTGGGGTGTAATAGGCACTTCCTGTATCCTGTTGTCAAATTGGGGCACCACTGATAATGGCTTCTCATACTTGTTATGCACGTGTTAAACTCTGAGTGAACCTACTCAGTTGATTAAACTAACTTACAGCAGGTTTTATGAAACTGAAAAATCAGAGTTTCCACCCTTAGGCTAGATCAATTGAGAGTTGGGGATTTGACTTGTTTATTGAAACAGACCCAAGGACTCTAAATCTAACTTACTCCAGAGCAGTGGTTTACAAGCTTGGTCCCACTGCCCTTCATGTTTTAGATATGTCTCTGCTTCACCGTCTGAACAGCCCAGCAGACACTATAGCTATTTTTCGAATCCAGCGGTGTCGCGCTCCGTAGGCTAGATTTGTTGGTGGATTATCTCATTGCACTTTGCCGTGGCCTGTTCTGATTAGAAGACTCTTTGTTATGCAGCCAACAGGTGGAGCCTTCTTTTCCGCTGGTTGGAAGGACAGGTCGTAAGTATCTTATATACCGGTAGTCTTGGGTATCACGTAATTCATTGTGAGTCCAAGCAAGCAGGCTCTCTGTGCTCAGAGGAAAAGGGGAAATGGCACCAAACAGGGGTGAATTTTATGAGTGCAGTTTAATATAATACAAGTATGTGAATAGTTCCATCTGAAATGAATGAAAATAGTTTTTTAATGATTATTGAGTCTCTAAGGGCTCTCCCTTAGAGATAGGGTGAGAAGCTCGGTCATCCAGGAGGGACTCGGAGTAGAGCCGCTGCTCTTCCACGTCGAGAGGAGCCAGTTGAGGTGGCTCGGGCATCTGGTTAGGATGCCTCCTGGACGCCTCCCTGGTGAGGTGTTCCGGGCACGTCCCACCGGGGGAGGCCCCGGGGAAGACCCAGGACACGCTGGAGAGACTATGTTTCTTGGCTGGCCTGGGAACGCCTTGGGGTTCCTCCTGAGGAGCTGGAAGAAGTGGCTGGGGAGAGGGAAGTCTGGGCCTCCCTTCTTAAGCTGCTGCCCCCGCGACCCGACCCCGGATAAGCGGAGGAAGATGGATGGATGGATGGATGGATGGATGGATGGATGGATGGATGGATGGATGGATGGATGGATTGAGTCAGATATTTGGTGGGTAATGTTGGTTTACCAAAAGGCCCTGTGCTAATGGATTTTGCTGACATTTAAGCACAGATTCCATTATCTGTGCAGTGTAGGGACTATAAATCTTATATTTGCGAGGACAGTGCTGCTGCTGAAGCTCCTTAAAAAAATTTAACAGCATACAGAACAATAGTGAGAAGTTAAGCATCCATTTTTTGACTGCTTTGTGGGTGCACTGTCACAGTTGCCAGGGGAAAGAGTTTACACTGACTGAGGGGCGTTGACAGCCGGAGAAGGCTGGACCTGAATCCATAGCCAATCTCTTCTAGCCTCCTTACTTTAATGGTCTCTGAAGGACCCAGTCCAGGTAGACCGGGTCCTTGGAGGATGCTGCCGCTGAAATCTAACACAGTTTATGACTGCAAGGGCCTGCTAATCACCCATTTATTTTAGTTAGGGGTGTGGAGGCAGGGAAATACCTAGAACATGCAGGAAAGTGGGTCCTGAGGACCGAGTTGGAAAGACACTGCTGTAGAACATGTTGTCCCACCATAATCGTAAAGATCTACTGTTCTGCAGGTTTTAGATGCATCCCTGCTGCAACACAACTGAATCAAATGATTGGCTCTTTACCAGGCCTTTGCCAAACTTGATCACACGTTAAAGTTTAAAGGTTATTTAGTCATTTGATCAGCTATATGATCAGCTATATTTGAGCAGGGATACATATGGAACAGTAGATCTCAAAGACCAGAGTTGGAAATCCCTGCACTATAGAAAAGATGAAGACAAGTTGAGTAATTGTATTAATGTCAGTAAAAAAGAAAAATACAGTGAAACCACTGCATCTATGTACAGGCAAACAACAGCAGGGACTCGGGGGATGCTAATGCTTTGCAGCTGATTCTGGAAGAGTTGAAGAACTTGAAGAACATGATGCATCACCATCTTGGCCCTAGAGAAGAGAGAATGAAGTCAGTACTCTGGGCAAAGAGAATCAATAAATGTTTCTTTGTCTTTTATGTTGTTACTGTTTCACTCTTTCTCTCCTTCATTTTTTTGGAATGGTACTCTTAGACATATTACATCATTCACTGTAATACTGTTTTGTACAATGTCCTTTAGCATGTGCCATGTGCCAAAGTCGTTGCTATCTATGTGACCAAGGATAATGTTTAGGGTGGAAATGTAATTTTGATTAATAGATATGCTTTTAGAAACTGTTTCCTATGTATTATGAACACATCATACACGGATCAGCATTTTAGACTTTTCTGAAATGAAAACAAAGCTAGAGAATCAAATAAGCAAATACTTTAAAGTAGGAATAATCCCAAACCAATTTGGTCTCAGTGAGATCATATAAAAAAGTAATAAGTAAAAGTAAGTAAAACAATGTAAAGGTAAATGTGGTAATATCGATAATATCGATACCAAGTATTGTCACACAATACATGTGTAAAAGCATGATAATTTTTTCCTCTCCTGCACGCACTGAATGCAGCAGATTCACCAAAGTCTCCCTGTCTGTGTCGCAGGACTTTGCTGTTCCCCCTCCCCAATCCCCAACTTGCATCATCACATGGCTCAGTGATGTCAGCAATATTTCTTGTAGTGCGTTAATTTTGTTTCAGTGTTTTGTTTAAATTTGCTTTGAATCTTTGTTTTATTATTGTCCCATCGTTCATTTGCAATAATAACGTACAAATAACAAAAACACCAAAAGTTTCATCATAAATCAAGCTTAAATAAAAAAGAATTGGTCTCTATATCGATGACACGACCCTGTATCCCAGTATCTATGTGAAATAATTGGGAATACAATTAATTCTATTTAAAATCTCTTTTCTTTTCATAGATGCTATTTCTCAAAGAAACAACATTTTATTTAATTTTCATGCTTATTATCATGCAGATAACTGCAAATTACTGTGACACACGCTGAGTGTGTGTAGCAAATCCATGAAGTCTGGTCTCTTTTTTTTGGGGGGTGGACTATGAGTGAAAGAATGCCATCCAGCAATTTAGTCAATTTAGTTGAATCTGGACACTTAATTTCAGAGAAAAATCATCTTTAAACACCTCTACCAAAATAAGGTATGCAGTCTAAATTCAAAACTATGTAACACAAATTGATGTTTTCAAGGCTTAATGTCTGTTAAATGTGATCATTTAAAATAGGAATATTAAATCAGACAGATATAGGGGAAAAAATAGTTTTAACTCAAATATTGGAGATTATTAAAAGTTCCGATTAATAACGCCACAAACAATTAAAACCTAAAATTTTTTTACAACCATACTGTAAAAAAAAAAATGTAATATACATCATTTAATTTCAAAATCTCTGTTCAGGCTGCAGCAACTGATGCATAGGAAGAGTAACTTTAGACATTATTATAGAAGTTTTTTTTTAACAGAGCAGCAGCATCCGTAGATGACTGGAAAACACATTAGAGATTATTTACTTCATGAGAAAAAGTAAAAAGCTACATTGGTAAAATACTTCTAGCCTTTTCTCTTTTAAACTGATTCAACTCAGCTCATTTCCCTCTGTGAACCAATCACAGTAATTGTCTGCAGCCTGCTTTTTGTGCATCATTGTCATGTCATTACAAAGAATGATGGTCATTCGATTAGTTCATTAGAGCAAGGATCCGGTGTTTGTACTACTCAGACTCACTAGAGGACATAGAGTATATTTTCCTTGTTTAGACTCTTTATATGTTTGTTTATGGGTTACATTTGAACCATTTTACAGTTTATAGTGTGAAAAGTCCTGCAACTTAAAGTTAATTGTGTTTGTCGGAATGTTGTTTTTCTTATTAAGCTGAAAATAAACAATCAATGTGGAACCTGAGCTTGTTTCCAAACCAGACTGTTCTTTCTGGGCCGTTGTTTCAAATGCACAGCTAACTTTTCTGGATGTTTCTATTCTTTATCCCATCAGTAGGGAATATGTTACAGATTTTAATTTTTTTTTAATATATATGCACACAATTTCCCCAAGAATATACCAACAGATGCATCCGGAAAGGAATTTACTTAATTGCCATTAACATTATAGCTGAGAGGAAATATGTTGACCTTATAAAAAGTAAATGACCCAAAGATTGTACAAATCATCTTTTAGTGAAGTTTACAGGCAGAGTTTGCAGTGTAACAAGGGACAGGTACAGATCCGGTTCAACTCTACTTCAGGAAAGACAATAGATTGACATCAATGACAAATTCTTACACAATCGGTGAGATGATCATTAAGTATTTCCAAGGACCATTTGTAGCTTTTTTAATCAAACAATTTAAAAAGACCAAATTGTTCTAGCAAATGCTCTCCTTTATTTGCAAGCCCTGAGTTTGACTCAAATACTGACAAACTACTAAAAAGCTATCCCATAGTAAGTTACTTAGATTTGAAGACCGGAGGTCCGGATGACTCAGTCAGTTCAGTGATGTAGCATGGAGCACCTTGCTGGTCAGCTTTGGGAAGGAAGAGATGAGGGAAAACAAATTCACTTGTTGCTATAGGAGTTTTAGATTGATGCAGTGTAATATACATCTTAATGGACAAATGAATGAATGAATGAATGTGGTTAAGAATAAAGGAGAATAAAAAACATGCAGGTTGTACATTTGCAGAGGAGGTTGTATTTGGGAGGGGCTGCCCAGGTGAGCAGAGCCAGTGAAGTTATCCTGAGGAAATGGTGATGTTTGGGCCTTCGAAGTCGGATGATTGCTATGAGACAGGGAAAGTCGCAGACATCAGTAACACCTGGAGGCAAGTTCGAACACTGAATTCGATGAGTCGAGCAGAGGAGGAAGGCTGGTTCTGTGCCATTTTGCTTGTGAATCAGCCGAATAAATAGAGAGGATATACTGTAGGGGAGAAGGTGGGGAGCCGAAAGAGGAACAAAGACCTGGGCTGGGGAACTTCCCTCTGGTGTAGAAAGAAGATGCATTCAGTGAGCCGGCCCTTCAGCGACCAAGCGAGACAGAAAGACTGAAAGAAGCATAAATCCAGCTGGGTCGTTGGATTTTATATTAGACATGTACTGGATACATAATAGATTATCAATTATAAATATTTATTGTCCATGGCAGAGTCATGCACAAGGCTGATAGAGTGATTGGATCAGAGATGAGGGTAAATTAGGTCTTTCAGGTTTTAACTGCTTATCTTGACCATTATTATTGTATTACTCCAAAAAAACCTGAACCTGCAATTTGATCTTTAAGAAGCCATTTATGTATACATACCAATTAATTTATTTGGGAAGCTAGTTAAATAGGTTTTGTTTCAATTCCTATCTTAAAAACAAAATATGAATAGAGCCAAAAAAGATTTTTTTGAATAAGGGAATATGATTGAAAATGCTTTGAACTCCTCATTAAAAAAAAGAAAAAAATAACATAACTGAAATCTAGTTGCTGTTTAATGTTGTAATTAAGGAGATAACAACGGCCTCATAAATGTCTCCTATGGTTCCTTTGGGCTTATCATTCTCAACTGATTAAAAAAAGAAAAAAAAAGCTTTTGCTTGCTCATCTAATTTAATCTCAAAACTCAGATGTCATAAATTTAAACTAATATTTTGTATGCTTTGAAAAAGACCCAGATAACTTGTACTTTGAGACTATGTATAAGACTGAGAGGCCTGCGGGTTGAAGCCAGGTAAGTTAACTTATAAATTACAGTTCATTCATGGCATAACACAAAGAGCTGAAGAAAAGCATGAGAAACCAAACTAAAAACAGAGAGGGGGGAGTTATAAATGACAAATTACTCTAGAATATGGAGAATAAGGAAACGATGGTTTAAAGTAGCAAACATTTCTGCACATCTCAGGTTTTCAAAATATATAGGAGATTCTTGCTACCTCTCTTTGTTTAGTTCTGTCCCTGTTAGCACTGGGAAATATCTGATCTTATAAATGGTCAACCCGGTCCAAATCTGTAAGGGTTTTAAAGAGATTCACTTTTAGCAAAATCTTCAAATCTCTACAATTATTGCACAAACCTTCCATTTATGCTTACAGCAAAAGCTTTGGGGACGAGAATCAATTATGAACTTGCCCTTGTTTTTGTCATAATTGCTTTGTTAAAATCAGCAATAAAAAAAAAATCTAGAATACATATCTCAGAAGTCACTCGCAAATGTATATTTTCTTTTGAAATATGATGTAGAAATATTTCAGTACATGCAAGTAACATGGGCGTAGCCTCAGTCTGGGTATGGCTGTCAGACTAATGGGAATATGAAAAGAGCTCAGAAGAAAAAAAAACATTTACTAATATAGCTGTTGCTTGCCCAGCCCCTCTCCAGTATTAGACAATGCTGTCATCGTCTGTAAAGACACAGTGAAAGGACAAGCATACGCTTTTATTTTTCACATGGAAAAGGTCGTGATGGTGGTTTGGTTCATTTTTTTGCTCCTCGCCTCTGGTAAGTCTAAATAATATTAAGGAGAATATCCAGTCCAAATAATCAGAAGCAGTTTACAGTTAGGTTTGTTCAGCAAAAAGGAATTATATACTGTTGTTGATACATTTGCTTCTGGAAAGCTTACAATGAATGCATTAGTCTATAGTGATTTTTGTTGTGTATACGTTAACTGTATGCATTACCTGCAAAAAAACCAGGTGAAATGGAAATTTCAGAATTAAAGAAGTGCAGGATTTGTTAGATATACAAGAATTAAATCAAATATATTTAGATGTGCAGAAAGATGTTTTCCCAGAAGCATAATAAAAAATTGCAACATCCTTAAAAGATAAAGATAGAAAGAGATAATTATAGCTGAAAAACATGTTTATATCACTGAATGATTAGTGAACTGATTACATAAGCCCCTGTGTAATGTCGGTAATGATCCCATAATGGCCTCTTAATGGCCACAGTCAATTCTAATTACAGCATATATCTGTGAACTGGTTTTGTCATCATAAATTTAGAAGCACTAAGTACAGACCACACAGCGGCTAATGCATCGATAATAATATTGTTAAAGAATGACTCCATATAGCATTGCAAAAACCAAACAAAAGATTAAGTGTTAAGGTTTTTTTTTTTAAGTCATCATGTTTAAGAAATGTTTACTGTGTTTTTTGTTTGTTCTTGTAGATGGGGTTCATTGTGAACGAAACTGCAGTTATCAGGATGTTTTGAACTATTTAAACCTGTCAAGCAACAATGAGCTGTACTCCTTGACACGACCAGTTAGAAATTATAAAAATCCCACATTTGTATCACTGGAAGTTCTGCTCTATGCCATCCTAGATGTGGTAAGTAATTAATACTTTTGTATAAACTTTGCTGAATTTGATTTAATTTTGTTTATTTGGAGGCTTGTAGTTCACAATATTTATATTAAATTGCAAATCTGAAACAGCATATTATGCAAAAAAGTGATAGAAAACAAAAGGCAAGGCAAGGCAAATGTATTTGTATAGCACAATTCAGTACAAAGACAATACAAAGTGCTGTACATGATTAAGATATAGGAAAATAAAACAGAATCAAAGCAAGTAGAAAAAATGAAATAAAATAAAAAAATGCAGAAACAAAAAAGAATAAAGAGATCACAGCCAAAGGGTTTTAAAGATTGATGATTTAACGTATAAGGAATAAATACCAAAAATAGGCCAGATAGCACAGGACTGATGAGTTGTAGCAGGAGGATTGGGATAACAGAAAAAATGATAGCTGGGCGTAGCTACTTTTACACCTACTGTAACAGATATATAAAATAACTAAATATCTGATGAATCAATAAAAAATTTGATAGCCTTTTGATCTTTTATGATTTCACTTTTAGCTTACAAAATCAGCGAAAGCATTACATATGATGAGTTTTCCAGTTTCAGCCAAATACCCTTCTATTTTATATTATTCTATTCTATAACCGTAGTCATTTGTATGCTCACAAATGAAACCCCGTTGTTCTTTCACCTGTTGCTTAGTTTCTGATTGTTTTAAAATGAATGGTCAAAAAATGTTTCCATGTCTCAGTATTTACATTTACTCTCCCTGAGCTGAACCATGTACGGGCTGCTGAAAAAAAATCTATATTTAATTATTTTATGGTGTTTAATGTCTATTAAAACCATGTAGACCAGAGATACCAAAATAGCTGACTTTCATTTGGATCTAGATCCTAATTGACTCTGGATCCAATCCTCTCTGCTGCAAACTCACCAACAAAAATTAAGTCTTTATAATCAATGAAAGCATCTGGACATCTTAAAAGTGGTGCAGGGCAATGGTGAGCAAGATGGCAAAATTCTACTTGATTCTTTTATTACCAGATGCTGGAGCCATGAAATAGTTATTCTAAAAAAAAAAAAAAAAAAAAAATGTCCAAACCTTTCATTGAAGACAGACATATTTTCACAAAAAACAGACAAACAGAAGAAACATTTGCTCTATAATTGTAATAAGAATAACAAATAAAAGAGTAGTAAATTAAAGGAAGGAAGGAAGGAAGGAAGGAAGGAAGGAAGGAAGGAAGGAAGGAAGGAAGGAAGGAAGGAAGGAAGGAAGGAAGGAAGGAAGGAAGGAAGGAAGGAAGGAAGGAAGGAAGGAAGGAAGGAAGGATCATTTAGAGACACAAATTAACCCAATTACGGTATTTTTAAACTATTTCACTTTAAATGGAGCTCCTTTATTTTTAGATACAGTGGAGTCTAGATAATTCTTGCCAGATAATAACAGATCACTGAGCTTCTAAACATTTGCACCAGAAAACTGAAATATGCCTCAATTTCACAAGTACATAACAGCTTTCTTCAGAATGAATGTTGTACATTAGCCATACATTGATACCAACTGTGATAATTCAGCAGATATAATATCTAAAGTACTTTGGAAGAACTGTAGTAGAAAAGCTTTGTGTAAATGAGCAATTTTTTAGACAGTTATTTTACAAATTATTAAAGTAAAACTTTATTTTGCATGTTGAAAGATTTTCTTAAACTTGTGATCTTACCAGCAAATCTACATATTTGCAGGTTGAGAAAGATCAGAAATTTATCCCTTATGTGTGGACCGTCACAGTAAGTTATCCATAAGTTTCTTAGTCCTTGTAAGCATGGGAACTGTCTACAGTAACTAATCCTTTTTTCCATTGTAACATTTTTACTGTTCATTTAATATTTTATTTTTCTATTTTCTCCTCTTCTTTCTTTAGAGGTGGAACAATGAATACATTTCTTGGGATCCCAATGAGTTTTGTGGAATTGACAACGTTTCTTTGCCTTCTCACATTTTATGGAAACCAGATTTAACAATTGAAGAAATGTAAGTTTTCACGCGTGAGCAACAATTATATTCAGCATATAATTTACAAATATTGGGGCTCAAAATCACTGAAAGCTTGAGTGATTTTATTATTAGGGTGCTCTTACATTTGCCAATAAGCTAATTTTATCTTTCATTTTTTTCCCTCTTTCATTTTTCATTTTCAAAAATAAAAGTTCCAAACTAAATAGTATTAATATACTAATATTTAGTCAATATTAATTGACTAAACTGTCAATTAAGAAATTTGTCAGCAAGCTAAATACCTATTTTCCAAATTAAATACTTAGTTTATTAAATAAATATTTAGTTTGGAGCTAAATATTTAATTTGCTGATTAAATATTTAGTTCACAATAAATCCAAATCCAATATTAAATATTTATCTAGCAAACAGAATATTTGACTTTCAAATTAAATATTCATCTAGTTTATATAATAAAATATAATACATATTTAGCCTGGTGCTAGCTAAATATTCAATTTCCAAATCAAATATTTTGTTTGTTAAATAGGTATTTAGTTTTGAGCTAAATATTTATTTAACAAAATAAGTGTTTAATTTTCAAACTATATATCTAGCTCCAAACAAAATATTAATTTAATAAACTAGTTATTTAGTGTTGAAAATAGATATTTAGTTAAAATGTTTATTTGGAAAATAAACATTAAAATAAATATTTTAATATCTAGCATGCTGAGAATTATTTTAACTGACAATGTAAACATTTAGTTTGGAGCTTTAAATTTTCATAAATGAATGACAGTGACAAAATGACTTCGAAAAAACAACCCCCTAATTTTTCTCTTAACACAAACTTAATAAATAAATATTGCTCCTACTTATTGACTACTTAGCTTTACAAACGCCACCCCATACACAAAACTTACAGGTACAGATTTTTCCTTTGTGAATCCCAAGGTTTTCAAAGTTCTGTAATCACTTTTTAGCACATGTCTGTTTATTTATTTTCTTACAGGACTGAGAAAGACAAAGCTCCTCCAAGTCCGTATCTAACAATCAACAATAAAGGAGATGTTGAAGTTCAGAACGACCAGGTGTTAGTGAGCACCTGCAGGATGCACACATACAAATTCCCTTTTGACATTCAGAGTTGTAACCTCACCTTTAAATCCGTCATACACACAGGTGAGAGCGTGATTCTAACACATCTATATATTTTGCATCTGGTTTAAGTAGCATTGTTCTGAGGACAAACCCAAAGTTTAGGACAGTCAAGACAGAAATATAGCATAATACTTGTCTCTGTGTCTCTGTACACGATAACTTGCAAAGTTATGGATGAATGTTAATGAGAATGTCATGTTTTCCCTCATGTTAAGGCACAATCCATAAACATTTTGGTGATGATCCAGATTATTATGTATCAGGAATTTTTTAAAATATTCTCTAACATTGTGAGATAGGGATATATTGGGGTAATTGCAGTTCCCCACTAAACCAGAGGGTGGCAGCAGTAAGTATTGACAGTATCAGCATCGGACTACAAAAGGTCCGAGGTATTTTACTCAAGACAAAAACAGAAGAAAAGGGAACACTGTTAGTGTGTTAGCAACGGATTTTATGGATTTTTTTTTTTTACTAGAAGTGTGTCTCATGACACAATTCAATTAATTAGAAAATGACCAAAAACATGTGCGAGTTTTGGCTATAGGTGTAAGTCACACCTCTGGACAAAGTTTACTGCATGGCGGAGGTCTGAGTTCTCTGCTTTTTTAATTAAATATGTAACCAGGAGGATATTTGAAATCATCTAGCTAGACAATATGGAGAAAAGGGGTATGGGAAACTTAATGGGAAATTCTAATGAGTAATTTACAATAGGACTGTCAGGAGGCTGAAATTATATTCTTTCAATTATGTTCATTTTATTTATTATTATTTATTTATTTTGTTGCCCTACACAGTAAAACATAAAATAATGGAAATGAATAAATTAGAAAAAATATGCATTGTGATAAAAGAAAAAGAGAATATAGGTTTTTCTGGGAAATTAAAAGCACTGGAAAAAAATTTGCTAAGATACTTAATGTTTAAGATAAGCATGGAAACAGCGGATTTTTAAGAGCTCATATTGAAGACACATTGTGTATGTTTTTACTGAAAAGTGTCATGATTTTATCTAAGGCTCAGACCCACATGCAGTGAAGCCAAACAGAGAGACACAGAGTAAAAGTTCAACGGGTTTTATTGAAGAGTATTTTGAGTTTGGTGCAGAGTTCCTCCGAACTCTGCTCAGCCGGGAACTGGAAGTTGAGGGGAAGACAGACTGTGAGATTCAGGCTCAGTGGGAAATTTGAGTTGTTTAGCTTGAAGGAGAAGATTAGTTTCCACTCACGTTTCCAGAGAAGAAGAGACACTTAGACTTCAGTCTGTGTGTTGGTCTCCCTGAGTTTGTTTGATTCGGTGGAGGGCGGAACAGGGTTTACCCAGAACACGGACGGAGTGGAATGATGCAGCCGCTGCTTGCAACTCAGTTTTCCTGTGGTACTTGAATGGGTCGTGGTGAAGATGATTTCCTTACTCAGAGAGTGATCTCAGCGTGCTCAAAGGTGGCTGGATCCAAAACCTCCTGTTTGGAATCCGTCGCTCAGTGTAAGACTCAGTTGATCCCAATTGGGAGAAGGCGGTCCGAAAAGGTCCAGTTTGCAGGATGGCTTCCTGCCGAAAGGCAAAGAACAAACAAAGTTGAGACTCAGGGAGACACAAGCGCACAGTAAAAATCAATGTGATCTCAGCTTGGCTAGAGGACAAAAACTCAAAAATGCAAAAACTCAGATAGACTCAGTATAAACAAGGCTTGGCTAGAGTGCCCCAAACTGGCAAACACTCTGGCGTCGAAGTAGTGGCAACCAGCAGCTTAAGAGCAGTCTGGTGATGAGGCAACCGCTTGCAGGTGTGTGAGGAGGCTACGCCTCCTGGTTGTGGAAGGGAGAAACACAAAAGACAAGACAAACAGACAAACACAAAAACTGGAATCCTGACAAAAAGAGCCTTTTATTTTACCCTTTAGCACTAAAACATCGTCTGATGGTCATACTGTAACTTCAGTATATCAGTGCTGATGCATCTTTAAGTCTGTAGCCTATTTTCCTCAATTTACTTTGCATCAGAAGTTCCTGTTTGGTGGATGTGACGTCAAACATGTTAAACGGTTTCAACTTAGTGCTATATTTAAGCTGGATTTTTCCGGATACTCGGAATCAACCACCCTGCTCAACTCAGCCACCAATAGCAGAGGTTAAAAAGACAAAAAAAAAAGAAAGAAAGAAAAACAACTTGTCATGTACGAGATTGAGCTACGAGAATCAGAAGAGTGTTGCAGTTCTGTGTTTGGCCACAGGTGGCAGTATTATTACAAAAGTCCGTCAATGCCTCTTTAAGAACTTTTTGTAATGGTTTTTCTTGCAGCATCATCTTATAAACAATTCTAATTAATCTCTTTGATTTCCACTCAGTTTAGGTCAGCAAGCAAGTTAATTAAATAACAAGTATTTGTTAGATATTATACAGAAATTAATTTATTATTTAATAAATCTGGTAGCAGCTCTTCCTTTATCCACTCTTTAGCTTTTAAATAATCCAATTTTCTGAATTGGGTTTCCTTGATTTTTCTGTCTGGGGTGTAAATTTGATGTGAAATAAGTCAGTTTCTCTTAGCTACTCTATATTTGAGAAACGCAAAATGTATTCCCAAAATGGAAAGAAAATCATTTGCTCATATTTAATATCAGATCAATATCTGGAAATAACATAGCTCCAAAAACCAATAATTAGAAGAGGAGAATAAATAAATCTTAACATGTTAATAGTAGATAGCTGCAGCATACAGCTGCATCTTAGGGTCATCAGGCACCTTAGCAATCATTAGGCACTAACACCATGGCAACTGGTTGTTTGGGAGGCATGTCAGCATAAAACCTCTTCTCTCCACATATTGCTGCTACTTAAAGAAGAACAATTCTCTGCCATGAGAATATTGGATTAGATAGAAAGCAAAGTATCTCATGTTGACTGTTAATGTATGGTGAATGATCAGTTGTGCTGTGCGCATGTTTCTCTCTTAAAGTCATAGAAACCTTATTTGATTAAGCATTTGGCTTTATATTAAGGCTTATGTCAGACCTTTAGTAATAATTGAAATCAGAATGCCTTTGTTTTTAATTACACAATGCACAATGACAATAGGTTTAGAGGAATAGCATGTGCTGAACAATAAATGAATCAAAAGGGGATAGAATTTGAGTGGTGTGTGACTAGTTTTTCTTGCAGTTTTATCAAAGCAGCTTTCACAGCATCTCATCTCTGTTTCAGCCAGGGAAATCCGGCTACAACCAAGTGACAACTCTTCAGAAGCCACAGAGTGGTCTCGGGAGGTGATGAGGACCCAGTATGAGTGGTTGTTCAAAAAACTGACAGTTACTGCTAACAACGCCAGTGTTTTAACTGATCAGGATATTGTCATTTACACTGTAGGTATCTCTAGTTTGACATATACACCACTAATTACTATCTAGACATATACGTATTTTTTGTAGTTATTCTTTGCTATGTTCTGAATAATTTTCCTTTAGCTTTTTATTAATTTAAACATACAGACTATAAAATGTATTTGTGATAAAGCTGTATAATTTTTAAGAATACTTATTTGGGATTTAATCTCGGTACAAGTTTATAAAAACAAGCACTGCAGCAAAAACATATCTTACGATAATGTACATAAAGATATATTTCACATTAAAACAACAGTTTTATTGCACAGAGAAATTTTTACTAAACCTTATTACAAAGCTCCATTTGCTGCTTTTGATGTAAATTAATCTAAATCCTGAATGTCGTTTCTCTAGATCACAATGAAGAGGAGATCTCTGCTGTACATCGTCAACTTCTTGGTGCCTGTTCTCTTCTTCTTGTGTCTGGATTTGGCATCCTTCATGATCTCAGACTACGGAGGAGAGAAACTCAGCTTCAAAGTCACCGTGCTGCTTGCCATTACAGTGTTACAGCTCATTCTCAATGAAATTCTCCCCTCTTCCTCCAACAGGGTCCCACTCATTGGTAGGATGAATCCTTGCTGTTGCTGGACTGCTCTCATGTAAAGTAAACCTGATCTAACCTTGTTAATCTTGTGCAATCTGATCCTTTTTAGCCACTTATTGCATTGGAGTTTTTGCTCTAATGATGCTTAGCCTCCTTGAGACCATTTTTGTGATGTATCTGCGAGAGAGGGGCTCCCAGCAGGTAGAAAGAGACGAACACAACATACAGGAATCTATCAAGTCAACTAGAGGTACAGTAGGCTCCGCACTTTCTACACTGATCGGAGATCCTGATTAGAAATAATTATTACTGGGAAACTGGCAGTGGTGTCAAAAGTACACACATTTGTTACGTAAGTGGAAGTATAGATTCTGCAGTTTAAAAACACTCTGGTAAAAGTTGAAGTATCAACTTGACCTCTTTACTCAAGTAAAAGTGAAAAGTATGAGCCCCAATAACAACTTAAAGTATAAAAGTATAAACAGGCTTTATACAGGAATGAGTAACTCAAATTTAATGCTTTTTAATGTTCTTTTAATAATCTTAGAAATAATTTTAATGCCAGGGCAAGTACCCATGATATATATATATATATATATATATATATATATATATATATATATATATATATATATATATATATATATATATATATATATATATATATATATACATTTAAATAAAAAATACGGCAAAATCCTTCTTCATTTTTACTGTCGTCAGGCTGCAACCATGTCCCAAATTCCTCGTTTTGCAGTTACTTTTGTTGAAAATTTGCATTTTCCCCATTCTCTAGCTTTTTCTCCGCTTCAAGCTTCCTTTCTGATGTTACGGCTGCAGTGGGTCTCTGTTTTTTTCTCCTTTCAGGGTCCTGGAGGCAGGCCTTCTGCAGGTGTTATGTTTTTTCCCTGATTAGTGCTGCTGCTTTAAAAACTGTCATGCTGCAGCAGTCAGGAGGCTTTTTTCCCCCTCTTCAGAACCCAGTTGGTTTGGTTTGTACCTTATGATTGAGTTTTGTTAGGTTTGTTTTGCGTTTGTTTATTTCTAATTGGTTATAGTTTTGTATTAATCTGTTTTGGCTTCTTATTTCAGGCAATTCTTTTTTCAGTTTTTACTTAATATAATTTAATAAATTTCCTTTTTCATTAACTCTAAAATCCTCGTGTGGTCTCAATTAATGTTACCCCACCTAACAAGCCAGGTGGACGTAACACTGAGCGTACGGCTTTATGATCAACCGGAAGCAGTTCCACGCAAACACGCGGATCGTTAATCAGATATATCAGATTTATTATATCTGATATAATATATCTGACAAAATTGTTTTTAGAAACATATTTGTTTTTAATCAAAGCATTTTAAATGCCACAATAATCACATTTAATGAATTTTAATGCCAATTAAGGCCTTAATTCTCAAAATTATAATTTAATGATTTTTAATGACCAACAGAAACCCTGATAAAGTAACCTTTAAAAAAAACCAGCTAGATGCCACTATATGAATTGAAAGCTCAATTTTTCCACTATTTCGATAAATTCTTTGAGATAGGGCCAAGGATGAGGGAAATCTTGTTGGTCTCCGTCTCCCGATACGCTCTCGCCTGTGACCAACCTTTCAGACATTTCAACATCTTTTTCTGAATCCGACATTGTAGCATGGCATAGACAATTCACGTTTGCAGTTTGAAGAACACCTGCTTGCTTCTGATGATATTCTTTAGCTAACCAATGAGTGTTTGCGTTATGTGACTCATCAATTACGCTAGTTTTCACTAGATGTGGATGGAGCCAATGATCTGCATTGGACTGCGCACATGACGTAGCCAACCGAAGCCATAGTAACAAGTAACATTTGTTTTAAAAATGGTTAAAATAATAACTAAGCATTAAATATGGAAAAGCAAGTGGAATATGGGATATAAATAAGAAATACTGTAATTCTGAACTATTTTACTAAATACAGTCTAATACTCAGACATTAACTATTATGTCAAAGCATTCTATAAACGGCTCCTATTATACAGGATCGTTTTTTTTGGGTTATCAATGATTGCAAAGACAGCAAAATGCAATTTGATTATATAACTATGGGATAAAAAGAAAAGTGTGTTCAACTACTCTGGAACTTTTAAAATTTAATGTGATCCTAATGCTGCTATATAGTATTTCATTGCTGGTATGTAACTAATACCAACTAATTTTAAAAACTGTCTTTCAGACACAAATGATTGGACTCAAGGGGGTTTTATATACTATATGTCTTCTAGTGAAAATGGTGAAATGCTGCCTGGTGCCAAGGAGGTAAGCATCTAGTCATAATGTGTGTGGACAAATTTTAAGTACAAAAAAAACATCCCTTGCTTCTGTTAACTGATTTGCTGACCCACCTTTTTCAGGACAGGAACAGCAAACTGTTGGGGGACTGTTACACCCTGGAGAGGCTTTCAGATGAACTGAGGGCGATGGAGAAGAGTTTAACTCAGCTCTTCAAGTCCAAGAAAGAAGAGCAGATATGTGACTACTGGACCAAACTGGCATTAAAAGTCAACAAAACCTTCTTTTTTATTTACGTCATAGTAGTCATCCTGTTTCTGGTTCTAATTTTCTTAGAATGGAATAAGTGATTAGAGCTCATTGTTACTGCATATTAAATATCAGCTGTATATATAAGTCCATCTGAGCACTTATCTGAACTGCTTTGTAGAAAGAGTAGAAAAATATATTCAGATGTATTTGTTATAACCTGAATAATGTATCTGTTCTATATAAAAGTAGATTGATGTACAAATGATTGGCATTAATTTGAAGTTATTCAGATATTGCTATAAGATAACCAACCTATTCATAACACTGAGTTAGTGGTGGCCTTAACAGCCGCTTCTCCATTTTTTCCTCATTTAAAGGACCAGGACAATTTATCTTAACCTCTCAAAAGACCTGGTGACATTTAATGCAATGAGTCAAAGAGGAGCTGCAATTATCCTTATCATCATTTATTTGTAAGTAACTGTGAAAACCTTGTCAATGGATTAAAGATGTATACGTTATCATATAACTTTTTAAATGTGTTGGAATATTAGAAAATAGAAAACTTACAATACCTTCTTCAGCCTTTAAAAAAAAATTCCAGTCCCATCACTGGTTTTTCAGTAACGTGTGAATATGGTGTTTGAAATTAGAAGGTTAGAGGGTTTTCCTTCAGCACATTCAAATTTTAACAATGTTAATTATTACACAACTACGTGAAAATCTAAATGATTTTAATTTAAGCTTGAACAGAGATTACTAGGTTTTATAAATCCAATCACTTATAGATCTTAAACTCTGAATTGCATGTGGGATTTATCTTAGTATGTGCAATGAATGGGCATGTGGCAGGTGACCTACAAAGATTGTTGCACAAATGCTAAAATGTACAAATCAATTAGGTTCCATCCATTCAAATTAGCAGATTGCATGTTCAGCAAGCATGAAGATAGATGTAATAATGATAATTATAAATCGGTAAGATTGACCACATTTTATGAATCCCTTTTATATTTAGGAATCTTTGTTGTCTTAATCACATATAGTTCTGCATTATGCACACATTGGATAAGTTAAGCAGTAGTTTTCTTTCCTCTTTAATGTTTCATAGAAGAATCCTAGTTTATTTCAGAAGCAGATATCTTCTCATAAAATACAGAGAGCAAGTTCTGAAAAAGGCAACCTATTCTCATTATGAGTGCGTATGAAATCGTACGAAAAGTTATGGACCATAATTTCGTACGTTTTGGACGATTTTTTCGTTGTACGTGCATGCACATCTGACGCACCATTCATGAATATAGAATATAAATTACAATAAGCCCTGACCCTAACCCTAAGATATAAAACAGCAAGCAACGTAGTTAGAGACATGAATAAGTGATGATTGCACTGTTTTTCCCAATTTTACGTCCGTCCGCGGATCTGCTTTTTTTTTTCTGTCTGCCAGCGTATGCGCACTGATGTGGTTTTTTGAAAAAAAATGTCCAAAACGTACGAAATAGTGTGCATAACTTTTCGTACGATTTCATACACACTGATAATGAGAATATGTTGAAAAAGGGCATGAATTCCATGTTTCTGATTTAAAGTGATGGTATATTGATGTGAATAATTATAAAATTGTTGCAACTTTGTTGTCAGTTTATGATTAACATACTAACAATCTGAAAATCTAATTAGTTAGGACTTTATACTTGAGAATATCACTCATGATACACTTTATTTTAAAGGGGAAGTATTTGTTTTGGTGGTAGGTCGGCCCCTGCATCCCACTGCATCAATTTGTTGTCAGCCTGCATAGAAATGTTGTCTTTGCTAATATTTTTCTGCTGTTATTATTTCTCACGACCCAGATATGTTTCAATGTACATTACAGAGAAACTCTCTCTGCCAATGCTTTCTTTGAGGCAAAAATGACTGCAGATATGTTTGTAATTTTGCACCTGAAGTACTAAAAAAGTTGCATAAACTGATGCTGCAGTTATGTCTCTAATTTTGAAAATCACTTTGCATGTGGTAAATATTTAGATATGCACATGGATGTTGCACCTGTAGAAGATGTGGGGATGCAACACCCAGGCTGTATGATGTGTGTAGATGAGTGTCCGAACATCTAGTGGATGAAAAAGTAGTGGACTCGAAATTTCCCACAACGCACCTTGAAAAGTAGAACATCCATGGTAACTAGACAAGCAGATATATCCCAGATTGCTTTGAAAAGAGAGCTCTCAACGCAGATTATTATGGGATTTGTTGTCACAACGGTGTCACTCCCCGATCCGTACCAGAAGCACGATCCATACCATCGGCTAATTTGCACATATTCAACCAAATATTCTTCCATGTTGCCATAAATAATTTAATCATGGTACTAATTTATATCCTTAAATCACTAAAGAATGCTAATACAAATCTATAAAACATTTTTTATGACTTTTCTGAGACAATTTTATGTTTTTTACATTTTCTTTATTAAACAGCTTGTCTGACGTGCTCAGAGGAGTCCGGCAAAATTTGATCAAACCATGTTAATCTTTTTTACTTGCCGTATTGGCCAAAATATAAGACAAGAAATGAAAATCTGGGGTCGTTTTATAATCGGGGGGAGTGGACCTCTCAGCCCGTAAATAGCTAATCTGTCTAAGTTGCATGATATGAACTTGAGCTAGTTAATTTTCATCTGTGTGAACTGTACTTTGAGCTTTTTCTTTTTAACTATGAACTGGGACAACATTGGCAACAGCCAACTAATCCTTTAGATGGTGGCAGTGGTTTACACTTTTCACTGCATAATACATGCATTGCAGTGTAGTTGCCATATTATTCAGCCTTCTGCTTCTAATTTCAACAAATAAAAGAGCTTTTTTCATTGATCTTAAAAATTATTGAGTGTCTAAGAAACAACATTTTCAGAACAAGATCCCTTTATAAGGTTTAAAATACAAGGCAAGAAATTATAATTACCCCCTGGGCCAATACACTGATAAACATTTTTTTTTCAAAAACCAATGTGAACGATCTTTCATATGAGACAACAACTGGTATATTTAGTGACTACAAATAAACATTTAGGCTTATTTAGCTCATGTTCTAACACAACACCTTCCCTCTAAATTTGAGCAGGGGATGCATTTCTCTGCAGGCATGTGTTTCTCAACATAATGATGGACAGTGCTTTGGGCTATGAGCTGATCGCAGTTGGCACAAATTGCTTCTGATCGGACACTCACACACAACAAGCCTTCCTTATACTGGTTATGAGAAAATTTGAAAGGGGGAGTGGAGCGAGCAGTCCAGACAGAGCAGTCATTTATTCACTGAGAAAGAAAACACTGCTTACAGAGAAAAATGTTTTTAACTTCATGGCATGATATTTTTTCCAACTGAAATAAAAAACAGAATAAATACTTTGCCTGAAATGCAAAGTAAAATCCAACTATAAATCTACCTTTATAAAAATGGACCTCATCTCAGTCTATAATAATCTAGTAATTAATCACATTTCGACTTGAGGAATTGGGAACACAATACAGAAAAAAATTAGTCAGTCTCACTCCATTTTTTTTTATTTGTTTCAACATTCATTTCAGCTGAGCTTTCTTAGATGAGCTCAGATGTGGAAAACCACTGATACCATGCTGCTCACCAAATCCAGTCTGTTCCTTTGCTTGGATTTGACGTGTGAAAGCTTAGGGGGAACTCAGACATAGAAGAAAAACGTACTTAGTTCGGTCCTCATAAAGCAAAACAGATCCCTTTTTTAATTTGCACTATATTTATTTTGCAATGCACTGCACCTTTTCATATTAATGCCCTTTTGCATTTTTAAACTGGTTTCCTTTTTCTTATACACTGTTTACATTCTGATTACTGCTGTACTTTTATGGCAATTTCATTTCACTGTTGTAAGCTGTAAGCAACGTAATTACATTGTATATACACACTGTGTATACACTCTTTTTGTATACACCCTGTGTATACTAAGTTTTTCGAAGTATAATTCTTATTTTATTACCTGAGAATGTACCCCTTGCAATGCACTTACTGCGGTACAAACATGTTTGTATTTGTTCAAGACACACAGACCTTGTGAAGATCAGACCCAAAAGCATTGATGTTAAGGCTTTTCATTGAAAAAAAGAGGACTGTTGTTAATGTTGCACTAATTGGTAGGTAAACTGAGTTTGGTATGTCAACATTCTGCCGTTGATCACAATAGATTAAATGTAGAACCCAGCTGACTATCTGGCTGTAAAAGACAAAGAAACTCATCTCAGATTGGGAAGAAAAAAAACAAAAAAAACACCAACTAGTGCAAATAATGAGCCTGATACCTTAAAGGAATAGTACACCCAAAACATGATTAGCCTTCATTTTCTACCCACCCCCATGCTGAACAACACTCTGGAGTACTTTTTTGATATCTCAAATGCATCTTGAGATCTGGGAGGCTTCTTGCTGTCTGCTGACATTCAAATAATGGAGGTCTATTGTGCCCGAGACAGAAAGGTCCATAAAAGTCCACAAAAACGTGTCAATATTCCTCCATACTGCTCATCCAATGTATTCCAAGTGTCCTGAGTGGGTATCGTCCAGAATTTACTCGAAACGAAGTCATTTAGAATGTTTTTAGAGCCTAAACAGTATTGTATAGGATTTCCTAAAAGCGCGTTCACGAGTCTACGGAAACCGCGGCAGACCAAACCAGATGAAAGTGCGCATTCAGCGTCTGCTCTGCCGATAATGCAAGCGTAGAAGAAGAAATGTGCTGTTTACCTGTGCAAAGAAAGAAACAACGAAAGAAAAATGTCTGAGGACTTCAGTGTTGAGGAAGAGCATGAGTTCTTTGCCGAGCTGAATGCGCACTTTCGTCTGGTTTGGTCTGCCGATTCAAAATAACTTTTTTATCGAAATAACTGATAACATAATTGTAATTTAGACCCACAAGCAAAAGGCTTGCCATGTTTCTAAAATCTAATATCACATTTGTTGTGTTAGGAATCCAGTTTTGTGTGGGTTGTGTTTTTTTGTGTCTTTCTCTTCCTTCACAACCAGGTGGTGCCCTCTTCCCGTTGGTCCTCTCGCACACCTGCGGCTGGTTGGTTCATCACTGAGGACTACTTAAGCGGTGGACTGTAACTATCTCGACGCCAGAGTGTTTGCCAGTTTGGGTACTCTAACCTAGCTGAGATTAGCTGAGTCTAACTGCGTCTTTGTTTCTCTGAGTTCTAACTGTATTTTTGTCTTTGGCTTTCGGCAGGAAGCCATCCTGAAAGCTGGATGTTTTTGGCCTTCTTCCCCTGGAAGGATTGCTTGAGTCTCCAACGAGTTCCTCCCTCTGGTTAACCCACACAAGACTGGATTCTGGGAAGAAAGTTTTCTCCACTAACGTGAGTCTCGTTTTCTCTGTTTTTCCAAAGATATTGTTTAGATATTGTTTATATCTAAGATATAAACAATATCTAATATCTAGATATTGTTTATATTATCAAAGTTCCCACGGACCCTGAACTAACCTCTGATACTTCCCTTCCCACTTCCAGTTCCAGTTCACCAGTACCCTGAGTTTTCTGAATCCAACCCCGTTCATCTCCTCAATAAACCTGTTAAACTTTCACCCTGGTTTCTCTGAGTGGTTTACTGCATGTGGTTCAGATCCCTTAAGAAAATCATGGCATGTGCCATATGCCAAGATCATGGTTTTTGGACATTGGGAACCAGTGTCCATTTTTAATCTTGACATGATGACCAGTGAAGGAAATAAATGTTTGAGGAATAACCAGCAATAAGATCTCTCCACCCCCCACCCCCTTTTCAGGGAAAACCTCCACAGGATCCCCCACAGAGGTGTGACCAACCAGCCTCCTCTGTGTGAGGACAGTAGAAAACCACAGACAAAACCAGATTCCTTCTCTTTTCCTGCTCTCTTGCCCATGAAGCTGGGGTCCGCTTTGGAAGGATCTCTGGCAAGATGGAGATGCAAGGCCCAGGGAGACCCAGATCTTGAGAATCATAAAGGATAGGTCAGAACCTTTCAGAACCAAATTGCTGCAAAACAGACCTTTTGCAACACATTTCTCTTGAGTTTCAAAACTTATAGAGCCAGAATGGATAATAATTCTGCCTTGATGAGCCAGTGAGACAAAGAGGACCCCTGCTGTGAGCCACAGAGACAAAAGAGAGCCTGCCCTGACTGCTGAACTGCAGCTGGATGAAACTCAAGCCTGCCAATGGAAATGGACAAAAGGGTTTGCAGGTCTGGCACAATTAGGGACAGAACAAACAATATGTCTTTCAATGATATTGATCATTTCATGTGTTTACTGATGAGTAGAGACAAATCTGACAGGATGGACTGCATACTACGCTATGCTATACAGAAACATGTTTTGAGCTGCTGTTGAAGTTTGAACAAGCTTCATTTCACTAAGGGCTTAAACACTGATAAATAATTAGTGTTCATGTGTTCCTCATATGCTCACTACATTTCGATTACCAAGTATACCCAAGAGTAATTTAATGGAATCCTCATATCTATGCGCAGCTAGCTATTTCAAAGAGGGTAAAGAATGATTTGACCAAAGGTTATTGGTTCTTGATTAAGCAAATAATTTAATAAAAACAGTATTTGCCCAAATAATGTTTTATTCACCTCATGGATTTGCATTGTCAATTGGTCTGAAAACATTCACATTTCTCTAAATGAGTGAAAAGCTAATTTGATCATATTCCAAATTCTTCCAGATAAACTTTGTTTTTTAAACACAAAATCCATCTTAAACTGTAATATGGTTTTAAGCCATGTTTCCCCTTCCTCTTTGCACATAGTAGTTAGTTTAGTTTAGTTTCACTCGTTTAAGTTAAGAGTTTTAAACTGAAATGTTTGACTTTGAGCTAAATGATTTTTGTTAATAAACTCTTATATTTTGAACAGAAGTTGTGGTGAATTTATTCCATGCATGTCCAGAATTAGCTGCTTGACCATGATTAGTGCTCGAATCACTCTTTCATTTATTGCTCTAACACACAGCTAGTAGGGTGTGTGTTCATAAACAGTATATAACAGCCAAAATAATATCTGATTAAATAAGATATTTACCACCCCTACCAGGGAGGGCAATAAACATCTTAAAGTATCAGAAGTATAAATTCCCAGCTGGCTGGGAATTGAATAGAACATCAAATTACAACATATTTAAAAGTCCCATTTGACCACATCCTGGTTTTAGCCAAGCTAATGCTCATTAGTGGTTTCATGTTATACACTAAGCACCTCAGTAAGTGCTTAGTGCCTGTATGTCATCAGCATTAAAAGTGGAAATCTTCTTTGTTTGCCAAGTAGTTGACATTAAGTTTCCAATCCTCGTCATATCAAGATTAGCTAGACAAGAAAAAAGAGAAAGGAAATAAGGATAAAAAGCAGTATGTACACTTAAATGATATTGGGTTTTCAGGCAGGAAGGAAGATACATGCTGGTGAAGATTCTAAGTCATCCAGGACATAGTCATTATGAAAAAGTTTAATAAACAATCCACTGGACTTTTTTCCCAAGGTTTGAAGACGTTTCGCTTCCCATCCAGGAAGCTTTCTCAATTCAAAATGTCTGGATTCACATTGAATTTGAGGCTTAATTTAGTGGACCAAAAACAAGGCCTTGTATTGCTTGGAAACATGCAAATTGAACCCGACAAGCGGATCGTTTGTTTCCATTGTTAGCCTCAGTGGGGGGAAGGTAGTTTTAAGCTCTGTAGTCCTGGCTCTTATCCACTGAGCGTGCATTGTTCCTGTTTTGGCTCAGTGGAGGGAATCAGTTTAAAGTTCCTCAGTTTTCCTGGTGTTATGTCATGTTTCTACCTCTCAACTGCTGAGCCCGCCTTTCTCCTTCTGAGCATGTCTGTCTGAAATCTATGCAGGACTCATGGAACCCTGAACCTGCCTGAATGCTCTGTGAATTCCTGGAACCCTGGATCTGTCTGTTCCTATTTGGATCGGAACCGTGTTGCGGACTCCTGGATCTCAGAACCGTCCTGTTTTGAGCTGTTTGCCTGACCTGGCCTGGACTCCTGCCTGTTCACTGGGGCTGCTGAATCGGGGACACTCTGGGTGCCTTTGTGCCGCATCTTGTTGGGCAGTCCATCGGCTGGATCCTGCCTCACCCGAGAAGATGGACTGAACTGTTAAACCTGGTCACTTACCTGTTTTTCTCCCTCAACCAGTGTCAGTGATGGGTGCCGCCCCTCCTCCCCCCGCAGCCGCTGCAGAGATCCTCAGGTCCGTGTTTTCTGTTCAGTTTCTGTTTTGCTAATAAACTTTAAACTTTTCCCACTGTCTGTGTTGCCTGAATACTGGGTCCATCTGCCCTGTTTTATGACAGCAACTGGCTGCTGTGACACCCGCTGCCTTTTTTTTTGCAAAAAATAGGGTTTTTTTGTCATATCCATAGTTAGCTGCCTGGTTTTCATCTGTTTCCGCTGATTATGTTAGTCGCAACTTTGAAGTCAGGCTGTACCCGCTGCGTTCCAAACTAATATGCTGTGTACTCGTACACTGTGTGGGTCAGTGTGGCCGGCCAGGTCTTGCTGGTTTGTCATAGTCTTCATTTAGTCCAAAAATCATTGTTGAAAATTGAGCTTTCTTTGGTCGGTCTGATTTTTCCCACTTTTGTCCAATAACATTGAAAAGACCTTGCAAACCCAGTTTTCAGTGACTTTTCAGCAATCTGAAAATTATTGCATTTCTCCCTTCACTTTTCAACCAAATGTAGATGTTGTTGGGTCATAAATAACATCATCTTCACATTGTCTTTTCAACAAATTTTAGCTTGGTGGGTTGAGTCAGCTTTAGAGTCATGTTTATAATTTGTTGGTTTGGGAATGAAATCGGCCTCCTTGTGGGTGTTTACAGTCCACCAAGACACTTCTGTGTTCAAGTTTTTTTTTTATATTCAAAAAGCATTATTAAAAGTGGAATAATTAATGAGATAACAGGAAGTCAGGTGGGAAAATAAAATTTTCCTTGCTACCTGGAAGCTTATGGAGTGTATGTAGGTATTTAGCTGTTCCTTGAACCACACTCATTGGAACAGACCAAGCCTGTCACCATTCTTACAGTAACTGTTGGATGCTGGACTGCTTCAATGAAATCTTTGTTCAGCCTGTTGAACATTGTGTGATCCAGTCGACCTCAACCTTTATTGCTCCTTTGATTAGAGCCTGTTTTAGTGTTACCACCATAAATGCCTATGTGCCATGATTCAGTCTAGCCCACCCTAGCTATTAGGCTATCATCCAATACATGCAGGGCAGTGACATAAAAACATCTGTGCACAGACGGAATTGACAGAGATGCTCACTGATCTCACAGCGATTATGCCTTTAGGTTTCTTCCTTCTGCTTCTTTTTACAGGTAAGGTTAGCAAATGCATGCATATGCAACTTGAGGTTATAGAGATAAGTTTAGCTTCCTATGAAATTTTTATTATTAAAATCATCTGAAAATCTAAATTAATTGAGACACTGTAAATATAGTTCAGCCATACTCTTAAGAAGTATCTTCTTTGCTCCCTACAAGAGATTTTTTTTTTCTTCTGTTTTTTGAACATTAGATTTTAATATTGCTTGCAATTGCTGTCAAAGCATAGCTTTATTTAATCCGATGTTGTTGTTTTTTTTCTTGACATTAAGGCAAAGTTAAAGGATGATTTAGATAATAGCATAAAGAAGTGCCATCCTTCTTATTTACATGCAACTAGAACCTGAAATAAGTGATCAGGGGTTCCGCATTCAGAGTTTGCTATATCAGAGATATCTTATTACAGCTTGTGCATGTCTGTGTATTTAATCATGAGAGGAAGAAAGGTGACCCACTAATTAGAATGACTTGCCTGAGAATAGTGTCCATTGATGTTACGGCCATCATCTACACTTTCCTGGATATGACTTCAACATTCAATATGATGTTATCGTTCCTAAAAATATTGATGTTTTATACCAGTGCTCTGTTATTCACGCAATAATTTTATATTTAATGCACAACCCAGTGGAGTGTGGAGGGGAATGCATTATTTATCCAAAAAGCCTGCAGACTGTCGTGTTTTGTTCTGTGAACACATTCCCAACTGGCTGTGTGTTAGGACTATAAATTAAATTGTAATTTTAATTTAAATCAAATAGGGAAAAAATGACAACAAAGTTATTTCAAAATATACACAAATTTAGAAAAAATTATTTAAATCCAATATCAAAGATATTTCAGTTAAAAATATTGACTATACTAGTGAAACTCAATAAAAATAGCTTTACACAAAAAAGACAAAAAATGGTTGAAAACCATAAAAAGAAATATGCAATTATATTACAGTTAAGCATCGATTTTGTTTGACAACCAAATTTATTTTGAATAGTTGGGAATAAGATCAAATTAGCGTTTAACTAATTTAGAGCAACTGGAATGCGTTCAAATCAATTCACAATTCAAATCCATGGAGGTAAATAAAACAAGAACTGCTGAAATATTTTCTTAAATTATTTCCTTACTCAGTAACCTTTAAGTTAAATATTATTAACCTTCTATGCCTGTTCCTGAGAAAATAGTTAAGGTAAAGACCACCTTGCCAATGGAAATAGACAATTTACATTAAGAATAGGAAAGAACACTTGCATTGTCTTATTTCAAGAGCATATTATTGAACTGTCCTATTTTAAGAGTTAAAAATATTAATTCCATTGGTAAATAATTTTATTTACCTTCTCAAATTAAGAGTAAATACATTTCAGAATGTTTTACTTATTCCTAGATTGTTTTTGCAGTGTAGATCTTCTTCTGGGATCACCAGGAGCTTGAGCAAGGGTTTAAGAATGAATATCCTCATTTGCAATTCAATAGATCTCCCCACTGGACTCTTCTGGGAGAGGGAGTCCATGCAAAAGAGAATGAGAGTTTATGAGGTAACACCTTTGTCCCTAAGACCAGTGGCGGACAGGATCAAATGTCGCTGTTGGAGTTTCTTGTGTGAGAGGGTGATTCAGCAGTTTGGCAGTTGGTGCAGCAGAGCAAATTGCATCTTTTTCCACCATTGCTCCAAGTTACCACCCTGAACATTGATCCTAAATGTCCAAAATGCATATCATGGCTTATGGCATAACAACATTATAATATGAGAATCAAATATGACAAACAAATAAATACCCATGTACATAATTCCCATACTAATATAAAAATTATAAACCCTCTAAAAAGTGTCAAAATAATCTTAGGCTTGATTTTCATTCTAAAACACAATGATATTTTAGTAGATCTTATTGTGCTGTGTTTTCTTATTATGTATTTACTGTGAATCCTTTCAGCAGCTCCCTTCAAGGGCCACCACAGGAAGTCACTACAACTTGCACACAAATTTGACAGAGCTTTTATGCCGTATCCACTTCCTACCGCATCCACAATTTCAACCACAATTTTTATATTGAAGACGTAGACTTAGCCCGCTAAATTACAGAGGGACCACAACCCTTATTTACTCTAGACTTTAATTGACTTTTTGTATTTCCTTTGTTTCTTAGCTTTCCCAGATGCGGTTGCTGAGACCCTGAGGCACAGCTCAAAGAATAAAACTTCTATTGAGATATATGAAAACATTCGAGGTGGGAATATTTTTTGAAGGAATTCACATTGTGCTTAGCACAGGATAAAATTGGATTGGATATGGGTCAAAATTGGATCATTTTTACTCCTGTATATAGACAGTAGAGTGGATTTTAGGAGACACAATCCCTCAGTGTAACCATTTTAATAAAATAAATGTGAATCTATAATGTGGCTATAACAATCAATTATGAGCAGACATGGCTGGACTATTCAACACAACTATGTCGTACTTCTTGAGATCAAGGGCTCATCGTTGTCACCTACATTGTATGTTTATCTAATTTCAGGAAACCCAGTATCTGGTCCTGCAAAATGTAGCTTTGAGGCTGTCTTAAAATACCTGAACATGACCAATAACAGTGAAATTTACACTTTAAGCCGACCTGTAAAAAACCACAACCATTCATCATGGATCTTCCTTGAAGTGAAAGTCTATGCAATTCTTGATGTGGTGAGTTTTCTTTGATTTATTTATCTGCATTTTCACCTGCAGTTTTCTTACAGTTTAAGTGCTAAAATTGATTAACACAACCAGGTTATGTGCAGAGGTGTACATTGACAGCATATATTTTTTGAACAGTTTCTTTTGATATTATTAAAGAGTTCGGCAGCCTGATGAAAGGAAATTTAACTTAACAGCATGTGTTTATTTACAGAGAGAAACTGACCAGTCTTTCATTTCATATATTTGGATTTATCTGGTAAGTGTTCTGCTAGCTCCTAGAAATACAGCACCTAACACAAACCCACCGTTGTATAAAATCCATTTGCAGTGTTGGAGCAAAGTATTTGCCCACCCTGGAGAGTTTTTTATCACATTTTTTTTGCCACACATTGCATATCCTAATTGCCTCAGTCTATGTTAGGTGCATTGTTCAACGATTAAAATGAATGGGCAACAAAACAAAGCAACAAGGAAGGTTTTCAAGGCACAAATCAATTGAGAAAAAAGGATTGTTTGGCCCAAAATCATCTTGACCCTGATCAATTCTGGGAAACTGGAACTTTCTGTGAGTCATGCAATTTTGCATAACACTAACAAATTATTATAGAGGCAACATAGTATTGTATGACAGGTAAATATGGTTCAAGGCTGATTTGCTGCCTAAGGTACAAAGTTCCTATTTTCAGTAGCATATTTTAGTAGAAAAACAATTAAAAAACATGAAAAAAAAAGACCAAACAAGAAATTAGAATAAGAAATAGTCAGCCACCTAATCTGCCCTTTAAGTGCACTCTCTGCCTAGCCTCATTCTCTGACCTCCCAGTGTTTCTGCCTGAGCTCCAAAGCAGGGCAGACTCGGCCATTGCATCTACCCTGCTTTGGGCTCTCTCTGTCCGGTGTTGTGCTTGTCTGCCATTATTTTGGCACATCCATGCACTGATAGCTGTGTGTCGTCTGTAATACAGGCCAAAGGAGGCCCAACTAAATACTGAGTGCTGTACATGCTCATACTTTTCATGTTCATACTTTTCAGTTGGCCAACATTTCTATAAATCCTTTGTTTTTATTGGTCTTCAGTAATATTCTAATTTTCTGATATGATGAATTTGAGATTTTCATTTGTTGTCATTTGTAATCATCAAAATTAAACAAAATAAACATCTGAAATATATGAGTTTGTATGTAATGTATGAATATAATATAAAAGTTTCACTTTTTAAATGGAATTACTGAAATCAATCTACTTTTTCATGATATTCTAATTTTATGACCAGCACCTGTATATAGCTACTAAGATATGTATGAACATTTGTTTGAATGCCTGAAACACTTCAGGAGTAACCAGGCAAAAAACATCAAAATCTGTAACAGGGAAAAACACTTTTTACACGACTATGTTTTGAAAAGCATTTTTTAAGTCTTGTCACTTCTTATTAGTTTTCTTCTTACTCATTTTGTACTTTTCTCTTAATTTGTTTTCTTGTTTAGAGATGGGACAATGAACATATTTGGTGGAATCCAGAAGATTTCTGTGGGCTTGATCACATCTTAGTTCCAACTCAACTTTTGTGGATTCCTGATCTGACCATTGAAGAAATGTAAGTTTAAATTCAATTTGAATAAATTCAAATCGACCTTTAACAAAATATGTGATAGAACATCTTATAGATCTGGAAATCACTCCTAAATACTTGCCTTTATGGTTGTTCATGTGTCATGATGGGTTCACTGAAAGCGACCCAAGAATGCAGAACACCACTGACGGACACAAGGATGAAAGTTTAACAGTTTTATTTTGCACAAACACACTGAATATTCTGGTTCAGGTTCGGGGCCTGGATTCTGGTTCACCGGAGTCTGCGTGAGAGACAGTTCAGTTAGCGTTGCCAACAGAGGTTTGATTTCCAGAAGTCTACTGATTGTACTTTGAGGGTTCTTAAGGTTAGCTTTGGGAGAGTCAATGTTGGTTCTGGAGAAGAGTTCATCAGCAGAGTCCGTAGCTGCTTCAGCGTCTCACGTCTACTTAGAACAGACCTTGGCTTTGGGTTACCCAGCTCAAGTCCAGAGCTGCTTGGAGGTTCTCTGTGAATTTTCAGGTTTGGCTCAGAGGGTCGGCTCGGCAGGTTAGCTCTTCCAGAGCTTTCACAAGGAGGCACAGGTTTCCTGGAAAACAGACACAGGGGTTAGAATCCAAGCTGGATTCAATAGTCATAGATTTACTCTGAGGATCTAGGCTTAAGCGCTGACCAACTGGAACAACACTGCGGCGTTGAGGCAAGGTCTGAAGACAGCTTAAGTAGTGGATCCTCTGATGATCTAGACGAGCTGCAGCTGTGCAGGAGGCTCCCTCAGAGGATCCACGGCGGACTCTGCTGGAGAAAGGTGGAACTTCTCCAGCTCCCAACATCATGGTCGTAAGACGATTGTGAATGTTTTCCTTTCCCAACGGTTTTAGTGCGATTGGGTGAAATGCTTAGGTTTCCCTGAAAATTGAAAAAACTATTTTTTTTACAGAGAGATTATGTTATTGACTAAAGTACAATAAATGAACCAAAAAAAAAAGATCAACCAAACTTCTAAAAGTCCCAATAGAGGAAAGGCGACTAGATGTGGGCCGTTTGGCGAATCTCAGAGAAGGGCTTGGTCTGGCAGCAATGTCACTCTAGGCTTGGATCGATTTAAGAGCAAGACTAACAATACTCAGAAGAAAATGAAGCTCAGGGATGTGAAGAGACTCACTAAGTTGAAGATTAACCACTTTGGATTTCCAATGGAGAAACTGGGCTTGTTGGTCCGGAAACCTAAACAGGTTCTGATCCAATAAAACTGAGTTGAGCAGAAGGGCTGCCGTTGTGCTGTGCCTCAGGAGCCGTGTTGGGTTAAGTGTCTTTGCTCAGAGACCCAGAGTGGCAGTCTGTGGAAGTGGGGCTTGAATCTCTAGATTCCAAGCGCAATGCCCTAACCACTAGGCCACTCCCCACAATCAGGCTCCCACTACTCCATTTTGAGAGCGGGATCAGTGATGGACAGTAATTCGCCTACATGTTAAGGATGCTGGAATACCATAAAGAATCATTTATGAACAGTTTAGTTTGTGCCTATAAGTCATTACCCATAGGAAGACGTTACCTGGATATAGCCTCACCGAATATCTTCAGAACAGCTCCAAATTATACAAAACTCATATGGGTGAGTAGAACATGATAGAACAGATATACATCCGCGCTAAAATATTAAGGTGAAAGTCATCATTATTATAGACCAGGGGTGGGCAATTCCAGTTCCTGAGTGCCGGTATCCTGCAGCTTTTAGACGTGCCTTTGGTTCAACACACCTGAATCAAGTAATTAGATGATTAAGAGGACATAGCAGCAACTGACTGCATACTGAGGAGGTAAGTCAATCATTTGATTCAGGCGTGTTGGACCAAGGGTGAATCTAAAAGTTGCAGGATACCGGCCCTCAGGAACAGGAATTGCCCACCCCTGGTATAGACCCTCCAAACCCAACTGTGAGAATAGATTAACGACAATATTTTTTCGCCCTTATAAGAGTCTGTCATTAACACAGCACGTTAATGCCAATAACGGCCCACCAGTAGTTATAGAATTATTTTCCTATGAACAAAGTATGACATGTTATAGTGTCACTGAATTACTGTAAATCATAAAATGTGTGTCTTGTTTGACTTATACAGGACAGAGCAGGACAAAGCCTCTCCGAGTCCTTATCTCAACATCAGAAGTCACGGTTGGGTTGAATATAGAAATGACCAGGTGGTTATCAGCACCTGCAGAATGCAGGTGTATAGATTCCCCTTTGACATTCAGAGCTGTAACATCTCCTTCAAGTCAATAATGCACCCTGGTAAGCCTCCACTTTGTTCCTACAACTTGAGACGGTTATAACGCTTGAATCTAATCAAAAATGTGTTGTAAAAACTATAGTTATCAGCTAAAAATGTAACACACTTTTCTTTATAATCGTGTAGATGAAGAGATAATGTTATACTACAACACCAACGACACAGAGGTGACAGAGTGGTCACGTGAAGCCATGCAGATGCAGTCTGAATGGCTGTTTATCAGCATGACAGTCACAAACAAAACAGTCAGCCATTTTGGCTTCAACCAAACAATGATTATCTACACTGTAAGTATATAGCTACAACTGTTAATCATTGCTATACTATGGAGATCTGCAAAATAAATGAACAATCCTGAGAACATTTGCAGCGCCTCTCAGGATTACTTGTAAATTGGGCTTTTGACTGACCCATCACTTGACAATTTTATTAATAGCGCCCTTCATTACTATTCATACTCTGTGAATATTTTCAAATTTTTGTTTGTAAAGTATTTCATTGGATATTTGGTGAAAGAATATAACAGACTGTGAACGTTAGATAAACTGGGTATACGTAGATGATTTGGTAGTTAGAGGTGTTCTTTGGTATTCCTTAACATAAGTTGGCCAATGAAAATAATTTGACAAGGACCATACCTCAAATTTTAAAGGTATATTGAGGTAAGGAGTTAAAGGAATGGAAGAACTAGAGGTGATGTCATCTGAGGTGATTTGAAGGTCTGGTTGGAGCCCACGTAGAACCCCCAAATATTTAGACAGGGTTAGAACATGGGTGGATGTGGGCTTGGTGAAGCACACAGGGATTGTTATGGATAAAGGAGCAGGAAGCTTAGGAAGCCCAATGACCGAGATTCTATTAGTATGATCAGAGATACCATGGTTGGATGCCATGGAGGCAGTAACATTTTGGAGAATGGACAAAATAATGTTCGCTAGAGATACCAGAACTCAGCAGGACTTCTTTGTGAATCAGAATATCTTGTCTAGACTTCCTGAGTCAGTAATGAATAGTGGACCCTGAGGTGAACCATTTAGAGATCAGTTCATATAGGCTGAGGAAAGAGCTAAGACAGAAAAGATCAATTGGAAATAAAACTTTGACCTGGACAGTTGGAATTTTTGGATGACAACATCTGTTGTGTATAACATCTGTCAGAAAGCAGGACGTTTAAGAAATGCAGAATAATGCAGCTGATTTTCTTCAGGGTCAATGTTGCTTAGAAAGAGCACAAGTCAAGAGTAAAACCCAAGAACTAAATTCTTGCATGGTCCAATTGTTTTTTTCTCTTCAGAGGTAAGAATGCCAAAGTTTGAAAAGACTTTGGTCTAAGCCCCAAAGATCCTGGCTTAAATGTGAGAATAGGGTGGTTACGGTCAGGAAATTGTCAAGATGGTGGAAAATATAAGGGAGCTTGTAGTTGTTACTGAGGATTCAACACAATGCTTCTGACAGTCATAGATTTTGGGCAACTCCGACAGCTGAAGGTAAGCCATACTGTCAGGGGCAACCAAAGAGGACTCAATTGCAGGACTCAACTCAGGGAAATGAAGTCAAAAAAATAATTTAATGCGCTACAGCACAATGACTGGAGCAACTGACAAAAATCTAAAAAAAAACAAAGGCTGGTCAAAAAACAAATAGATCAACTAGCTTAACTGCTAGGCAATGTAGAACAAAGGCCGGGATGCTTGACACAAGTCACAAAGACGAACTGGAAGAGGAAGAGGTTTGAATAGGTGAGGCAACTTGCAACAAGACACAGGTGAGCAGTATCAGGAAGGCTGATTAAAGGGGAATCCCAGGAAGTGAAGTAGTCTGAGATTAAAACAGAAATTAGTGAACCAAAATAAAACAGGAGGTAAAAAAAAAAATCAACTGAGCCAGACACAAAATGACAAAATGGAAAGAAAGAAACTAATCAGCAGAACTGCATGTGACACATCGTGTAAAGTAGTAAGCACCTTGCAGAAATGGTCCAGGAAACAACAGAAATCAAGGTGGATAGGGATAACTTAAAAGGCTCTGGTCATGTCTGGCTTGTAGAGCTAGGCTTCTTGGCCAACTAAGTAAATGTGTAATATAGTGTGATTGACGTTTGCATATTTCATGGAGACTCTGGGAACAGAGTTGTGCTATCAATTCTAGGAACATGAGAGTCATGAATAGTTAACTTCTTGGTCAGCTAACCAAATTAGCAAAATGGAATAACTGATAATTGTGTATTTTGTAGCACTTTTATCCTCAATGTTAGGAAGAAAACACACTCTCTATGTTCAGAAAGTTGAACAATGATCATTTATTGCACTCAACAGGTATTATTATTATTTTTTGTTAATACAAAGATTTAGAAAAAAACAAACAAAATAGAGCATTTTGATAAACTAAAAAAAAAAGAAAAAGTTCAAATAAAAGTGTCCTTTTCTGTCTGTTCACATACACTTCTTCTACCCGGGTAGGTTTTTGTTTGTATTAAGCGCGCTTATCTGTATTAGAGAAGTGGGTAGATGTCTGTAATCCTCGTGGAGCAGATCCTGTTCTCCGTTTCCTGTCGTTTGGCTCACTACTGAACTATTGAGATTAAGAATTCATGCAGATTGATTCCTGATCCAGCAGAAAAATTAAACCAATTTACACACATAGTGTAGAAACATACTTCCATTAATACTATGTTCATCTACTACTCTTACTCTGATTCTCTGCATTGTCATAACCAAATCATTGTAAATGACAGTGTACACACTTAAGTAGGCCTATTATGTTTACACAATTATACATTAAGAACTTGTATTCTTAACATAAATGGACTTCTCAGTCTTTTTAAAGCAGTATTTATATCAATAACCAGCTTTTAAATCAATATTTATCTTTTTAACTGCAACGCTTTATCTCTTTTTAACCTTTCTAACCATGGATGTGTGTATGACGTCATTCACGCGCTGGACTGGAGTTGTGACAGGCAGCCCGGGCCACAGACGGCTACGCTCTACCCCTTCTATACATTCGGCTAGCTAATCTGAATCGTTCAATTCCATTTCAAGAGCGAGATCATCTGTGGTAATAGCACTAGACATCTTCCAGGCATGTAAGTAAAAGCAGCATGTAAGTAAGCAGCAGTTTAGCGGACAGGATGAATGAACTGCAGCCGGCGTGCGCGGATGAGGTCATACACACTTCGCTTTGTTTTAAAAAAATCTAAATATAAAAATATAACTGCAGATGTCTGGGGGACAGTGATTGCCCTACATGTTATGAATGCTGGTGTACCATAAAGAATAAATTATGAACAGTTTAGTTTGTGCCTTCAAGTCGTTGCCCATAGGAAGACATTACTTGGATATAACCTAACAAAATATCTTCAGAACGGCTCCAACTGACACAAAACTCATATGGGTGACTAGAACATTATGTAATAACGTAAAATCAAGGGCTCAATGAAAAAAAAAAAAAACGACGTTCCCCTTTGACCACAGCCTTAGTGACATTAAAAGGCGCATGGAGGGCAGGTGTCACTTTGTTTAGGAGTGATTGGTGAAGGAGGGCAGAAGATGGCCAGTACAGAATTGAAGAGCTGCAAAAGGAGGAACCAACATTTCTTGAATTCTAATCTTCATTCCTGTCATCCTTAAACAAGTATACTGTTTTATTCAGTAAATATCTGAATGGCTCAAGAGCTTTAGTTTTAAGATCTGCATATAGAATATTAAAGAGAGGAGATAGGCTTCCCTTTAACTTCCTACTATGTATTGAGGGTTCACGCTGTCCCAGTTTAGTGGGCAACATTTTTTTTGTCTATTAGTAAAATTAGGCTGGCTGCAGTGATCATACTGTATGTAATGTGGTGTTTTATAGGACTAAATGTGTTTAATGAGTTTGTTACTTTGGAATGAATTCATTTTAATTTACAGAGGTAAAGTACACAATATTTCACCTTATGACAGAAATCCACTTTGAAGTTCAAAAAAGGGTTCCTGCTATTGTTTCTTTTTTTAATCATTGCCAGGCCATTCAACTTTAACCCCCCACTGCCATTTATGCCCTTGATTTGAAAAAGGGCCTTTGTACTAAAGCAACAGTTAACTTGATTTTTGTATTATTATCCTAAGCAATGAGTAGCAAATTACCTTTAAAACACCTTTAATATTTCCAAATATAGAGTGGTAGCGGTTAGTTCCCCTTCAGGCTAAAAGCCAGCCAAATGGCCTCTGCTTTCCAGCCAACTTCCCTCCAAATTCCAACTGCTGAAATTCAACTTTATATTAGTCTGAGATTCTGAAATGTTAAGAAAATATTTAGAACTGTTTTACAATGTGTTTATTTTGCACTTGGGTCAAATCACACAGCTAAAACAATTTAGAAGTAAGTCAATATTTCTTAAATTAAGTGTATTTACCCTTAATTTGAGCAGATAAATTATATGATTTACCTGTGGAATTAGTATTTTTATTCTTAGAATAAGATAATTAGATAATATGCACTTCAAATAAGACAATGCTGTTGTTTTTTCTTATTTTACATGTAAATTGTCTTGTTCCATTGGCAAATTGTCTCACTTATCTCCTCAATTCAAGGAAAAATGCACTTATTTTAAGAAAAATTTACTTAATTAGATCTAATTTTTTGCAGTGCATGATAATCACACTGATACCTTGTTTCACAGAAAAACATGAAGAGGAGATCTGTCCTCTATATTGCAAACTTCTTGCTTCCTGTTTTCTTTTTTTTGTGTCTGGACTTTGGCTCCCTCTTGATGTCAGACACCAGTGGTGAAAAGGTTGCCTTTAAAATCACTATTCTGCTGTCAGTCACAGTGATGCAGCTCATCCTAAATGACATTCTTCCCTGTTCATCAGACAGGATCCCCCTAACAGGTAAAGATGATTTTAGTTTCCATTTATCATAACCCCCTGCAAACAATATTTAACCATTTCTACTAATGAATCTGCTTTTTTTCATAAGTGGCTTACTGCATTGGGATTTTCACTCTCATGCTAATAAGTCTCTTAAAGACTATTTTGGTGATTTATCTAACTGATAAAGATGCACAACAGGACAACGAAACCCAGTATAATCAAGAGGAAAAACTGAAAATAGTCCAAAGCTGTTTCACAGGTAAGAATGAACTATCTACAAAAATCAGGATCTCAAATTCATCTATCTTATGAAGCAAGCTTTTATTTACTGTTTCAGGGCTAAAGAAACAGAGCCATGTAGAATCAGTTAAAAAATTGTCATTCGATGAAATGCCATCTTTGAACAAACAGGTGAGAAATTTTTGTTTTTAAAGGCATAAATGTAAAGATTTATATATTCATTAAAATCTGTGTACTGAACCATCAACAGGAAAGCACAACCAAACATATGGAGGTGCCCCTCGCAATGGAGGACATATCAGATGAGCTCAGAGAGAGCAAGAAAAAAATAAATCTCCTCTGCAATGGACATGAAGATAAGAAACCTTACTACTGGACCAGAGTGGCTCAAAAAATCAACAATGTGTTTGTTTTTATTTACATCTTATCAGCCATCCTGTTTTTGTCAACTATTGCTATAATGTGGTATCCTGCTTCTGGAGAGATATAGAAAAATAATATGTGATCGCATTAACACTTGTATTACTCTGAATAGTAGAAACAATAATTTTGGGGATAACTTTTTTGCGGAGTAGTTACGCCCCCATGCTAGCAGTTGATGTAACGTCCTATGACACAGAATAGCGATCACAGGCAGTTGCGATTGGGACAGTCCTTTAGAGTGAAATAAATTACTAGAATCAATATATTATAATGGTTCAGTCAAAAAATCCATTCACTAAATTACTAAGTTCATGTAGCTGTGATCGGTCCTTGGTATGCCTTTCTGGCTGTCTGTGTGGTCGTCCTTCTTGATTCGGTGCAGGAGCGTGCCATTTTTAAAAACTGAGGAGTAATAACAACAATGGACAAAGGTTGATTGAGGAGGTTCAGAAGTACAACCACTTGTACGATGCCTCAGACATGTTGTTTTGGAAAACAAACACTCCCGCCGGCACCGCCGAAGAAGTTCTTGTGACCATCCGCCGAAGTTCTCGCAAGTTCTCTAATAGTGTCATGATTTTCTTAAGGGATCTGACCCACATGCAGTAAACCACTCAGAGAACCAGGGTAAAAGTGTTAACAGGTTTATTAATAAGATCAGCGGGGGTTGGATTCAGGAAGCTCAGTGTATTGGTGAACTGGAACTGGAAGAGGGAAGGGAAGTATCAGTGGTTAGTTCAGGATCCTTGGGGACTTTGAACGATGACTTAGAGAGACAGAGAAAACGGGACTCACATTAGTGGAGAAAACTTTCTTCCCAGAATCGGATGAGTCGGAGTCGGTGTGGGTTTATACCAAGTCTAGGTTTAGACTTGGTTGGACCCTGAGAAACCAAACATCCAGCTTGCAGGATGACTTCCTGCCGAAAAGGCAAAGACAAAAACAAGGTTAGGCTCAGTGAAACAAAGACTCAGTTATACTCAGCTAAACTCAGCTTGGCTAGAGTGACCAAAACTGCTGCTCATCTTGAGCTCAGGTCCTTAGTAGATCTTGGCAGTGGCAAATCTAGAAAGGATCCCATGGTGTGGCAAAGGAGGCTGAACAATTCTTGGCAGGCTGCAATGCCAGACCTCTTATTGAAATATGTAAGTACATCTCTCATATCAATGGAGCAAACATAAAATAAAAAAATCTACTATAAATTTGTTATTGTGTCATTTTCTTGTATAACACACAAGGACATTTTTAGTAATAGACTAACCTATTTATTTAAAAAAAAAGTTTCACTAAATAAATAAATAAAGAAGACAAATTCAGAAAAGGGACTCCGTAAAAATATCCACTGGACTTGGTTTCCAAGATTTGAAGACGTTTCGCCACCTCTCCAGGAAGCTTTCTCAATTCAAATGTCTGGATCCGCAGTGAGTTTGAGTCTTACTGTATATAGACAAAGCCTTGTATCGCTTGGAAACATGCAAATGGTAACCGATGAAAAGGGACTTAAATTGCCTTACTGGGCTGATTTCAGTGATCCCTTTTAGAAGCTCTTGAGGTGACATTTGCTAAACTGGGCAGTAAAATGTCAAATCCAAATGTATTATTATACTGTACATATTTATGTTATATTTATATAAGGGTTTTTGTACAATCAATGGATTAGTTATTTCAAGTATGACATTGAAGTGAGGAGGAGGGGGGTTGAATATATAATTATTGCACAACACGACAACTATAGTGCACTTGCTGGAATATTAAAACAGTTTCTCAGTAAACCTCAGCTGATAAAAAATGCTGCAGCAAGACTTTTAACCAGAAACAAAATGTTAAGTGTATAAGAAAATACTTGAAAATCTCTTCCCTAGCTTTCAGTTAAAATGCTAATTCTTTTCAAAATACTTGTGATTGTTTTAATATCAGTAAATAGCAAGAATTAACTTTAGATCAACGTTTGGCTCTTTTAGTCAATGTGGTATACCCCTCTGAAATTCTCTTACCCAACACCTCCAGTTTCTACAATGTTTAAATTTAAAAGCAAATCATCAGCATATTAAAAAGCAAATGAAAAAAAAAGTTTTTTTTCTCAAACCTCTTATTAGGTTCAGCGTTTTGGCTGTAAAATGTTGGCCTTGTTGCTTTATACTTTTATTTCAGTCTGATTAGTTTTTAGATTATAGTTCAGCATGCTGTCTTTATCTCTAAATGAATTGTGTTGTTTGAATTGCTGTTTCATTACTTGCTTTTGATACCCTGGCCCAGTGCTTCTATGATTGTTGTATAAAATAATCTCTATTGATAAACAGTTGTTTTATTTTACTTTCTATATTATTAAGACGTTAAATCTTGGAGGCAAATGTGTAACATGATGTTTATCAAACAAAACATCAGTAGAATGACATAAAACATTTTAGAACATCAAGAATTCCCCAAACTTTTTTACTTTGATTGCTGCCTTGGACACTCTCTGCATTCTCTCTGGTTCTCATGAGGTAGTCAAGTTCGACCACTATTGATGAAGATGATGGAGTCCCTAGGATAAGTTCCTCTGGTAAAAGAACCACTTGTAATCAGCTAAAAGCTTTATTTTTCCACATCCTGTTGTAAAAAACCTGAGCGGGACGTTTGTGGTTTTTGAGAGCTCTTTCATTCATTGCAACCACAAAAAAAAAAAAAAAAAAAAAGTTAGTCATGTTACTTATTTGTATAGAGGAATAGAATATTTATTTTGAGTTTATTTTGATCCCTGGAGTATATATTAATGTGGTTTTCCATTTCTTTTATCTCATACACGGTAGATGTGTTGAATACATGTATTGGTTTTGAAAGAATCAACAAGACCGAAAAATTTCAGCGAAGCATAATTTCCCTTTCCCTGGTTTATGGAAGGAACTTAGAAAATATTATATAAAAATCACAGCACCAAATTATTGATATTCATTTTATCTTTTTAATACCTCTGAAATAATGTTTTGGTAAGACGAACATGAAAATTCTGACCTTATATTACAACATACATGTCCTGTTTAATGGGGAGAACATATTGTTTCACTGTCCCCACCCACCCTCCCTCCCTTACAGGCAGTGCAGTGACAAAGACCAGCTGCAAACCTCTGAACATAACGGACAGAAGTTCACTGACCTCAAAGGGATGACGCTAGCAGCTTTCTTTACTCTGCTCCTCCTTACAGGTAAGCAAAGAAAATGTATAGAGGTGAACTACAATGTCTTATTTAAACTAATATTTTATCACTATGTCTACAGGATTATTAAAAAATCGGCAAGATGCAAGAGCTTATTATTTGAGTGAGGGGAGGGTGTGGCAAGGGATTACTCATAACAGTCTTATTTGTTCAATTGACCAATTAATTTTAACAGTAGTTGTGTGCATAAAGTTTAAGGTGCATCTTTGAAAGTCATATTTCAGCCATTAAAGCAAATTGGGGTTGCTTTTACATCACTTACTGAAGAAAGTAGAAAATATCATCCTCAGGTTTTTCTATGTTTCTCTTAATATCTTTATCTAATTTTCCTTTTATCGTCTGTGGGCCATTACCAGAGGAAGCTGAGGTAAAATGTCAATACTGAAAAAAGGTGGAAATGTTGTAACATAGTTTAAAAAAACAAGGATAAATAGATATGGCCAATGAATGGATGGTCATGCTAATATTATCCATTTTCTAATGCAAGGTTTCACAAACAAGAAAAAAATAACCCTTTCTAAAAAGAGCTATACAGGTGCTCTGTGGTAGGCAGAACAGCAAGACACTTCAGATTTTTCATTATTATAGTACTGATCAGTGCTTTAGTATTTTATGTGAGATCAGTCTCATATATTTTTCGTATTTGAAGTCTTAATTAGACATAACACTTTAACACCTGAATGATACATTTACAAAGCAACATTATAGGTAGAAAGCATTTCGAAATAAAGTACAATATAAGGAAGATGTGATTTTAGGGGTTCAAAAGGGATCATCAGGTATAATAAAACTTAGATTTCCTTACCTAAAAGAATCCAAAGAAACAATCATAGATTATGTTGCTTTCATTATCTGAAGGTCTTCTATTTCTGTTTTGTAACCTTGGTTTTGAGAGGTTTTTGTTTTTTTTAAATGTTTTTTTGGATATCAATATATACTTGTATTAACTCTTGTCAATTTTATTGGTAATATACTCATTGTTTTTATGAAATGAATATACTTATATATTTCCATCATTAGCTTGTAATGTTTGCATAGTTTCTAGTCAACGATTAGTAATTTTCTCTTTCAAAAAAAAAGAATTCAACCTTCCTCTTATAATGAAATTATTATGAAAAAATATAAAAACTCTAAAATGTTATTAATTAATGATTTCATTAATTAATTAAAAGGACTACATATCTGAAAATGCTAATCTGCACCATTCAGGGATGTAGGGTGGGATAAGTGCAAGTTGATAATGTATAACTCCCTATTTGAAGCTGGAAAATAATGTTTTTTAAACTAATTAATGAAATCAGTACAAAGCTGAGAAAGTAAAAAACATGCATTGATGAAGACAGCCATTTGTTGGTCAGTGTTTAAATGATGTGAGGAGCTTCTTTAGATTACGGCTGCATCCACCTGATGTATTTGTTACCACATTTAATTAGTAATTCACAGGAACATTTAACCTTTGACTTGAGTGAGTGCTTCTTTAGGAACTCTGTCATTGAATCAGTAGCTCTGCACCATTGTCTCTCTATTCAGTTTGTTTTTAAGGCACGCTGAACAGCTGCCAAGATTACAGCTCCACAGCCATTAGCGTCACGTATGCCTATCTCAGCTCCCTGCCCCCCCCCTGCAGTAAAACTTGCCACAGCAGAGAACACTTCAATTAATCAAGTGTACACAGGCCTTAGTCCTTGATGTGGCCCACACGGGTTCGAATATGGCCTGTGTTCCTTTGCTGCATGTCTCTCCCCCTCTCTACTACCCCCTTACCTGTCAGCCCACTGTGGGAAAAAAAGACCCACTAGTGTGGTAAAAAAATCCTCAAAAAAGAACAATGCATTAGATTGCAAGTAACGTAACAGCATTACAAATATGTGCTTAGCAATTAGATTAGATTTTTCATAGAAATTCTAATGCAGTTGCTAATGCCATTATCAATCACTATATCCATCTATATCGGCGGGCTGAGGGCTCATGAGTAGCCTGAGTGAAATAAATTAAATCAAAACTGCCATCACTATGAAGCTGATCCTAGTGGGAAATTTGTCCTCTGCATTTGTGGCTAACTATCTGAGGGCAGTGATAGCCACACCAGTCCAGTGACTGACACCTTTCAGTTCTACTGTAAGGTGCCTTGGTCAAGGTCAATGACCGGCGTACCTGGCATGTAACAACCATACCATGCATATTGCTTTAGGCTAATAGAGAATATTATTAGGCTATGTATGCTTCTGTAACTATTAGAAAAAAGAAAAAAAAATCCACCATCCGCCTTCTTTCTTTTTACAACCAGACCAATGGTAGTAGCCATTCAAAATTTCCCTTGGCAGGTCCCCTACAATTCGTTTTTAAACTTCAATCTTTGTACTAAAATATTCTTTCTGTCATGGTTTGAGGACATTAAGATCTAAAGAGAAGCGTCATCTCCTGGTCAGATCCGGTAATTCAGTGAAAGGTTGGAGTCAGAGTAAAAAAAAAATGCAAGAGCTCCAACTCCAGTGGTTGGAAGTTGGAGGGAAGTTGGCTGCCATTCGGCTGGCATTTGACTTGGAAGGGCCATTTTGAATGGCTGCAGCTGTATTAACATATGCACATGCATGGATACGTGCCACCTTAAAAAACAAGACAAAGCTTTTTTTTTAAATGAAAAAAAAACAACAACATTGAACCGGAAATTGTGAAAAGGGAGTTAAGTGTTTGAGCTCTTGAGCTCCGTTAACTATCCTTTTCCTATATCTGGTATGATTAGTCTTTAAAAGTGATGAGTGGGGAATACTCTTAAACGACTTTCAGGTGGATTTTAAAACAGCTGTCTTAATTTTGCCCTAGAAGGACTGTTTCGTCTGATACCTGCTGCACTGACCAGCTGATGACTTCTTTCCTCCGCTGTGGGGTTGTCTCCAACTCCCGCCAGCTTTAGTATCTCCTTGGTCTTTCTCTTTGGCGGTTTTACTGCCATCCTGCACCAGGTCGGTCAGCCCTCGCTCCCCCGCCTTTAGCATTCAATCTTCTGCTGTGCTTCTCCGCTCTCTTCCTGAGCTAGAACTGGGCACACTGCTTTCTTCTCTCCCCGCTGTGGTGCGTTTTGTACGCTGCCACCTACTTCAATCTGCTGCTGTGGTTCCTAAGCTCCATAAGGGGACAGTGCTGGCAGCCTCTTTCCATTTCTGGTGATACTGTATCTTTGCCGATGTTCTCCTACTGATTTCACGCTGCTCCTGTCATAACTCCAAAACACTGCCTAACCTAGCCTCCGATTCCGGAAGAAACAGGTGAACTCAGAATGCTGACGCCAACGGCTTTGTTTGGCTTCCAAAAGTATAAAAACAAAAACTAACAAAAACTCTCAGTTGCCCGTAAAATCTTTGTCCTCTGTGTTTTCCGTTGAATTGTCTCTGGCCCTTTTCTCTTTTTTAAGGGCCATAACCACAATCCCTTGTTATATCCACAAGCTATAGACGCAAAGAGGAATTGCAATACCACTACCCTTATGGGAGCACGCAAGATTTATGGATAGTGCTAAAAATTAGGGCTGGGGGTGTGTTGGGATTGGGCCTTAGTCCACTCAGATGTTCAATATCACTTTATATAAAACAATAATCATAGCTCAATGTCCTTATTTACATTCATTATCACAGTCTAATCCATGCTCGCACTGGTAAACCATAACCACACAAGAAGAGCGTTTAAATGGATATAAAAAGACATACCTAAGAAAGGCTTAAATCCTTAATCCAAGTGCACACAATGTTTAAATGTTTTCGTCACATTCCTCCACCCATTGACCAACAGGGTAGTTTGTACTACAGAATAATAATACATTAAGTCATTGTGAGACATTTACGCCCATTGCTCTAAACATTGTAATACCACTTCGACAATTGTTCGTAACGGTGTGAAATGGATGCTGTTCAGCTGGAGGATGAACTGAAGACTTGGACCAGGTTTTCAGGGATGACCAAAATTACTTTACCCATAATAATGAGTAGTTAATTAGCCAATCAAACCCCCAAGAACATTACTGTTGAAATTATGGCGTGAACGGGGTTCAGACCCTCTAGACTTACGGTATCCATTTTCATCAGGAGGGGATGGCACCCTATTCCAATATACAAAAAAGTGGAAAAGGTAGATGGATGCACATAACTAAAGAAGCCATTATCAGGACTACAGAATTCAGTTGTGTGATTTTACCTGGTACGGCAGATCTGGGACCTTACCCACAAGCGAGGTCTAGGGTTGGGGTTCGAAGGTGAGCACCTGGTGGTCAGGTTCCTCTTCACCACCTTTAGGCCCACCACCATTAGGGGAAGCATTGGCAATGGTGTGAAGAGGATTGGGTAGCAGTCAGACATTGAGGCATTGAGGTTCTGTTATTTTCCTGTCTCTACTTGCAGCATATCAAGCCTGAATAGCAGCTTGAGAAATTTATTGATGCTGCATCAGCAGCACGACCATTTAAAAGGTATGGGTACTTCCCCATTACTGCTGTGGAGGATCTGAAAAGAAGGTTATAGGAATGTGTTCTATGTACCTTAAGAATAAATCAGCATTTGTTTGCAAATATTAAAAAACAAAACAAATGTTTTTGGCCATAGCTGTAGAAGGCTTGTTCAGGCCCTCTCACAGGTCATGCGTACAAGCAACAGGCTCTCATCTCTGGTTGGTTCCACTTCTGCTTGTAAATTAGCAATACCCCGTTAGAAACCCTTTCCAAGGCAGGCTGATCAGCTTGGACTCCCAGTCCCTCTCTGTCTGTTGTGTCTGTTCTGCCAAAGTTGTGCTGTCACTGTGCCATGTGTGTCCAACTAGTTTTTCAGTCTTCATATTCTCTAGACTCATTAGCCCCATTTAAACTACAGTTTTGAAACTGTGCCGAGATTGTTCCGAGCATGGTAACCAAGATAACTGTTGAGTGTAAATGGCACGTGCAACTGAACCGGACCACGCCAGACACAAACAAACCATGCTAACATGGTACTAGTTCATCAGTAGGGCTCAGCGCGGTTCAGTTCTGGCACGGTTCTTAGATAACAAAGAGTGCATGAACAGACGACATGATCTCATTACAGTCAGCCTCCGTAATCATGAAATTTATGACATTCATAAAAATACTAGCTTCCCTACCGTGCTACACGATTTCCAGTGATGATTCTGCTTAGCAATGTGATGAACCTCAACGTCTGTCATTCTTTCCTGCGCCTGTAAGCCCTGATTAGACTATATTATTTCCCAAAAGCCGACCCTGAGAGAGAGTGATGAAGTTCACCGTTGGTGGGAAAAAAAGCCGAAAACTGATGCACTGATCTTACTTGAACTAGCACCCTGAGTTGGAGGGTGGTCAGAGGTATCAGTTTGTGAAGGCCTTGGCTGGTAGAAGGTGGATGAGTCGTTGGAGGGTGGACAGGTTCGTTTGAGGTGACCCAGAGGAGCAGCAAAGCAGACTGTCAACTGGAAAACCTTTTTGAGGTTGGAGCACAAAAGAGGTGAGTTGTGGAACTCTTGGCGTCTCGAGAGATCTTCTTCCAGGGCTGGAAGGACTAGAAAAATCCCTGAGGATCTGAAGGTTTCCTGCTGAAGATTCACAAGAAAAAAAGAAGAGGTAAGAGCATGAATTCACTAGTAAAGCTCAAAGATTGACTCTGCTAAAGCTCAGAGGGGCTAGAGTACCCAAAACACTCTGGCGAAGAGGAAATGACAGTCAGCTGCTCTTATACTCCGCTGAGGTGATGAAAGATTCGTTGCAGGGTAGTTGAGATGTGTAGGCAAGCCCTCCAAGACAGAAGTAACCAGATGGCACCATCTGGTGGACGAACAGTGGAACTGAAAAAGAAAAACAAATTAACCTCACAAACTGGAACCACAACAGCTGCTTTATTCTATGCCAGGGCTTTGTCTGGAAATAAAGGGGAATTTTACTTTATAACCTTAACAAATGTTAGTCGCCTTACAGATCCACATTGTTCTTGAACTGGAATAGGACGTTAGTAACATTAGCACTGTTAGCATTGTTAGCACTGTTGGCACTGTTATCTTTGGATATAAATACTAAAATGAACACACTTTTTACACACTTACAATACCATTAAGTTATTTTAGTTTGTATTCCCTGATTACGTGCTGTGAAATGTGTATAACCCATCAACACATTCATGCTACAGTTTTACCAGGCATATTTTTCAAGGCTGCACTAAAAAAAAAAAAAAGATGAAATTGTCCAGAGAGCTGTTCCAAACAAAATTTATTTTTGTTTTACACTTGTGTAAACAAAATGACAAATAAATCTGCTAAGTCTTTAAGCTCCTGTACAGGTGGTTATCACAGACCACTTCTCAGTACCTATGCTTTCTGGCCAATGTTTTGGTGACTTTTGAATGCTGGTGGTGCATTCAGAGTTGTGGTAGCAGCAACTTCACTGCTGTGAAAAGATCTTTTTTTGTTTTCATTCTTTTCAAAAACTTATCTAAAAGCCACTTTTAAGTGAGGGCGTGGTCCTTACACAGCCAGGGCACTGCCAGTTTCCCACCCCTGAGATAGAACACAAAATTCTTAATGTTTTTATTTTATTTGATTTTTTTGCCTTTACAGGAACAACGAATGTTCCATTCTAGACATGTAACTTTTGCTGGTTATGTTAAAATTTAAAAAATGTTAATAAAAAAGATACATTCTGTCCTTTTTCAGGTGGGAATGCTTCAACTTCACAACCAAACCAACAGCTTGGGGATTCTCCAGAATCATTTGAAAACTCTCAGGAAATGTCAGGTACAAAATCAAAACTCTAAAAGTTTTTAAAAGGCTGCATATAATAATACTCAATATTATGTTATTTTATATCTCTTCTCTCTCCCACACTAGATAGATAGCTTTTTTTCTTTTTGCCTGTAATAGTTGCCAAATTCAAATTTTTAAACTTTCTTTTTCCCCTAAAAATAATTAAAAATGTAGGTGTATTATAGAATTTGTGACAACATTTATTGTGTTTAATGACATACAGCGATTGGAATTAACAATATCTTGCTAAAGGTATGTAGGTACACACTGAATATGCAATAACTGGTACTGGGGGAAGGAACATAGTATCTTGCCTGTGTACACACAGGGTTTGTTGCATATTTGCAAAAAAGGGGCATCAAGGGTTTAAATATCTTGCTACCTCAGATTCTATCTTAAAAAATATTTTATAAATAGTGATTAGGATATTTACATGGTGATATTACTACTAAAAAATGGTCTTTTTCTTTGTCAGGTGGAAATGCCTCGGATCTATATAACCAGACCTTTCTCCACACGGCTGGTAAAATACACTTTACACATTAAAAAATTATGTAAACCTTGATATCTCTAAAGCTAAATGTAACTACTGTATGCTCTAGAAAAAAAATATTTTATTGCTGTTATTGATTTTACAGTTAAAACTAATTTTAACATCAAAATCCCCTAAGGATGTGGTCTATATTTAGGCCATTACCTTGAGAGATTTCAAACTAGGAGCACCGAATTGCTTAGCCTGAAATCTATGTCTAATAACCACAACATATATGACCTAATCTATAAAGATAGACAGACTAGCAGGTGAAAAAGGGCTTTTGATTGTCCTATTTAAACTAGGAAATGAAATGTGTTATACTGGTAGTTTGGGTGTTGGTGATTCTCACACTAATAACAAAAATGAATTTGAAAACAAATACTTTGATAAATAGAAAAAAAATCAAACAGCTAATGATGTCAGCATTTCAGTTTTTATCAGTAATCTTTTATTTGTGGGGTGTCGGGGGGTTATAACAATATAGGGTAGCCATATTTTATTTCCAAAAAGGACACTATGCCCCGCCTTGAGATGCATTCAGACAGGCTTCTCAGGGGTTATTGAACATGCTTTCTTATACCTAAATTGTAAATTACCAAATAAAATCAAATAATGTGCTAAATATGACCTTTTCTGTATTAGAAAATACAGATTCAACAAATTACCTCTTTACAGCATCCTCTGTTTTCCCAGGTCTAACAAAGTACTCAGTCAACTTTGCAGTGGAGCTCTCATCATGCACAGCTTTTTTTGTTGTTTTTTTAGTGTCAGTTTGAGCTTTGAGATCTCCAGCACCTTTATTTGACACAGAAGCAACATAGTAGTTGACACTGCACTTACCATGTAAATAGGTGAAAATTATACAGACTACACAGTAGTTAACTTGGATTATTGCACATGTACTGCAGCAATGTCCTGACCTTCTAAATAAGTAAAAAAAAATACACAGGCTACACAGTAGTTGGCATGTGTTATTGCACAGTCAGAGAGAAGAATATTGCATGAATGTATAAAATATGACGAATACACGGCCGATATCCAATGCAACCATCAATATATCATGCATCCCTAGTATGGACACAACTTCAATTCCATCCATGCATCCATCCATGCATGGCTTCCCTTTAAGCAGCATCAGTGATTATCCTCCTTCACAAGCAGCAAAATCAAATTTACAGCCAAAGTCTATATATTGAACCTTATATTTCAAAAATCATTTATACACAGATTTTTATTATTTGTGCTTTAATTCTTGTAGGTTTCTTATATTTTCATTTTAGCTGAACTACAAAAGACAAACAGATATGTTGAATTTTAATATAGCATTGAGCATTTTTTCTCGGACTCTATCTTAAAAAAAAATAAAAAATTCTAAATAGTGATTAGGATATTAACATGGTGATATTACTAGAAAAACATTGCCTTTTTCTTTGTCAGGTGGAAATGCTTCTGATCCAGATGACCAGAACATGCTCTTAATGCCTGGTAAAATACACTTCACACATCAAAAATTACATAAACCTTGATATCTCTAAAGCTAAATGTAACTCCTGTATGCTCTAGAAAAAAATCATTTTACTGCTGTTATTGATTTTACAGTTAAAACTAATTTTAAGATAATAATCCCCTAATAGTGTGTCTGTATTTAGGCCTTTACCTTGAGAGATTTCAAACAATAAGCACTGAATTGAGCACAGCTTTTTTTTTCTTTCTTTTTTTTTTAGTGTCCATGTGAGCTTTGAGATCTCCAGCACCTTTATTAGACACAGAAGCATGTGTGCCAGCTTTGCACATGGTGCACTCAGCCTCCCACTTGTCACAACTGGGATAGTATGTGCAGTTCATCTCTGAAGCTGCACTTTTATTTCGGCATTTGGTGTCCAATGCTGGTTGCTCTACGCCCTGTGTGTGTGTGTGTGTGTGTGTGTGCGTGCGTGTGTGGCTGTCTCGCTAGACCCTCCTTCAAGGCAGTCCCTTAAGAATAACGTCAGGCAACAAAGTACCGTAGTATTCTGTGCAAAGCGCCAGTTGATTTAAGCATTGGATTATGGTCCTATGAAAAACTGTGAAAACTGGACACTTTCACGAATTTATAATACACCTGTGGATGCCCCAGGAAGAATGTAAAAAGTGAACAGGCAACAGAGGACATAGACTCAACTTTATCTATCCCTTGGGATTACATCTTCAAGAAACTCTGGTTCCAGTCGCTTATATAGGGTACAAAGAGTTAAAGCAAGATGCCATTAAAGTTAAAATACGACAGAAGTATAAATAGAGTGTGTGTATGATACAAAAAAACAAAAGTCGTAATATCCTGGAATATTTTTCCCTTAAATATAAAAATATCTGCACAGTAGAGAGCTAAGGGAACGCAGTAGTTAAATTGTTAGAACTGTAAATTTACAGTCATTTTTACTATTTTTCAAGGCTGCACTTTTAAAAGATGAACTTGTCCAGTGAGCTGTTTCCAAAGAAATATCTTTTTGTTTTACACTTGTGTAAACAAAATGACAAATAAAATCTGTCTAAAGTCTAAAGTCTAGTTGACTTGGATTATTGCACGTGTACTGCATAGATGTACTCACCTTCTAAATAAGTAAAAAGATTACACAGGCTACACAGTAGTTGGCATGTGTTATTGCACAGTGAGAGAAGAATATTGCACGAGTGACAATAGGTAATGTTTTGCATAAGATGTCAAACGAGGGGGGTGTTGACCATCGTCCCTCTTCCATTCACCTCCTCCTTCCCCCAAGTGAGGAGTTGTACAGCTTGATGGTTTGGGGAACAAAGGAGTTCAGCAGTCTGTTGGTCCTGCATTTGGGGAAGAGCAACCTCCCACTCCTTCGTCTTGGAGATGTTGTGCTCTGAATGGTTGGTGTGGCATCAGGTGGAAAAGTCCCCCACCAGACTCCTGTACTACTCCTCTCTGTTGTCTCTGATACAATGGCTGTTCATCTGCTTACTTCTGTATGTGACACAGCTCAGAGTTGTAACATAAGTCCTGATGTATAAGGTGAAGCGGACAGGGGCCCTGGGAGGCTTCAGTGCTGCTGACCACAGTTTCAGAGATGGTGTTTTTCAGCCTGACATACAGGTGCTGGTCATAAAATTAGAATATCATGAAAAAGTAGATTGATTTCAGTAATTCCATTTAAAAAGTGAAACTTGTATATTATATTCATACATTACATACAAACTCATATATTTCAGATGTTTATTTTGTTTAATTTTGATGATTACAAATGACAACAAATGAAAATCTGAAATTCATCATATCAGAAAATTAGAATATTACTGAAGACCAATAAAAACAAAGGATTTATAGAAATGTTGGCCAACTGAAAAGTATGAACATGAAAAGTATGAGCATGTACAGCACTCAGTATTTAGTTGGGCCTCCTTTGGCCTGTATTACTGCAGCAATGCGGCGTGGCATGGAGTCGATCAGTCTGTGGCACTGCTCAGGTGTTATGATAGCCCAGGTTGCTCTAATAGTGGCTTTTAGCTCTTCTGAATTGTTGGGTCTGGTGTATTGCATCTTCTTCTTCACAATACCCCATAGATTTTCTATGGGGTTAAGGTCAGGAGAGTTTGCTGGCCAATTAAGAACAGGGATACCATGGTCCTTCAACCAGGTACTGGTAGCTTTGGCACTGTGTGCAGGTGCCAAGTCCTGTTGGAAAATGAAATCTGCATCTCCAAAAAGTTGGTCACCTGCAGGAAGCATGAAGTGCTCTAAAACTTCCTGGTATGTGGCTGCGTTGACCCTGGACCTCAGAAAACACAATGGACCAACACCAGCAGATGACATGGCACCCCAAACCATCACTGACTGTGGAAACTTTACACTGGACTTCAAGCAACGTGGATGAAGTGCCTCTCTTCTTTTCCTCCAGACTCTGGGACCTTGATTTCCAAAGGAAATGCAAAATTTACTTTCATCAGAGAACATGACTTTGGTCCTGTTTCTCTTTAGCCCAGGCAAGACGCTTCTGACGCTGTCTGTGGTTCAAGAGTGGCTTGACACAAGGAATGCGACAGCAGAAACCCATGTCTTTCATACGTCTGTGTGTGGTGGTTCTTGAAGCACTCACTCCAGCTGCAGTCCACTCTTTGTGAATCTCCCCCACATTTTTGAATGGGTTTTGTTTCACAATCCTCTCCAGGGTGCGGTTATCTCTCTTGCTTGTACACTTTTTTCGACCACATCTTTTCCTTCCCTTCGCCTCTCTATTAATGTGCTTGGACACTGAGCTCTGTGAACAGCCAGCCTCTTTAGCGATGACCTTTTGTGTCTTGCCCTCCTTGTGCAAGGTGTCGATGGTCGTCTTTTGGACAACTGTCAAGTCAGCAGTCTTCCCCATGATTGTGTAGCCTATAGAACTAGACTGAAAGACCATTTAAAGGCTTTTGCAGGTGGTTTGAGTTAATTAGCTGATTAGAGTGTGGCACCAGGGGCCATCAATTTTGAACCTTTTCACAATATTCTAATTTTCTGATATGATGAATTTGAGATTTTCATTTGTTGTCATTTGTAATCATCAAAATTAAACAAAATAAACATCTGAAATATATGAGTTTGTATGTAATGTATGAATATAATATACAAGTTTCACTTTTTAAATGGAATTACTGAAATCAATCTACTTTTTCATGATATTCTAATTTTATGACCAGCACCTGTACTGTGGCCTGTCTGTGAGGTAGCTGGAGATCCATGCCACCAGGCAGGGGTTGACTCCCATTGCTATGCAGCACATAGTGGATGGGGCAATTAATTAATTCTTATGCTAAACTGGGACTAAAGGCCAATATATACTCACAGGTTTGGTTGCTGTACCAGGCTGTGTGCAAAAGGCGTGAGCCATCCAGGAATCTGTCCTCATTCATAGTTGATGCAGACGTAGGTGCAGTATTCGCAAAAAATACACTGAGGCAGTACTCAACATAGGCAGAACTGTAGGCTGAGGCTCAGCACATGGTAAAACTAAATGAGAAAGAGTTACTGGTTTTATGGCTACTACAAACAGAAATAAACACTGTACAAGAAGATGGTACTGTATGTTCGGTCTTGCGTGAATTTGATGTGGAGCAACAGTTCAGCTCTTCAAATGTGTCAATACTGATGTCATGAACTCCTGCATCGTCTGAAACATTTCATACCACTAAGAAGGACCAATATTAGCCCTGTTACTTAGGCTGAAAGACCTGCTAACGTTTTTATTCAGTCTCGTCCTGTCAACGAAAACTCACACCCATGACTCGTCATGTTTTCATCATCAAAGACCATGTTTAACTCGTCAGTTCTTGTTATTGTCCTGAAAAACAGAGCATCATCAAAATAATTTCATCATCGTTGACGAAAACGACACTGGTGTGAAGTTTGTCAGGCTGTTTGTGTCGTTTGTGTCGCGCCCAATGGCAGTGAGTGAAAAACTATTGCACAGAAATTCTTTAGAGTGCTGAACTTTCTCAACAACATAGGATGCATCAATGGGAAACGTGCAGATTAAAGTTCCACCAAATGCATTAAACCCTTAGTGAAATAAAGCTTATATTAGCTTATAAAGTAAAACAGCTCAAAACCTATAATTGCAGCACAGCGTACCAATGCAATCCATCCTGCTAGATTTGTCTTTAAGTGGTAAATGGCCTCTACTTTTAGAGCTTTTTCAAGTCAGGAGAATTGACCAAAGCGCTTTACATGAAACTCAGTCATTCACCAATTCACACACACACACTCACACAATGATGATGAAAATCTACATTGTCATGTATTTAGCCTACTAATCAGTATATACATGAAATGATAACAATCTTCAAAAGACATTTAACTAACTGTCCCCAACAGTGCTAGACCTAACACCTCTGCCAATGTCCGTTTTGTAAAGTTTGAGTTTCCTTAAACAGTTAGCAGAGCTAATTCTGGAGATCTGGGCTTTGAGCCTGGTGCCATGATGTTGTCTCTTCTGATTTGAACCCCCAGAGCAGCTTCACCAGAAGAGAAAGAGATCCTGTGGGGTGTGATGTTTTTGTCCTCAACACAGTGGCGGGCCAAGGCAAAACCTTGGTAGAATAAGTTTGGGGAAGGTTTGTAGAAGCTTTGAAGGGCTAGCAGCACTGTGGAGCAGAACTGCACCAGTGAACTCCAGTGAACATGTTAAGATGAAACATGGACATTCTCAATGTCCAAAATTATTATCATAGTTTATGGCTCAACAAGGGCAAGATACAATATTGTATTATTATTTTTTTTTTTAACACTGTCCTGTCTGACAATGTGGCAATAAGAATAATTGTCTTGATGCCCAAAAAGAGCGCAACAGATTTTACTTTCACAAGTGGAGCACTATGGCTATCGCCATAGTGTTCCGCTTGTTTTATGCATATAAATTGCTTTATTATAATTATGCAGGGAGTTTTACAGATTATATGGACACTGTGATGTTAGTAGAACAGGAAAGGAAAAACAAAAAAAGAGAAAAGATTAAAGAAAGAGGAGATAATAGGGAGATAATGATAAAACATTTTGAATCTGCTTCATCACCTACAAAGAGATAAGAGATAAGACTTTTTCAAGTAGCTATGGCTGAAATCAACCAAAGTCATACTTTGTTTGGACCTTGGCAAGATGCAATAGTACAGTGAGAATGATTAAACGTTTGCAATCAAGTAATGAAACTAATGTTTCAGGCTCATTTGATACATTGTGCAGTATGCAAATGATATATAGACTTAGACTTAGAGACTTAGACTTGACTTTATTAATCCCTTGGGATTACTCCCTTCGGGAAATTGTATTTCCAGTAGCAGGAAAAATTGCACATACAAGAAAATAGAGGATGTTTAGACACAGTATATACAATAGAAAAATAAAATCAATTAAATAAGGTGTAGGAAGATGTATTGGGGGATGAGGATAGACAAATAAATACAGAGGGCTATAGCAAAAATAAATGACTTAAATTAACAGTTATGTAGTGTATTGCACTTGAATGGTTGAGAAAAAAGAAAAAATAGTTTTGTCTGAGAAGCACAAATAAAAAAGGAAGCAACTAAAAAAAATGAAAAACATTTCTAGATTTGTATGTATTTATTTTAGATAATTAATAAATTGTATTAATTAATCAATGTTGCTACTATGCTATTTTCTTTGCTCTCTCCCTTAAGGATAATCTGTTTTAAAGACTCATTACAAAGCCATTTAGTTACTGTGCTTCTTCAATAACATATTGAATACTGGGGTTAGACAACAATATGATGCCGTGCAGGTGGAGGATCCGTCCTTAAATGGCTTCAACTGCTGATTAAGGTGATTAATTCCAGGTGTGTGGGTCACAGCAGAGGAGCAGGTGTGACACTGACTTAAAGTCTGGAAGAAAAACTGTGAAGGTCTCCACATACAGTTAATATAGATGAGGAAAATAGTCAAATGTTTTGTATAAACATTGAGACGTAGTCTGGCTTGTTATTGGAATCATTATTTTCTCTTACAGAGTATGGCCTTGCAGGCACTGAAGGCTTGATTGAACACTTTTCTAAAATAATTTTAAAATCGGCACTCATAAATCAATATATGTAAGGGGATTTAATAGGAAATAAAAATTTCCCACCACAAGCTACATATAATACAATAGTTATGTATAACTGTAGAGCTCTATTAGTAGCATAGATGCAGCTTATTAAGTTTGTGTATATTGCATATTATTGAACTTACACCGACAACACATGGGGTTGGGCTGCTCTTTGTCTTTGTTACTGTAGGCCTACTCCAAAAATTAGCACGTACTGTTTTTATTTAAATTTTAATCTGCAGACACTCTACCGTCAGGTCTATTTCACATGACATTCAGCAGAAACTTATTATTAAACACTGTCATTATGGTTGATAATTTACCAAATTTTCCATATTAGTGTTGGTTTTCTTGTGTTTCATGAACTGGTGAAGCCATCCCAAGTCTTGTAGGATTGGTCTTATAGTTTTTTTCCTCCCTGGATCACTGCTTCTTCCCTTGGTTTTTCTTTTTTGTTTTGACAAATCGATCCCTCATATTTTTTCATGTTTTGCAACAAAATGACTCGTCTTTGAATTTGCATTATAAGACAATCTTTTAATGCGATACTAATGTGGAGATTCTCATGAGAAATACTTTTCCATAAGTTTTGTTTACAGAAGAACATGATGCAACATATATTATTTTAACATTAAGCTGCGTTTATTCTAAATTACATTCTTCTTTTTTAGGAAACATTGATATTAGTGTAATGGCACACCCAAGGCCAGAAAATTTTCTTCAGATCTTTGAAAAAGTACGAGGTAAGAACCCAATATATGTTAAAACGACTGATGCTATTAGATGAGCTGGGGCTTTAGACTATGTCAAAGTAGCTAGTCGCAGGGGTGTTTCTACAAAGGTCACATCGAGGCTTGCTTCATGTAGGACCGCGGCCAAAAATTATGTGATTCAAGCCTTGCTAGCCAGACGTACAATGTGATTATTTATAGAAGTGGTTCAGAATCTTCGTGTGTTTTGACAGGCACTGGTTTTTGTTGGTGTTTGCTGTCAGTTCAGGTTATGTTCAGAATAATATTTTGGAAATAGCTGGAAGAGTGTAGGTAAGAGAATGAAAGCAAGAGTAACCAATAATAGATAAAGCCAGCTATTTTTTTCTACTTTCAAATATTTGTTTCTTTAACTCACATGCAGAATTTTAGTAACGGTAACAGCCATGAAAGATGTGTATTAAAAGACATTTACCTCCTAATTTGCCCGAAGTATATGAGAAACCTATCTGTTAGGGTCTCAAGTGAAAATACCACTCACTCACCCTGCACGGCTGATACTCTTGTCTTAAGTGCGCTGGTATGTAGGTGAACACATGAACTCCCTACAGCAGAGAACAAAAGCTTTGAGGGCCAGGGTGCAGTGTCCATGGGGAGGTTTCAAAATATTTGCAAACCCATGCCATGTAAAGTCATCCATATTGGATTCTGAAATGCTTCAGAAAATGTATGCAGATTAATCAGAACACCACTGTGTCTATCTGAGAGTTTGCATTCTAAGGGGAAATATGAAGAACCCCCAATCCCTATTAAATCAGGTTTAAGAATTGTATTATAAGTATAAGGTGACTGCAGGATCTAGGGCAAAATGGTTCAGGAAATGGATAAGGAGCTCGGAAAGAAAAACAAACGATGAGTATATTTTTGTAGGTACTAAGTTAATGGTTCCAGATTAGGCTTATCTGAAGGATTTCTAGTTGTAGATGAATTAGTATCTTGAGTAGAAACAACAGACAGCACAGTGGTGGGCAGACAGGGTTCAACCATGCAAGCTGGTCCGGGAGGAAAAGGAAGGTTTGGAGCTGCCAGCCAGTCTGGAAACCAGAAATTCTATGGGTATAGAGAGGATTTCTTGGAGTCCAAGAGTTATGAGCTGGAGCAGAATCTGAGACTTTATCAGAGTTTCCTTAATGCAAAAAACACAGAAGAGAAATACAATAAGCAATGAAAGGTCAGAGTCCTTGGCATTACCACTAGGGCTAACACTCAGGCTTCAGAATGCTGGCAGCATGCTCCTCTTACAACCCTCAGCTCATGGGAGTCAACATTTCATTTTGTTTTTGAATATCAATAAACCCTTTTGTTTTTACTGTGTCATTCTTGTTATTTCAGAAAATGAGGTTGATGTCCCAGAGAACTGCAGTTCTCAATCTGTTTTAGAGCACTTGAATCTGACTCAGAACAGTGACAAGTACACTGTGGAGCGGCCTGTAAGACACTACAATCATTTGACATGGGTGCTACTTGAGATGAAGATTTATGCTATTCTAGATGTGGTAAGTCCTTAAAAATGTTCAATGCTTTGGATGGGTAGTTGTATCAGCTGAATCTTACCAAATTTTGTTACATCATATCCAAAATCAATGTATTTTACTGAGATTATAAGTGACAGAGCAAGATACACAAAAGCCCTATTTACACAACCCCTTTGAAACTGTGCCAAGAACAGTCAGAGCAAGGACACTGAGATAACTGTTGAGTGTAAATGGAACGCAACTGAACTGGACTAAATCTAGTACTACTTCAACATTAGGACTCAGGGTTCAGTTGTGGTTCGGTTCTCTAATGACAAAGAGCTCATGAGCAGACCGCTTCATCTCCTATTTACAGTCGGCTGACTCATTTTGCGGGTTTTGCAGCGTGTCCGGCGTTGCAATTCAGAGATCTATTCACCTGTTCAGAAGACAAAATTCCTCTCAACCTATTAACCATAAATGGCACCCAAAGTGTGTGGTGCTCATCAGCATCATCATGACCTGGGATGATGCCGATGAGACCAAGGCTGTTGTTGAAATTTCGGAGGAGGACACAATCCAGGTTCATAAGTCCCTGAATTTTATGAGCGGCACCATTTTTAATAGTGCAATTCCAGCCTTGAGAGCTCTAGTATCGAGGACCACCGATAGGAGATGAGGACGGTGCAAGCGGGATGTGTAAATGGTCATAAAAACCAAGCTTGGCACAGTTAACTGATCCAAGCTTGGTCTGAACTTGGCACAGATCGTTTCAGAGGGGTAGTGGAATGTGCTTTTGTGTTTACCTCCCTTGCCCATACACACACTACATGGTATGTACAAGCATTTTTCTTTTTTTATGCCGGTGTTGTTAACTGTGACATCCTCTAAAATCTTTTTTCCTTTGCTCACAGAGAGAAACTGACCAGACATTTATCGCTTATATTTGGATTTACTTGGTGAGTTTTATTTACCTTAAAATAAAGCATACAATTTCTTGTTAATTTCTAAATTTCTTTGTCTCGCACATTCTTTCCTTCCTACTCTAATATCTTATCTGTACTGTCTCCCCTGTTTCTTCCCACTAAGTAGAGATGGGACAATGAGTTCCTCTGGTGGTACCCAGAACATTTCTGTGGAATTGAACATATCTTGGTCCCTACTAAATTTTTGTGGATGCCAGATCTCACTATTGTAGAGAAGTAAGTTTTAATCCATATGAAGTCAGTTCGTCAAGTTATATTGCTTTAGAGCTGGGGTCTCAGACTTAAATTCTCAAGTGCCAGTACCCTGCAACTTTTCGATGTGTCTCTTGTTCTACATATCTGAATAAAAATACCTAATAAGTAGCAATCTAGCAGTCCTTTTTAATGACCTCATACTGGACTTGTGTATTACAGAAGTGACAAATGTACAAGTTGTAGGACATCGGTCCTCAGGGATTTGTTTGAGACCCCTGACTTGGAGATTTTTGAAATATTGCCATGAATATCGATATGCATGTCTAAAGTGGATTCAAAGTTTTTCCTTGACCAAGGATTCAAATCTGAGAATGACGGAGCTGGAGTGTGGGTTAACAGCCTTTTGTTTACAGAATAATCCCCTGCATACCACACAATTTTACTGCATAGAGGAATAGTGGAATTGTGAGGAAAACACAATCAAGTTGTACTCACATACTGAAAGACTAACATACTGTAGCAATTCCCTTGACATAAAAAAAGATAAAAAAAAAAAAAAAAGAATAAAACATAATTGTGCTTATTATGATTTGAAAATATAATTTCTGCCTTTCAGTGAAGCATTTGACTAAGTTGTGCACTGCATGAAAAGTGAGATTTTCGTCCCCGTAAACCCCCGTAAACTCCCGCAGATCTCCCTGATTTTCGTCAGTGTCCGCGTTTGTCGTGCCACAAATTGTCGGAAATGGACTCTGACGTATGTGGAGAGTGATCAGCTGTACTAATGGCCCTAATTAGCATATGAATGCAGCAAACCCGCGCGGCTGGCCAGGTCTGGCTTGAATAACCTACTCAGTATTGGCTGAAACCACTATTCTCAAACAAGTAAAGTCGCTCGTGATTGGTTGGCATATATATATATTTACATATAAATTTACACACATATATATATATATATATATATTTATTCATTCATATATTTATTCATTCATATGCTGTGTATTTATGTTATCCTACACTACTACACAATTATTAGGCTACCATCAAGGACATTAATGAATTTATACAGGAAATGAACATTTTCCAGGAAGCTGTTTATGCAAAGAAAGAGCTTTATTAAAACACACAAAACTATATACAACGCGTATCCAAACACATGCGTATCTAAAAATTACAAGTCCGTGAACGGTCCGTTTGCTTCCTCGGGGTTGGAGGTAACTGGCAGCATTCCCTCCGAGGCAGGTCCGATGTGCAGGCGCCTACTGTGCGTGGCCCTGTACTTCGGCATCGCTTCTAACCGGGACTGCAGCTTAACATAGAGTTCAGTGAGATCCGGCCTACGAAATGGCGGCGACCGTACAATCCATCCAGAGACACCGCCAACGACGCCATCTTCTTCGTCGGACATGAGGCCGACGGTGGCGGACTTCCAGAGTTCCACTTCCTCATCTGCTAGCACACTCTGCCTCGCTTTCAGCAGCTGGAAAAAAAACAATGAATCAGCGCACTGCGCATGGACACAACACATCTATTAATGCACCTGAAAAATAGTCACCAAATAAAGTCTTACCCTCTTTCTTCTGGCCCGACTCCGAGCAGATTGCCTGGCAGTCTCCGCATGCAACGTGTTGGCTGGCAGCGTATATCTGAAGCTCCTGTGTACCGTCTCAAAATAAGTCTTACAGGCAGCTGGAACACAATTAAATGAGAGTGGTATGAATAAAAAATCAAACGCAAGTCACAGTAACAAGGAAGGAGAAAACATTAAAACAAGTCACTTACACACAATGTCGTCTTTATCAACATCGTGCAAATCTGGACCTGCTGATATGGCTCCGAGCAAATAGGAGGTCTGTGAAAACAAAATGTACAGCTATGATCGGTATCCATCCGTATCCATTTCCTTTTACTGCAGAATGAAAGCATATTCTTTAAATCTTACCCTTGCTCCGGTTCATAGCGCCTGCAATTAGTCTCTGAGTTGTGAAGACGGTGTACTGCTTCCTGTGAATCACAAAAAATACACTTTAATAAAGCTTGTTCTTGCAAGGCTACTATTAGCCGTAGCTTTAGGCTAGGCTGCTATTAGCCGTAGCTTAGGCTAGGCTGCTTTTAGCCTTGCAGGCAGTAATCGAACATATATTTACCGCTAGCATCTCTTCTTTGAGTTTGTCTTGTTCGATGCAGAGTCGCCATCGCGTCCAAGAGGAGTTTTACCCCGAAATCCCCCATCCTCCGCTCCAGACCGCCTGCACAAAGCAAAGCATACATCCTCGGCTGTGGCTGCACACCGCGCCGCTCTGAGTTTCTTGGAGATCGTAGAGCGCATGCGCGAGATGAACCAGGGTCTCCGCGGATCAATAAAAATAATTAAAAAATCATTCTTTTTTTTTTTAAATCAAGGCCTAAATTGGCACTAAAATTATTTAAATATGTTTATCGAAGTATTTATAATTCTTTAATAAAAAATGCTTATAAAAACAATTTCGTCAGATATATTATATCGCTCCAGGCGGAGAAAAAGCTAGAGGATATATATATACGCATATATGTGTGTGTGTGTGTGTGTTTACATACATACAGGAGTCATGGAACTCTGCTTACAGCTCCTCCATATTTCATGTACACTAATAACTTGTGTACATGGTTCTTGTTGATGGCATTAAAATCATTTCAAATAGCATTAAATTAGAGTCACTCATTCCTGTATGAACCCTGTGAGCGCTTAATTTAATATGACATATTAAAAAAATCCCACCATCATCCAGCATATGTTCAGTTTCTGCCCAAATATATATATATATATATTTTTGTAGATTTTTGTAACGGGGATAAGGATAATTCAAATCTGCTTTTTTTGAATGAACTTATTCACTACTCCCAAACTCAGCATCTCTTTTCATTCCTGTAATAAGAAGTTTCTTTTGAATGGATTTGATTAAAGTTTAAGTCCCTCGGTATAAAATAAATATTTTGATGGAGATGAGAAATCTGTTTCCTCGTTGGTGAATAACCAATAGTTTGGATCCAATCATTTAAATAAACGGTGTTAGTTTTTTTTTTTATATATATATAAGAATTGTGCTATAATTTCTAGTCACCGATCTGTTGCTGCTATATTTTAATTTGACGAACCGGAATTTGTCGATGTTCTTTTTCCTGTTTGGTGCGATTGCAATTGCGGATCTTGACCTGGCCGGACCTTATGACCACAGTGTACCAATCTTCTGATGGCTACTTCCAACAGGATAATGCGCCATGTTATAAAGTGAATCATCTCAGACTCATTTCTTGAAACTTTTCCACTTAAGAAATTGTGAATTGAGCATATTGACAGACAACATTTTATTTTTTATCTTAAATGCAATTTTTTCTTTTTTAATAATTACTGCTCTAAATGTATTGCTCTGTCAGCTAAAGATCTGTTTTGGTCTCTATACTTTAATTAAATAAATCAATTCAAGCTAAAATGTAAGGGTCTATACTGAGCCTGATCTCTTTGTATCAGAGATTTTCTTACCTTTTAGAAAAATGTCACTTGGAGTAAAACCCCCCCTGCAACCCTGATTTGCATTTGTATAGCTCACAGCATGTTCATTTACATGTTAAAGCCTCCCCTAGAATTCCATGGGGGGAACACTGCCTAAGAAAGTCCATGTCAATTTCTGACAATTTACGGGAGTGTTCGGCAAAGCCTGCAAATTGCCGTAAACTGCCGCTAACCTGAAGTTCCACGACAATCTACAGTGCCGCATATTGACGAAAATCACACTTTTCATGCAGTGGTGGTAAAATTGAAACCTGAAATTCTGTCATATTATGGTAGATTTACTTTAAAGCTGATTGTATTTATATGTTGTCCTGCAGGACAGAGGCAGACAAAGCCTCTCCAAGCCCTTATCTTAACATCCGGAGCCATGGCTGGGTTGAATATAGAAATGACCAGGTGGTGGTCAGCACATGCAAGATGCATGTTTATAGATTCCCATTTGACAGACAGAGCTGCAACATCTCTTTTAAGTCAATTATGTACTCAGGTAAAACCCGAAACATCAATTAATTAAACCTTACCTAAAAGAGTACAAATACATGTCCACAATATACACTGCGCTGATGTTAACATGCTTGGGGAACTCAAAAATGCTGCTCTGTTTTGTTTGTTTTCCAACTCAGATGAAGAAATTGAGTTATTCTACAATGCAAACAGTACAGAAATCACAGAGTGGTCACGAAAAGTAATGCGGACGCAGTACGAGTGGCTTTTTGACAGCATGACAGTCACAAGGATGACTGTCAACGATTTTGGCTTCAATCAAACAATGATCGTATACACAGTAAGTATTTTTACCAGCAGTGTAGTCAGAAAATCATCCTATTGTGTCCAGATGTTTTTAATATGTTCTTTTCTATTTGAATTAATAGATTTTTTTCAAAAAGGTTAAGGAACAGATATAACAGCAATGTAAATTTATTATATTATAATTTATATAGTAAACATTACAAGGAATTACAAACTGGAAATTTTGTCCTTAGTCTTTGCTATTTAAAACTAGAAAACACCAGCCTACATTATCAATACATATTTTTGCCTCTATTCCTTCTCATATTTTTCTGTTTCTTGTCAGTGTAATGATTTGACTATAGCTAGTACGGGACTGACTGCATAAAGGACAAACAAAGGGAATTATGATTAATATTCGTATATTTGATACCCTTATTGAAAAAAATTTATTTGCATATACAAATGAGCCTATATATATTAATGAGCTTATATAACCAATATAATTTATATGTCTATCTATCTATCTATCTATCTATCTATCTATCTATCTATCTATCTATCTATCTATCTATCTATCTATCTATCTATCTATCTATCTATCTATCTATCTATCTATCTATCTATCTATCTATCTATCTATCTATCTATCTATCTATCTATCTATCTATCTATCTATCTATCTATCTCACTAAATGTGTTTATTTAACACCCACTTAGCGTGACATGCATCCCTGAGTACGGCGGTGCCACAAAACTCACATACAATTAATATAACTTCACTCACTCATGAGTAGATGATTTGAGAGATGATTGGGAGAAAGTCCACAAGGTATATGGGTTGTAATCTGCAGTATTATGAGTTATCTGTAAGTTTGTATGATCAACAACATAACATGCTTAACGGAAGGAACAAACTTACCGAGTTGGAAAGGAAGCTAGAGTGATCTACAGGTGCTGGTCATAAAATTAGAATATCATGAAAAAGTAGATTGATTTCAGTAATTCCATTTAAAAAGTGAAACTTGTATATTATATTCATACATTACATACAAACTCATATATTTCAGATGTTTATTTTGTTTAATTTTGATGATTACAAATGACAACAAATGAAAATCTCAAATTCATCATATCAGAAAATTAGAATATTACTGAAGACCAATAAAAACAAAGGATTTATAGAAATGTTGGCCAACTGAAAAGTATGAACATGAAAAGTATGAGCATGTACAGCACTCAGTATTTAGTTGGGCCTCCTTTGGCCTGTATTACTGCAGCAATGCGGCGTGGCATGGAGTCGATCAGTCAGTGGCACTGCTCAGGTGTTATGATAGCCCAGGTTTCTCTAATAGTGGCTTTTAGCTCTTCTGAATTGTTGGGTCTGGTGTATTGCATCTTCTTCTTCACAATACCCCATAGATTTTCTATGGGGTTAAGGTCAGGAGAGTTTGCTGGCCAATTAAGAACAGGGATACCATGGTCCTTCAACCAGGTACTGGTAGCTTTGGCACTGTGTGCAGGTGCCAAGTCCTGTTGGAAAATGAAATCTGCATCTCCAAAAAGTTGGTCAGCTGCAGGAAGCATGAAGTGCTCTAAAACTTCCTGGTATGTGGCTGCGTTGACCCTGGACCTCAGAAAACACAATGGACCAACACCAGCAGATGACATGGCACCCCAAACCATCACTGACTGTGGAAACTTTACACTGGACTTCAAGCAACGTGGATGAAGTGCCTCTCTTCTTTTCCTCCAGACTCTGGGACCTTGATTTCCAAAGGAAATGCAAAATTTACTTTCATCAGAGAACATGACTTTGGACCACTCACCAGCAGTCCAGTCCTGTTTCTCTTTAGCCCAGGCAAGACGCTTCTGACGCTGTCTGTGGTTCAAGAGTGGCTTGACACAAGGAATGCGACAGCAGAAACCCATGTCTTTCATACGTCTGTGTGTGGTGGTTCTTGAAGCACTCACTCCAGCTGCAGTCCACTCTTTGTGAATCTCCCCCACATTTTTGAATGGGTTTTGTTTCACAATCCTCTCCAGGGTGCGGTTATCTCTCTTGCTTGTACACTTTTTTCGACCACATCTTTTCCTTCCCTTCGCCTCTCTATTAATGTGCTTGGACACTGAGCTCTGTGAACAGCCAGCCTCTTTAGCGATGACCTTTTGTGTCTTGCCCTCCTTGTGCAAGGTGTCGATGGTCGTCTTTTGGACAACTGTCAAGTCAGCAGTCTTCCCCATGATTGTGTAGCCTATAGAACTAGACTGAAAGACCATTTAAAGGCTTTTGCAGGTGGTTTGAGTTAATTAGCTGATTAGAGTGTGGCACCAGGGGCCATCAATTTTGAACCTTTTCACAATATTGTAATTTTCTGATATGATGAATTTGAGATTTTCATTTGTTGTCATTTGTAATCATCAAAATTAAACAAAATAAACATCTGAAATATATGAGTTTGTATGTAATGTATGAATATAATATACAAGTTTCACTTTTTAAATGGAATTACTGAAATCAATCTACTTTTTCATGATATTCTAATTTTATGACCAGCACCTGTATGGTGAAGGCAACCACAGTAATAAGTGAGCATTGGTGTAGTATGAAGGTTTAAAAAAACAAACAAACAATATGCCACAGCAAGGAACAGCTGGGAGCAGCGTAAGCTATAGCTAGTGATGTTATGCTCAAATCAGTCAGCTCAAAACAGCTTTGATCTTTTTAAAACAGATGTGTCGCTGAGAAGTGTTTCCAGCTTACCCCTGTCCTGGACGAGTATAAAAAAAGTTAAAAACAAACCACTGGACTTTGCTTTCCAAGTTTGAAGACATTTCGCTTCCCATCTATCGTCAAGTATTTAAATAGCACCAGAATCAAGGCTCAAACCGTGGGTTTTAAGGGGAGGAGATTGTTTTACTATCGACTTTATTGTTTCCATTAATAGTTTATATCATAACAGGGAAAGTCTAGAGTAAAGTTTAGAATTGACTTAGATTAAGTTAGTATAGTTTAGGGAAAAAAAAATAAAAAATAATATATATATATATATATATATATATATATATATATATATATATATATATATATATATATATATATATATATATATATATATATATATATATATATATATATAGATATAGATATATATCTATATATATATATTGTTTAGAGATTGGGTTGAGTGATTGAGTGAGTGACTGATAGAGTTATGTGTGTTTTGTTGAAGTGAAAGTTCTGTGACTTAGGTTGAGTGGGTGTGTGTGTGAGAGAGTGAGGGAGAGAGTCAAGTGAGGAAGAGACATGTAGGGAAACCTATAGAGCTGATATTAGGTTTATTATTTTATTTATTAAGCACTTTGACCTTATAGGCCCCAAGAAATGGAGCAGATCAAAGCCAAACAGAGTGCAAACGTTTATTTTTTTTTACATTTTTTTGAAACAGAATAAAAGTGCACAACCTTCACTATTTTACAATTTATGTAACACAAGAACTGTCCCCTTTGCAGAAGCACACACTCCTCCCACTTTCTAGTTATCATTCTGTCAAAAACTTCCTAAAGTATGATTTTATAAGGAATAAATCAAGCTGTTATGCAACAGAAAGGATGTTGATCGCATACAAATATCACAAGTCACGAATAAAAAAAATATACATATATATCTTATTTAACCATTATCAATACTGTAATGTAAGAGGTCAGTAACAAATAATAGAGGACACTTGGATAAAGGCTCAAATCTAGTTCTCCCAGCTATCCAGCAGATGCCGCCATTCAAAGGTGTGTCTATGTTTCAGAATCAGAAATATTTTAATAATCCCAGAGGGAAATTACTTTTGTTACACGCTCCAGATATATATACATACATACATACATATATATATATATATATATATATATATATATATATATATATATATATATATATATATATATATATATATATATATATATATATATATTTCATTTCATTTATAGTTTATTTGAAAGGGGACAGTGTACATTAATAAACATTAAAACAATGTAAATGTCATGTTTGGCTTGACGTGTTTGGCCCACATGCTGAACACACTCGGAAACAGGCAGATCTTTGAGGGTTTTATTGGAAAAAACAGAACGAAAGGGGATTCTGCAACCGCAGACCGAAGCTCAGCACAGGGAGCCGGAACCAAGGAACGTCTAGGGGAATGAGAAGGGCGGTTAACCAGGGACGGAGCAGAGAGGAATGTTCAGCTGGACGAACGCTTACCTCAGAGTGGGGAAAGCCGAACTGGGGAGAAGGCGGGTTGGACTTAAAGCTGGCCAGGAGGAGGAGAAGGCGATCGTCCAGGTGACCAGAGAGCTGAAGCCAGAGAGGGTCCGAGCAGCACCGGGGAGATCCAGGCAACCAGAACAGCGGGGGAAACCTGAAGGAGGTCCGTGAGGGTGGGGGGACCAGTGAGGGGCACCGACTCGGAAGGAACCGGGGGAACCACTCAGAGGAGTCCACCATGAGAGGGATCAGAACACGAGGGGGCACCTGGGAGACACAGAGGTAAGACAGGTTACACAAAGCTTGAGAAGGCTAGAGACCGTGGTAGTTTTAGCATACCACTACGGTAACACTCAGGCGTCCTTCCGCTGTCTGAACGCAGTTCTTATAGAGCACCCCGGTGCTGCAGAAACAACCTGCTGGTGTGCGATCACCAATCAGTCAACCAGGAACACCTGTGGAGAAGGCAGAGGCAGCAGAGTCCTGACAGTAAATATACCCGAGTTAGCTAAGGAGTGCTAATTTTCATCGGTAGTCCCCCAGCCAGATATTAAAAAGGCAACCTTAAAAATAAACACAAGCATAAAATCACAAGATTAAATTACAATACCAATTACATAAAAACATTATGGTTAAGAAGTAAAATGTATGTAAAATAATAAATAAACTGAATCACTTGAGGGAGGCGTTGTAGAGATTGATGACCACAGGCAGGAATGATATCCTGTGGCGCTCTGTGGTGCATCTGGGTAAAATAAGAAGCTCGGTTTCGACTTTTGGCCAGTTGTTTTAAATTGATTCATGGGTTCATGGGGCTTCGAAATTGCAATCATCAGCTGTAGCATCCATGGAGCCGTCCAAATGTTGCAAGCAACAACTTTAAAGGGACAAGGCTTGACACTATAAGAGTGCAACAGGAAGTTGGGCCTTATGTGATGTGGATTACATCAGCAACATATGTTTTGTTCAATTAAGAATGTCTGCAATATAGCTTTTTTATGGTGCTACAGAATGAGGTTAATCCATTTTAGAATGTTGCTGTATATTAATTGCAGCAGGTAACCTAAAATGCTTAACCTAAAATGTAATCAAGAGCACACTGTAGTCAGAGCACATGCTGCTTAATAAGTCCTCCTGAAAAAAGTGTCATCTCATGTATGTCTTGCCACTATAATCCTCTCTGGCACATGTCTATAGCTCCTTGTCTCTGCACAAATGGTTATGTTATTGTGATCTTTTTTTTCTGGTGGCTGAGACTCTTTTTGCTGTCTTCACCACTTGATCAAATGAAGGACTACCCAACAACTCCTCAGGAAGGTGCAGCTCAAATCAAAGTACTGCTGTGTCCTTTACACACTGTTTGTTCACTGGCCAGTTGAGCACTTTAATCTCAGACTAGTATTGTATCCAAATACTTCTGATTGCGAAAACAAAGAAATGCTTGATAATACTTTACCTCCATTTTTTTTGGTCCTTGTTGATATGTGATATACTCAGAATTCACTCTCACAGGTCCATTACACCCATGTTGTCAATGTATTCTCTAGTCCCTTGATATGTTTTTTTTTTCTTTATTGCACCACCTACTACAAATTTCCTCAGTTTAGTTAACATGCCATAAAAAGACACACATCCTTGAGAGTCCTGAAATGTTTGGCGATTTTAACAAATGATAGACTTAATTAGCAGCTTCAGTAGGGAGGCCCTGACGTCCCTCTCTCCAGCCATTTCGGCCAGCTCCTTTGGGAGAATCCCGAGGCGCTCCCAGGCCAGCCGAGAAACATAGTCCCTCCAACTTGTCCTGGGTCTCCTCCTGGGCCTCCTCCCGGTGGGACATGCCGAAAGTAGTCCGGCAGGTTTGCTAGACCCAGCGAAATAAAACGTTTCTCTTCCCAAAACATTATGTGTTCAAAAGAGTGATATTTTTGCATCCCAAAAACATTGTAGTGGAAAAAGTCACACGTCGTTATCACTTGGTCCTATTTTCTCTCTGTTCGTATCAGTGCGCGCCGTCATTCTGACAGCGAGCTCAACAACAGCCAGATGCATGTCTCGCTCCGCCTAGCTAGGCTCTAGGCGGAGCGAGACATGCATCTGGCTGTTGTCAGGTTAGTAGGCCCTAGCTGTCAGGTCATGGTGTCGCGCGCACTGATACGAACAGAGAGAAAATAGGACCAAGTGATAACGACGTGTGACTTTTTCCACTACAATGTTTTTGGGATGCAAAAATATCGCTCTTTTGAACACATAATGTTTTGGGAAGAGAAACGTTTTATTTCGCTGGGTCTAGCAAACCTGCCGGACTACTTTAGGCTTGACCAAAGCTGGACGAGAACTCTGCTCACAGGATGCTGCCAGGGGTAAGTCAGTGTGATTACATGACACTGGTGATGGGGATGCCATACAGATTCATGTCAAAAATCCCGAACTATCCCTTTAATATGACAGTTCTGACAGTGAATGTGATTTTTACCACAAATAATCCTATTATAATAATATACAAATTGAACAACAGAGAGGAGCGTGCTCTAAATAAATGTCAAAACAGCCTTCCACAACAGACAGCATACACATTTAAGCATTAAATCAGGCAGCATTGAAATCCTTTAATCTACTCGTCGAATCAGCACACCACTGTTATGCACGCGCTTGACTCAGAATGAACTTACTAAGAGTTGATTAAACCAATGCACACCAGCGATCGTGAACCCGAAAACTTATAGTCTCCAACTTCAGGCTAGAAAAATTCATAGTCAAGGATTTGATTCTTGGTTTTTTTTTTACTGCTTTGTGAAACAGACCTCTGGTGCTGGCTGAATGTTTAATATTTCTTTCTGATCATTTCTGTTTATCTCAAAGACTGTAAACATTTCAGCAGATTTAGCAGTTTCTGAGAAATGCAGACAAGCCAGAGTTAGTAAAATTACGTTTATTTCCTGTTCATATTGTTGATCTTCAGCAAGTCATATTTACCACCTCCAGTTGCACATTGTGTTGCTGTTATGTGATTGACTGAATTGCTACTTGTTTGAATCAGTTATTAAACAGGTGTAGTGAAGTGGCGAGTGAGTGTAGCTAACATTAGTCCATCTTGTTTTAATTTGATTTACATACTTTTTAACATGTATTGGCTACATGTATAGTATCTTTTGCCATGTTCTAAATGAATTAATTTCTCACATTTCTCTAATTTCTTAGATAAACATGAAGAGGAGAGCTGTCCTGTATACTGCAAACTTCTTGCTGCCTGTTATTTTCTTTTTTTGTCTGGACTTTGCCTCCTTGCTGATGTCAGATACCAGTGGTGAGAAGATTGGCTTCAAAGTCACCATAATGCTTGCAGTGACTGTGATGCAGCTTATTCTCAACGATATTCTTCCATCTTCCTCTGATAGGATTCCTCTAATAGGTCAAACATTGTTTCTTAACCAATACCGATGAGCTGAAACACAAATACCTGATCAGTATGGTTAATTAAAGCTGTTTGCTTCCCTCAGCGGTTTACTGCATTGGGACTTTTGCTCTAATGCTGCTCAGCCTCTTGGAAACAATTTTGGTGATTTATCTGATTGATAAAGATGCATCCCAGGTTGCTGAAATGGAAAAGACAAAATGGCAGGTTGAAGACCAACAGGAGAAACTGACTGACTTTCAAACCTGCTTTATAGGTAAGACCATCATACTTTAAACAGTCATGCTCTTTTCTGGTTGAAATGATGATCTGAATCTTCTCCATTTTTTTTAACTGTTCCAGGGATCCAGAAATGTAGTAACTGTACATCTGCAAAGAAAACATCTTTTTATTGTTCACCAGTTACTGAAAAAGAGGTAAGAACTGAAAGTAGAAACCTACTGTGTCTCATTGATATATGAATTTGATGACACATGTTTTCAGGGTGGCAGGGGTGAAAATACTGAAGTGTCCCTTGCACTAGAAAAGATGTCAGACGACCTCGGAGAGATCAAGAAATCAATAACTCTTCTCAGTGGCAGACAGGAAGATGCAAAGCCTGGCTACTGGACCAGAATTGCTAACAAAATAAATAAAGCTTTTGCGATTTTTTATTTCACAGCAGCAACCCTGTTTTTAGGGATAGTTTTTACAATGTGGTTTAAAGAAGATGCCTAGTATATATAACAGTATATATGTTGTGTTTAACCTGTGTATTAATGCTCGACATTAAAATATTGATTCTGCTTATTTTGTTAATTTAAAAGGCTTCAAAAAAAAACAAACCACTGGACTTTGTTTTCCAAGTTTGAAGGCGTTTCAATTCCCATCCAGGAAGCTTTTTCAATTCAAAATGTCTGAAATAGCGTTGAGTTCCAACCTTTATAGATTAGCCCAACAAAGCCTTGTTTTGGCTTAGAAACATCCTAATTGAACCGAAAGAACAGGTCCGCCCCTTAGCATAGGGGAGTGGTTGAGGACTTTCTTAGCCTGCAATACCCGACACTGGCCTATACCTCTGAAAAGGGGGAGTTGTTAGGTGCATCGTTGGCCTGGCTGACTAGGCGAGATGTCTTTGTTCCCTGCATTTTGATGAGGATAATGATAGCAGAAAGGAATCAACTCTATCACTGCATTGTAGGTTTTTTTCAGAGCTGAGTCCACCCCCTTTGTTTAAGGTTGTTTTTTCTCTCTTAACATAAATGGCTCTTAAAAGCCACCTGTCTTCTTGGTCCAAAATGTGAACATTCTGGCCCTCAATAAGAAAGGTAGCTCTCCTGTTTAATTTGAATGACTGTTAATTTGCTTTGCTAAAGCTGGAATAGAATAGAATTAAATAGAGACACAAAAAGCATTTAGGTAAACACAAAGGAAATTTGAAATTTGAAAGGAAAGTCACAATGATTTAAACTATAGGGCTTGGGAAAAAATGGCATGCTCAACCAAATCCTACATTTTAAAGATAAACACATTACATTTGGGAAAGAATCAATCTGTACTGTCATTATATACACAAAACACATTTTTGCCAGGACACTCTAAAGAATACACACAGAGATAAAAAATAAAAATAAAAATCAGTAGAGGTTGATCACTTACTAGCAGCTGAAAACTATTTCTAAAATAAGTTTGAAAATATGTAAATGGGGATGCATTATGTTGTACTCTATATAAAAAGTAAGTCATGTTAAAGCAGCCATAACTGGCATGTCATGGGATGTAGCTACTATTTTGTGTCTACAGGGGAAGGTATTCATTTCACTGCTTTGGGAAAGGCACTGTGTTTACCCTGTTTTGCATGTAATGCTCCAGAAATTTCGAATGTAAGTGGAATAGACAGGTGGATGGGAGATCAATTTACCTTGACTCCAGTGTTTTTTTTCTTTTCAAAGCGGCTATTAGTATACAAAATACGTTGTATTTTAGTGACAATTAAAATACAACACTGTTCTCTTTTTCTACATCAAAAAGGAAGAAGAGATCATCAGAAACTTAATTGAATTCCATTTTTAATAAACAACAAATTAAAATAACTGAAAACCTCATATTCTTCATATTAAAAGACTGAATCCGGTCATCTAAAGGCATCAACCAAGATTATGTGGTGGAAGATATGTCCAACGGCTGTTTGCATATTTTTGGATTGTGCGCATACTTCACGGTCCCCTCCTTCGCAAAAGTTATCTATGCTGGAAGCGACTCCACTGATAATTTTGTATTTCACCTAGAAAGCTAGCAAAATGTCAGGATGCACCTAGTCAGCAGGAAATCAGCAAAAGAAGCAGAGGTCTCTGCCGGCATTATTATATTTACAATTTGTTAGTGTCTTCTTGCTGCTCCTGCTACAATTAACTTTGGGATTTGAAATGGCAGACTTCCCTGTGGTGAATGTTTTTTTTAAATAAAAACATTGCATTTAAAAAAAGAAATCTGCATGATGTTGGTGAAATGTTTCACCTGCACTCCATTTTGTGTATTTAGATTAAGGTGGTATTATAAATCCAATCTTAGATTGTTCATATTCCAGATTGTAATCTAACATATTCATAATAAAAACATTCCATAATGAAAAAAAATCGCCACATAAAGTCAGCTTTTTTACAATCAGAAAAGATCCTTGTAGCTAATGCTCACCGTCTTGCTAATTACCCAAGCTTCCACAAATATTTGCAGTTTGTCAGGATTCTCTTCAGCCATTGATGCTCCACTTTACACAAAATAGTAAACAAATAGCTTAAACAAAAGCAGCAGCAGAAAACTAGCATAGAAGTACTTCTTCGTGCTTTCAGGTAATGGCGGACCGCTAGTCATATGTGGATGAATTACACTTAGAGCCTATGGCGGCACATATAAAATATGTTTGATTGATAAACAAGTAGTCAATCCACTTTGAACAGTAGGCAATGTGGATCGACTAATGTTTTGTAGGCACAGCCACGGCCAGAGTTTATGGATTTTTGTTTTTTTAGCTGATCTCTTATTTGACACAGAAAAAGAAAACCCAAAAATCAAGACCTAGCGCAATTATCAACATTTAAGAAATCTGACTGCAGCTAGAAGGAAGTGTTGGAATAGCACTATATTCAGTTTCTGGCATCTTTAAAAAAATCTGCCCTGATTAGCATGAAGTTATACACACACACACACCCACACACACATATATATATATACATTTATATATACATATATACAAATATATATGACGGCCTAGTGGTTAGGGCATAGGGCTTCTATTTACATACTTTCAGGGCTTAAGAAACTGATATGAACTGCCAGAGTTAGTAAAAGCCATTAATGGTTTTGCATGCTGTTGATGTGCTTGCAGAAAGACATTCCTTTTTATCTGTTTCCCACTATAAATAAAGTATCTATTGCTAGCCCACAGCACTTTTGCCTGTTTTGCTTATCCAATATAAAGAATACATAAATAAAAATTTATTATAGCCTGATAAAATTAGTATGTTCAGCATGGTGGAGCAGTGGTTGCTCTTGCTTCACAGCAAGAAGGTTCTGGGATAGGCTGAGGCTTTTCTGTGTGGAGGTTATATGGTCCCCCTTTTCTGTGTATGTTGCCTTCACAAAAGACATACTGATCATGTCAGCGAGCTTCATCCAAGTGGGTCAGGCTAACCCTTCATCTGTTCTATGAAATGTCATTGTTTGTACCCTATATGTATATGACAAATAAAGCATCCTTTCTTTTGAGTTTTAGGCTCAGAAGTTTTGTTATTTGCAGTTGGTAATACATGACTGATTCATGTCTGTTTATATTAAAAGCTGCATGTCTGAAACTTTGCTATAATCGTTGGTTCCATCTAAATGTTTGGTAAATGTTTCCACTCACCGTTGAAATTTTTTTTTTTGAGTTTTTTTTATGTATGTGGTTATCAGAACAATAAAAACCAGCATTTGAGGGAACTCATTGAGATAAAGCAACCATATTTATGAGTGAAATGGAGACAAAACTGTTGATATATTTCAGTAATAATTAAATAAAAATCGCCAGTATCTACAAACAGTTAATCAAAATTTACACAGTTGAGGAAAATAATAAAATGTTATGAATAAACCCAGAGAAAAAGTCTAGGCTTGTTATGAGAATGATTATTTTTATTCCAAACACTCCTCAAAATGATTTAACAACTCTTCTCCCTTAGACGCGGTGCAGCCTAGGCTAGCAACTGTGTCATCAGATAAAAATTTAATAAAATATCATGAAGGGGTTCTATAGGAAATACATTTTTTCCCCCATCACAGCCGTTATGGTCGCCTCTCCATCTGAGGCCTTTCTGTTTGTTTTCTTTCTATTGTGAAGTATCGAGGCACAAAAAAGAAACTCAGCAAGTGGTGGTCACACAAGGTGGAAACAGCAAATAGATATCAGTACCGTTTTAAAGTATTGGATGAAATCTGTCTAGTGTCACTCCCAATAAAGTCTCACTCACAGTTGTGAACGATGCCATGATTGAAGGTAGGTGGGGTATAAACAAGAATAAGACGGCCACTTCCCTCCAACAGAAAAGGAAAGCAGTCGTTGCTATGGCAACCGATGCCCCATGTGAGTGGCTGTAGCTCTGATGCGTGGGTTGACATAAAATCAGACATTTGCCATTTTCTTAAAACAAATGTATACCGTCAGTTAAAACCATTTCAAATAGGACCTACCATTTAGGGATTGATAATGTCATTTTTACTCTTTCCTGACTTGTGATTTTCTATCAGTGTGATAAATTTGCAGCAAACCAGCAGAACTTACATTCAAATGCATGTTTCCTCCTTCATTAGTTCGCTGTTACACCCATTGCCAAATTCCAGTGAGCCTGCACTGATGCAGACTCATTATTTATGGGCTGAAAGGTCCACTTGCCCTACCCACTGCGTGGTTTGGGACACCCATTAATGTGGCGGACCTTCCGTAGGAACGCATAGATAGGGGGGTAAGTGATCAGGGTATTGGTTTAGGGTCTGTTTAAGATGGGGCCTGAAACTCCCCTCAGCGGGAACATGGTATGTGAATAAACATTTGAGATTTTTTGAGGCACATTTATAGGTTAGTTAAGCTCAATTATCTATTTGGTTTATTATGATCCTAATTCATTCAAAAAACAGGTTTGCATTCTCAGCACCAGCTCGCCACAACAGCTGTGAGCCAACCCACAGAGAAGGAGCTTGATTTCCAGATGAGCGCTTGAAATCTACTCCTGGGTGAAGGTTAAATGAATTCCAAGGCATGCAGTCAAATAACATTATGCAAATTAATTAAAACAGACAAAGTGAAATGTCACGTGGTAATAAGTATACCTTGGTGTGAAACTCATATTAAAATTACATGCTATCCATTTCTTTTTATTCTTCTTTAGATAGTTCTACCCCCTCATTGGAGTCCAGCTGTGTTTAATTAAACTTTTGGGCTTGATCAGGAAAAGCACAGACCAGTCTGTATAGGTGCATGTCAGGGGAAAGCAGAATCAGGTTGAGGAACAGCCCAAGGTGCTCAGAGACAATTTCTGTAGTACTCAAAGTTCCTAAGAGCCAAGTGACCTCCATAATCCTTAAATGGAAGATGTTTGGGATGACCAGAACTCTGCCAAGACATGGCCATCCAGCCAAACTGAGCAATCTAGGGAGAGGAGCCTTGGAGAGAGATGTAAAGAAGAACCCAAAGATTACTGTGGCTGAGCTCCAGAGATACAGAGTGGAGATAGGAGAAGGTTCTACAAGTTACTATCACTGTAGCTCTCTGCTATTTGGGGATTTATAGCAGGGTGGCCAGACATGAGCCTGTCCTTAGTGCAAAACATGAAAACATGAGTAGAGCTTGCCAAAAAGCGCATACAAGACTCCATGGTGAGACATAGACTATGGTTCTCTGATCTAAAAAGAAGAAATATTTAACTTCTTATTAGCATTAATTCTAAGACGCATTTGTGGAGAATACCAGGGACTGCTTATCGCCTGCAAAATGTAGTCCCACCAGGGAGAAATGGCAGTGACAGCAGCATTCTCCAGGGGTGTTTTTCAGCTGTAGG